ACCTAAACCCTAAACCCTAAACCCTAAACCCTAAACCCTAAACCCTAAACCCTAAACCCTAAACCCTAAACCCTAAACCCTAAACCTTCTAACAACTCGTTTTTCAGCAATTCTTATGCGTAAAGCAATAGTGGTCGATAACAACGATGATTCAATCCTAGGCGAGAGTGAGGGACATCCCACACTAGAGGACGAGGGATAATTTCCTACAAATCAGCCCTTTCAATGAGAATTTCCTGTCATTTAGGGTCAATTGAAAATTGCACTGCGAGAGCAATTTTCAGTGCGCAAAATCGTTCGGCCAGAAAAAATATCATTCACCAATCAGCACCAATAGTATATACAACTGTTAGTTCTTATTATATAAACAGACTCTTTTCTAGGTTATAGCAGATCTTCTTAGATGCGGGATAGCAACTCATCGACTTGACTGCTACCAGTATCAAGAATAAGGAAATCAACATTCATTTCTACACCGATTCAAGTTAGGTATATTTTGTCTACTTCAAAGACAACCATTCTTCTATAATGTGTAGTGATAACCGATAGCCCTTTTTGCCTTGCTTTATATAATTTGTGATTGAATTCTTTAGCTCGTAACAAAAGGGCAAGAAGGTTCAAAAATACTTCCTAGTGGATTGACATTCTATATAGTAAAAGCGAGGTAAAAGTCCAACTTAACGAAGGCACTTTCTATATTATCTTTAGTACTAGCGTAATTCCCTAGCTTTTAGCATTCTAACGGTACTATTTATAGGGGGCTAGGTGCTATATTGGTGGAGATATAGTCGGTTGAAGTATATACTCCTGACTTAGCGTTTATAGTGGGGCACCCCGGAATAGGAATTAACGTGATATCAAAAAAAAACATCTTGAATAACCTCACTCCGGAATAGCAGACTCTACCAAAGCCTAAATAGGCGGGTTCTATATTCCAGCATATACCCACAAGCGATATTCCACCGTCCAGCGTCGCCGATGAAGTGATGGCACTGGGAAATCGACCTCTAAGTGTATTTCAGTAATACGATAGCTGTACCGGATAAAGTATATATACGGATAAAATACATAATATGAATAATATAAATGCGAATATGAATAATGCGTTTATTCGCGTGAATAAAAAATTCATATATTCATATTCGCATTCCTTTATTCCTTTCGGAACTCTAGGTACTGCCCGGGTGAGAAATGGGTGACCGCTGCTTTAGGGTCGCGCGACTGGTGGTGGAAAGGGTGCGTGTGTAATAGACGGGGCGAGAAACTGGTGATCGCCGGGTGAGATTCGCCTATGAGTGTACAGCCACAACAGAGACCCTCTCAGCTGAGCCTAGGCCAATATCCAGAGCGATTGTATGCACCTACGTACTGGACATCTGGATTATCCTGGCAGATTTTGGTTCAAATGTTCCACTTTCCGGATTAGTGCTCACCCCCTCGCCGCTTTTGCTTGGTAGAATTACGCCCGTCTTCTAGCTTCCTGATTCCGTCCACCATCCCCACTCAACACTTCATAATATATTCATTTCTTTGCACATTGTCCTTTATTGATAAGCGAGGGTTCTCACCTGGTCCTCAGCCACACACTCCGATTTCATCTCAATGGATCTTTCTCAACTTCCGGATATCACTGGCTTGCTTGTCAGGCCAGATAACCCTCCACGAGATGATGTCGAAGGGATGGATTACCCACGATGTGCAGCTCTATACAACTATCTGGCCCAATATTCCTGGCTCGCTGAAGGTCGTCCGCTGGCAACTCTGAATGAAAACAGCACCAACTTTTTCACGGCCTTCGGTGCTGAAGCTGAAGCTCTTCGTCCAAGGCTTCATCCGTCACTGGTGGCTTTCCTTGACACCGCTATGATACCTCCTAGTGATAGCCCTGACCAGTTTCCCCCGCCACTCTCTATTTTCGCATGGGGGCTCCCTACGCCAGACGGCCTTATTGAGGAATTTGTAGCTGATCTTCAAGACCAGCCGGTTGATAGCCTGGTGCGCTTAAGCCCTGTGGGCTTATCGGGCGAGGGCAGCGGTGGCGGTGTTATCTACCACCAACGCTTCCATCGCGTCGCGGTCTTCATGCATCTTGATTCCTATGACTACGGGTTCCCAGTTGAGGATCATCCAGACATTTGGAACCCACTAGAGACAGTGCTCTCCCACTGGATCAACCTTATTCGGCTTGGAAAAGTTGTGGCTTCGCCTCATGAAGAGCCAGCCCTATTCGACTTCGAGAAGATCGGGCCCTGGGAGTGGCGCCCCTACAGCGAAGCCCAGGTTACTACGTGTGTCGGCGCGTGGAATCGGCTGTGTCGGGCCATTGAGGCGCGCATCTCACAGCTGCCAAACCCACTATCACTGATCGGCCCCATTTCCGGGATTGATGCGGATAATCCAGAGCCACTGGTCGAATCAACCGTCCTGGATGCCGCTTCGGTGCCCGATCCTTCCTTTGCGCGTTCGTTTCTGATGCGCGCGAGACGCCCCCGGTTCCACTATATCGCTCCGGGCCTTCGCTTGCCTCCAGCCGACTTGTCTGGGTTTGTGGCAGCACAGCCATTTGCCGTCTTACCCCACTCTCAGCACACCGCACCGCCAGTGTGCCTTTTCCCCGCCGAAGGCGGAGACCAGCGTCCTATTCAGCTCACGAGAACAACATCTCCATTTTTATTGTTGGATTACTATTCAATGTCCACTGATACGCTCACACCGTCTCGCGTCTCTGCAGGCCTATATACCGCGGCGGTGGAGAGAAACGGTCTTGACACGGCCGAGGACGGATTTCGGCTTTTGCTTCCGTTCACCCTCAATGATGGTTGGGGCAGGAGCGTAGGCGCACGAAGAAGCGATGGGGAGCTTGCTGATAGGGGAAGCTTTGCAGACCTCTTTCAGCATGGATTCAAGCCTTTTGGTGGTGACTACTACCGCCCTCAGCGGCTGGAGCGTTTGTTGGATTGTTGGCGCAAGCTGGTTGAAGAAGGCGTCTGGTCTGTTGGGCCGAAAGGGGTAGAAGGTACTATTGATACTTTCAAAGATGCTGAGTCGGATCGTTGGGAGGATTATTATATCCCTCCAACATGGTAGATATCCCAGAGCCATCCCGCCTTCAATCCGGACACGATTTCTGCGCTCTATTCTGCGGGGATGGAGGTACCAGGTAGCAGGTAGTCCAGCGCAGTAGTCGTCAGGTTGTCAGGTTGTCAGGTGAGTTTTTTCTTACCAGTAGCTACTAGTAGAATTTTACTAGTAGCTTATAGTAGGAGGTCACTTCTAGACTTCCGCAAAGCTCGTAAAGCCCGAAACCCTACCCGACTCGACCCTTAAAAGGGTCGGGATTCGAGCCTATTTCTAAAGCTCGTAGCGAGCTTCGGGCTTTTAGTTTAGGCCTATAGCTCGAAAGGGGGGGGGGGGTCTAACGAGCCCCCCCCCCCCATAACTAAATATTGTAAATATACTAATTTCTTATAACTATATAAATAGGGGATTGATCTAGACACACCCCCCTGGATAACCGCACACCCCTTTGGATAACCGCACACCCCTTTGGATAGTGGCACACCTATGCCTGATTTCTGCCTGATTATGCCTGATTCCTCAGCCATTAATATATTCTGCCAGACTTAACTATCCAAAGGGGTGTGCGGTTATCCAAAGGGGTGTGCGGTTATCCAGGGGGGTGTGTCTAGATCAATCCCCTATAAATAATGGGTATTGTTAATTACACCCCCCTTTGGATAATCTCACCCCCCTGCCTGAAATTTTAGGTGCACAGTTTTACCGCCTTCCCGATCGGGTGCGACACTGAATACTGCCATCCATTTCTGCCACTACGGACTTTTCTGCCATATATTCTGCCACCACCATATAATTCTGGTTTACATAGTAAAAAACCCTGCATTTTAATGAGAAAAAATCGTACATTCTGCCTGATTCCTGCCTTAAAAATCTACATATTGATCATCCTGCTTCTTAGGCACCCTCACGTCCCCTTCCACGTCCTTGGCTACTAGCAGGTTCACCACTGCTAGGTTCACCACTGCTTGTTCCACGTCCACGTCCCCTTCCACGTCCCCTTCCACGTCCCCTTCCACGTCCCCTTCCACGTCCTCGGCCACGTCCACGTCCACGTCCACGTCCACGTTCCTACGATAGTACGTGCTCGAATGCTGATGGTTCTCGCCGGGTGGATCGATCCTGAGTGAGGGAATCCGGCGAAGAGAGGATATCCTAGGTGCTCTGCTGGGTGGCTTACTGAGTGGTTGACTGGCTAATGAAGTTTCTCGCTCCTCGTGGACGCCCTCGTCGTCGAACCTGTAGAGGATCTTAGAGTAGAAGGAGAGGATTGATTGGTGGAGCAGACACACTGTATAAATGCTAATGCTGGTGGAATAGCTCGGGGTTAAGGCTCTTGTTCTCATCTTTATACTCCTTAATAATGTGAATATATAGGATGCCAGATGTGTTCTTCGAATTGTAAGTGTATAATAGTGGAATTGGAGCTTTATCTTCCTGTCCTTCTAGAAGATATCTGTCGTAAATGTCCTTTATATACTAAATTGCCTTTATTGAGATCCGCTTAGCTAGAGAGTTGTATAGGTTCTAAGAGTTAGTTGGCCTTCTGATCTTCTTATTCTCGATTTGAGTAGTGATCTTATTGAATTGTAGATTAATAACGCGATAGAAATTCTAGAGAATAACGAGGAGATCATTTCTTATAACCTATAGATCCTACTTAAGCAGCTAGTGTCCTCCCTCTATACGAGAAGTCGCAATCTTAAGGAGATGGAGATATTGAGCGGTATAGCAATGAAGAAAACGCTCTAGGCAGTTATTAAGCCACTCTTTTTGAATGTAGTCAATTAATAGCTAGAAGATTAGATCGTTATACTTCTCTTTAAAGATTTCCCACTACTAGTTTATAACCTTAGAGGAAGTAGCGTATATAATTCCGTTCTAGCGCTTTAGCATTTTCTCCTAGCCTTTATCAACCTTCTAGGTGAGCTCCCTCTCTCGCTAGGCCTTTGTTTGACGCTATATACTTGGCTAGGTGCTGCTTAGCTAGGTGCTACTTGGCTAGGTGCTGCTTAGCTGGGTGCTACTTAGCTGGGTGCTACTTAGCTAGGTGCTGCTTGGCTGGGTGCTACTTGGCTAGGTAGTGTTCGACTAGGTGGTGTTCGACTAGGTGCTTAACTCGCTCCGTGCTTTTACGATCTGATCCCGAAGAATTGGCCGGGCCTTTTTCAAGATATTTATATTGATATGCTAGATATAAATCATGCTCTTTATCAGAGGAAAGATAGCTTCAATTGCATTTATCAGCGCTTCTTCTTTATCTATAAGAATTGTATAGGGGGGATCGAGACCTAGGGAGTTGTATACTTCGGCGAGGCAGTTGAGGATAACTTCGTACGAGTCCTAGTGCTCGTCCTTCATAAATGTAAAGCCAAGATGAAAAGTAGCTCCGGTGGTAGCAAAGCTAACGATATTAAGTAATGGTAGCCCGTACCGGTTTGTCTTATACGTGCAATCTATAGAAATGACCTAGGGGTTGGATTTCAGTATAGTAATACCAGATTTATATATATAAAATAAAGTAGTAATATAGTTATTATCATCCACTTTGTACCGGAAGATCTAGTCGCCGTTTTTCGGGAGCTCTATTAATAACGCTTATAGGGGGGTACGACCGGCTAGGAACTCTATATAGACCTACCGCCGGAAGTTATAGATATCCCGAGGGATAATATATAAATCTAGGTTTTCGTTACGAATGCTAGTGAGAATTTAGCGAGTGGGAAGGCCTTATTCTAGCTGCTTCTGGATATCCGCCTTGATGGTTGAAAGTTCATTGCTTCGTTGAACGGCGTGAGTTAATATAGGGGAAGGTCGATGGTTATATAATACATTTTCGACCGTAAGAAACTAGGCACTCGTTGTCTGGTTTAGTCGAAGCGATATACCGAAGGGACACTCATTTTATAGTGTGGTAGTCTATCGTTTCCGCTCTAGGCCGTCGTTAGGCCGATCTCTTAGTACGAGACCTCGGTCGTAGCGGAGGCGTATAGTCTTTTTCACGCCCTTTTTGGTGAATTTGGTCCGAATTGATGAAACCGCATACCTATGTGTACGGCCGAGATCATTGATAGCGGTGAGACCTTCCTCTGGCGTACTATACTCTAAACCAATAGGGGGGAGAGGCATAGTATAAAGCACGGGGGACTCGGTGCTTGGTATAGCGGGAGAGAAAGACTCGGTGCTTAGCACGGCCGGTGGAGACTCGGGGACGATCTCCGGATCGGAATCTGGATCTGATTCCAGATATGCAAGGCCTAAGGAGGCCATATTGACGGTTTTAGCGATAAAATCGATGAAATTGAGGCAGAAAGTGATGAAAAAATGGGTTTGAAGAAGGCAGGTTAATGTATGTAAACCAGAATTGGAGTATCAATTTCTTTGATCCTATCTATATGTATGTACGGGGTGTTATGTGACAAAAGTGACTTAATTTTGTTAGTGGTTTATATACAAATTGTAGGTATCTGCCGTCTTGCTAGTATTATATGGGTTGTTTGACACGAAGGCGGTGTACAAAATTGGAAGGCGGTGAGGAAGGCGGTCTATGAAGCCTGGATTTTCAGGCCGGGGGGGGTGAGATTAACGTGTTTCACTACCGAGCTGCGCACACCACCGAGTTGCGCACCCCACCCAAAACGCGTCCATGAATTAGCACTTAGTCAATTCAACCACCCACCATGCCACCAATTCGCTCCCGAAGCTCTAGAAATTCAATAGAGCAAGAGGGTAGGATATTATTAGCTATCCAGGCTTTTAAAAATCAAGAAATCAGCGCTATTCGCGAAGCAGCACGCCGTTTTGAAGTGCCTGAATCAACCCTCCGGTCGCGTCTTCGTGGCACTACTTTTCGCGCTGAAACCCGCCCTAACAGTCATAAATTGACAGAGCTCGAAGAGGAATCTCTTCAAAAATGGATACTCTCTATGGATTCTCGTGGAGCAGCCCCCCGGCCTACTATGGTACGAGAAATGGCGAATCTTCTTCTCGAAAAGCGCGGATCTATACCGGTTCTTTCGGTCGGCCAAAATTGGGTTACGAAGTTTGTTAAAAGGCGCCCTCTCCTCTCCTCTCGATTCTCGAAACGATATAATTACGAGCGTGCGAAATGTGAAGACCAGAAAATCATTGGGGAGTGGTTTGATTTGGTTCAAAAAACGATCCTTCAATTTAGAATCGATCCCGATGACGTTTATAACTTTGACGAGACCGGTTTTGCTATAGGATTAATAACGCCAACTACGAAGGTTGTTACGAGGAGTGATTACTACGGCCGGAGAGCACTTTTACAACCTGGAAATCGAGAGTGGGTGACGGTGATTGAGTGTACGGGTGCTTCCGGCTAGGTGCTTCCTCCGTGTGTGATTTTTAAAGGAAAGGTCTTCCTTAAATCCTGGTTTAAAGGCCTTCCGAAAGATTGGCGCCTTGAAGTAAGCCCTAACGGTTGGACTTCCGATGAAATTGGGCTTCGCTAGCTTGAAAAGCTCTTTATTCCTACTACTTTTTCACGTACGAAGGGGAGGTATCGGCTTCTAGTACTTGACGGTCACGGAAGCCATTTAACCCCGAAGTTTGATGAAATCTGTGAGAAAAATCATATTATACCAATCTGTATGCCTCCGCACTCCTCTCACCTTTTACAACCTCTCGATATCGGCTGTTTTGCGGTGTTAAAACGTGCGTACGGCGGGCTGGTTAAATCAACAATGCGGGTTGGGATAAATCATATTGATAAACTTGATTTCCTCGAAGCATACCTAGAGGCTCGAATTGAAGCTTTTAAAACGGATACTATTAAAAGCAGCTTTAGAGCTGCCGGTTTAGTACCGTTTTCACCTGATCAAGTGATTTCAAAGCTAAATATTCGGCTTCGAACACCAACCCCCCCCCTAGCCGGGGTAGTGAATCAAGCCGGAATTTTACGCCGAAAACCCCCTTTACGGAGAAAGAACTACGTCGACAGGCTTCATCGATTAAAGCTTTACTTCGTACAAGATCTCGAAGTCCACCTAGCCCGTCAGATCGAGCATTAAACCAGCTTGTGAAAGGCTTCCGTCTTACAATGCAAGGTGCTATCTTACTTGCTAAAGAAAACAAGGAATTACGCGCCGCCAACGAGAAGCAGAAGCAAAAGCGCACTCGATCCCGAAGGCAGATACCAGCTGAAGCAGGGCTCTCAGTTCAAGAAGCTTCTCAATTGATTACTGAGCCGGTGGTAGCAGTTGAAGCACCCCCCCGCTCCCTACGAAGAAGGCCTTCGCCACCTTTACAACCACGAACGAGAGCATTACCAACGTGCGGGCTATGTCAAAACCAGGGTCATAGAAGAGATGCATGTCCAGATAGATGATGATTTTAGTGTATTTAATTTAATGGAGTTTTGGTTGAGATATATGCATTTGAAATTAATAGGTTAGGTTGGGTGCGCAGCTCGGTGGTGTGCGCAGCTCGGTAGTGAAACACGTTATCCAAAGGGGGGTGTAATTAACAATACCCTAAATAATATAGAAATTCCTAGTAATTTTAAGTATTTCGATTATATCGTTCACTCTAAATTAAATAAATTATTAATTAATTCTAGTATATACTAGTATTAAGATATCCCTTAAGTTCTTCTTACTACCTAGTCTTCGGCTACGGTGGTAGCTCTAGTTAATCCTCCTCGAAGAGGCTTATTATTATATCCGTACTATATAAGGAGGACTTTGCCTTTATAAGCACTTACTTTTTAGGCTAGTGTTTTAAGTAATCCTCTAAATAATTATAAAGAGACCTTTTATATATATTATACTAGGAGGAATCTATATTATCGACTTTACCTACCCACTCTAGTCCTTTAAAGAATTCAAGCTTATACTAGGTTCTATCTCTAGGGCCCCAAAGTAGGGTCCCAGGGGCGTCACAGCTCCCAGATCCAGCCAACGTGTTCCCAAAGCCAGTTTCCTATTCAGTCAGAAGCGTAGAGTGAAGATCCCAGCGGTAGATCTCGTTTTCCTGGAAATGAGCTCCGCCTTACGCAACCTGGTTCCACTGAGATGAATCCATGTCTCCTTGGTCACCGTTTAGGTATGATGAAAGAACAATTGAGAACAAGGAACTTGAAAGGAGGAAAAATGAGGGGAGGCTTGGACTTGATACTCAAACAGGAAAGGAACGACAGGCGCCTTTGCTCATCGCTCATCTCCACCAAAAGCTTCGCAATTCCTATACAATATATGTTGTACATCAGGATTCGACATCCTCTTCACTTCCGCTCTTTATGGTGGTTTAGATCAGTTGACATTTGAAAATTAACAAGCATCGGGGGATGATACATGAGAATTAAGTACATCTAGTGCGCACATATAAAAGTCGATCCGAAATAGGTACGCTGTCCTCCAGGGCTCTTTGACCGGACGAAAGAAGTTGGGATCACCGAGTGTCTAGCCTTGGAAAGCTTAAGCGGTCATATTTTATTCCCTGTTTACTATTTGCCTCCTTTTTTCGCCCCAGATGTCTGTTAAACTCCCCTAATCTCTGTTACCCACTCTGTATGCTTTGTACTGCCTAGATCTGTGTCTTCTTCAATGCCACATTCCTTTAGAATCTTCAAGCGCGTCTCCGAGTCACTCGGCGATTCTGGGCCATTTCGCAAGGGCAAAAGTGTCGATCAGGCTTGGAAGAGGAAGAACTATCCTTAGACAGTACTTTTGTCTTAAGGAGCCCCCAACTTGATAGGGATGTGCTTGTGTAGAGGCTGATGACTGCAGAAACTGGGGTTCGGAGTTCCGAGTTTAGGGCTTGTACTGGCCGTCGGAGTTTGGGAGGCACATCTAGGCTCTAGGCTCCTGGGACGGGTTGCCCCTTCCTTCTACCTGCTAGGCAGGATCAGATATAGACAAGTTAGGAAGGAGCGACCCTGTCTCGCTCTTCTAGCGATCAAACATAGCAAGCGCGACCCCTGCCTAGTTAGCAAGGCTCGCCTAGTTAAATAAAATATCATTTATCAAGTATCTTGGCCCTTATAATAACCTACATGGTTATAATTCTTCATCACGATTTGCTATTGTTTATATCTAGGTTTTTCCATACGGTTGTTAGGTACGTCGACAATCCCCCTTGGCTGCTGCCATACAAGTACTAATAACGAGCATAAAAACCTATCTCCTTTGTGGCATTGTCATCTCGTATAGCTCTTTGAGCATTTGATAATAGCCTAGTTCATAGAGATATAATACGAAGGAGAATAAATAGAGAAAGCAACGTATTTATTGGGATGGACAAAGAAGAGAAACAGAGAGAGAGAGAGCAGGTAAACTATCTAGGTTCTATCATACATGAGATGCCTTAGGCACACAGGCATCCAACACTAGTTCATTTGCGCTTGCTCTGAACCTCCACGGCCCGTGCATCAATTTTCATGCCGTCGATAACCCACTTGCGGTGAAACTCTTCAAACTTCTTGGTCAACTCCCCATCCTTATCCCCAGCCAAGGCAATTACGCCATGTGGCTCTGGTACATTCATGCCCTCGCGGATGCTCGGCCTCTGCAAGAGTCTTTCATACCATTCCTTGACTGCTGGAAACTCATCCAAGTCCAGACCTGCCCATGGAGTTGTGGCAGCCAGGCTCCAAAAGGCGATATCAACAATGGTAAATTTGTCGCCCACGATATAACCTTTTGTCTTCTGCGACAGCTGCTTTTCTAGAACAGAGTACAGGCGTCTAGTTTCGTTGTGATATCGATCGAGAGCGTACGGGATGCGCTCAGGAACATGTCGCAGGAAATGTGTGGCCTGGCCCTGGAATGGCCCGACGCCGCTGACCTGGAAGAAAAGCTGCAGCAGGGTTAGCATTCGTTTGTGTGTGGGTATTTTGGGGAATCTCTCAAAAACTAACCCAACTAAAAAGCTCATAGTTCTCTCGGGTTCCATGAGGGTACCAGAGCTTGAAGGTAGGGTCATATTGCTCGACGAGATATTTCAAGACGTTGCCTGACTCCCAGATATGAATCTCCTTGCCGTCCCTGAAAACGTCTGTGATGGCAGGGATTTTGCCATTCGGGTTGATGTCCAGATACCACGGCTCCTTGTGACTTCGGGCGGTGAAGTCGTGTTTGTAGACACGATAAGGGATGCCCAGTTCTTCCAGGAGAATGGATGCTTTGTTCCCATTCGGAGTCTGGGTCGTGTAGAGAATGATATTTGGAGAGTTTAGAGAAGACATCTCGTAGTTGGAGAAAAAAGTTGAAGGCTTGTAGTGTCCGACGGAATGGGTCGCAGCAACGGTTATATAGTATCGTGAGTCTCCTGTCAGTACTGTCCTCGGGCATTGATCTCACCTTGTTTTGTTATTATTAATATCTATAGAGGTTAATGGAAACTGGGCGAAATCTTGCTGTGTGTTTGTCATTCATTATGGGCTTTAGGATATCCCTTTTAGGAAGTATCGCAACGTCATTGCCTGATGGCGCTATTCCTAGACAGGTTAGCGTAATATTAAGAATCAGGCGTGGTCGAGATCACTTCGTTTTTGTCGAATACCAAGGTTGAATACCGAGGTGAAATACAAGGTATTGAAACCCGGAAAAATCTACGGACCGCCGTGATGGCGTGCTCCATACAAATTGCATACATTGTTTAGTCAGCTATGTCCGCACAGATTGGCGGATTCGTGTCATTTTAGTTAAGAGTCATACAAATCTTTCATGCATACCATACGTTGTTGTACACCCAGATTTTTGTCAGTTTTTTCAGCAAGAGGTGATTTCCTCGTTCTCATGCACACTTCCCTAATGGCCTACAGAGAGCTATTTAGGTGCGCTTTCAGTGCGACAGACATCAAAGTTTTTGCCCAACAACGCTCTAATCACCTTCCATGGAATTTTCGTCGCCCCTGTTGACCGGTCAACCCAGCGCTGCCACCACAGCGTCCTTTAAACGAGTATTTCATTTTGTGGATGCGACGGGCGGCCATAGTCGAAGGAATGCCCGCTCTCATTTAGTAACTGAGCGCTTGCGAGAACGCAGGTGGCGTGACTATGCGGCCAAGAAACAAGCACGCCTGAGACGTCCAATAATATCCGACTCTTCTCCAGCTGATGATAATACCAATGCGGGAAGCAAGAAGGATTGCCAAGAGAGCCAGCGCATGAAACTGGGCTCCCATCAGTGTCCAGCCATCTTTCTCATGGAGCCGATATCATGCAGTCTAGACCCGTTCCACACCTTGCCGGTCGAGTCATCGCCCGAAATATTACAGCTGGTCAACCACTGTATTGATCTCTTTCTATCGCGTTGGATACCTACCCATACTAACTACCCATTCACAGATACTAGAGTCATTCCATCACTGCTCCTAGATTCCGCCGAGTTGGGTATTTCCAAACATGAGCCTAGTGTAGACCTGTTTCAACTGTACAGCCTGCATCCTGCCTCGTTCCTGGGTATGCTGTACCACTCCGCCCGTCACAGAGAGCATCTCTATAAAAATGAAGTGACGGGAACCCTATCCCTCGCTTTCAAGATCAAGGCCCTCGGGGAAGTGAACAGGCAATTGGGGTATTCTAGGGCACGAGGGGTGCATCCTGACAACGGCACGATATTAGCAATTTATCAACTCGCCATCGCAGAACGCTTGTGGGGTGACCTGGATACATTCCGGCTTCATTGGCGGGCAATGTACGACATCATTGATGCCCGAGGCGGTGCGGCAGCATTCACAGCTCATGATCTCATGTACAGCAAAATCTTGTGGAATTGTTTCGCGCTGTTGAATGCACGCGATGGTTATTTCAATTGCCCTCGCAACCCGTTGGCATCACAAGCAAATTATGACTTTGAAATATCAACCGAGGAAATGGTCAGCAACAGCCATTGTTTCGTTCAGTCTTATACCGGTCGAAGAGCCTCCATACTGCGGCTTTTACCCACCTCTGATGCTGAATCCGAGCTCCAGTATGAGATGTACCCTCGACGGCTCATGAGCTTTCAGCCTGGTACCGTTCTTCACCAGGTCTTGAGCCCAGAATTAAGCCGGAATAACGCCCTAGGAGGTTCCTACCCGATTGCAGCGGACCCGAACCCGAACCAGCCTATAAAAATGGTTGGCGACCGGCTCAGGACGGATAACTGTAGGCTTGCATGCATTATATACATCAATCTGATGCTCCTAGAGCTCGGAGACTTGTCTGAAGCCGCCGAGCTATTTCTGGGTTCGCTTGAGCGATATTTACCCAACAACAAATCATTACGCTCTGCAGAGTTCTTACTCTGGACTCTTCTGCGCAGCCCATATCCACTCACCCCGGAGGCGTCACGGGTGCTGTGGTCAAAGACAATCCAGATCCTTGCCGTTGTGAAGCGAGCCAGATACCAGCATAGTATCATGGAATATCAAGAGGCAATGTTCCTGTTTCTTGAACTGCCGATCGATGCCGCGAGATTGTCGCCCAGCTTCCAAGTGGATCTTGACGCTATACAGCACGAGGCCCTTCGCGACGGCTTGGATATACCGGTTCCTCCTGACTCATTCTTGGAGCCTGCCATTGGAGGCTCCAGCCACCATACCGCTGTCTCACAAACATACTGTGAGCTTCTCTGGTTTGCGTGTGGCTCGTAAGAACTCTGGGAAGTGAAAGATACCAGCCGCATCTCACGTCTTTGTTTGACATGGCCTTTGTTTGATAAATGTGTCACCATCGGCTATAGGTGGATTCCTAGATACCTAGCCCGGGATTCTTAAGAACCAGAATGAATAGATTTTGATAATACTAGCTAGTAGTTGCCTCTCGTCGCCAAAGAGGTGCCGGGAATATAGTATTGTAAATCTTTAAGTGGGAATGAGGAATGTTACTTGTGAACATGGTTCTAGCATCTGAAAAGTTAAACACAATAGAGACTGACCAGTACGACCGTTGACTTCCTCGGTAATCATTCGGCAGCTTTGGCATAATCTTGGCCATTGCTACCCAAGCGCAACAACAGCCTGCGAAGCCAAGAGGACCGCGTCTGAGCCGCCATGATCGCCAACCTGGACTCTGGGCTATAGATCTGAAACGCATGCCAGCCCCCAGGCCAAATATGTAACTCTGCCTCATTCCCATGTTCCCAAAGACGAGACGCATACGCGGTATCTTCATCGCGGAAGACATCAGTTGACCCACACTCAACATACGCCGGGGGTAAGTGGGCAAGATCACTCGCGCGTGCAGGTGCCGCGTAAATAATGGAGACATCATCATCATGTGCTGCTCCCCCTTGGTGATCGCCGCCGCCGCCATTAAGGAGGCACTTCCATGCAAACAAGTTGCTCTCCCCCGACCAGACTCCGTGCGCTCGGTATTGGAAGCTGGAAACGGTGGTGTTGCGGTCGTCTAACATGGGGGAAAGCAGAATCTGCCCACAGAGGGGTGGGAAGACTCCACGATCGCGGCATAAAAGGGCGACACCTGCTGCGAGCCCGCCGCCGGCTGATATCCCGGCTATTAGGATCCGGGATTGATCGATTCCCAGACGGCCTGAATGGTCTCGGACCCACTCAAGCGTGGTGTAGCAGTCTTCCAGAGCTGCAGGGTGTGGATGTTCTGGGGCGAGGCGGTATTCGACTGTAATGCAGACGACCTGTTCCTGTTGCACGTGCTCGAGCATCAATTCGATCCCCGTGAAGCGATCCCCGGCTATCATCCCGCCTGGATGAATGTATAGGATAGCTAGAGTTTTTTGAGAGGTTGGCGATTGGCAGTGTGCAGATGATGACGGACGAAACACGGACACTTGAAGGTCATCCCTCTGAACGCCCGAGACGGTGTAAGGCTCATGCTGGACCCGCCACTTTTTTAGAATCTCCTCAAGAACAGAAGCCGTAGTCTGTCGCAGGGCATAAATATCCTGGGTCGTTTGAATTGAGAATGATGGCGGGTTGCCGTTGATGGCAACGAGTTCCGGGTCGTAGACTGGGCACGGGTAGACGTTCGCCATGGGAGCAGTACCAGACGAGGATATTGCGGGATAATATGATTCACCCCTGCTGATTCCGGTGTATTTGCCAAGTAGAAGGCTGAGCAGGAGAATAGACAGGATGCAGCAAGTCAGGGCCCAATGCAATCTTTATAACAAGTCACATAGAAGCTACGAAAATCAAAGTGCACACCAACCCAGCTATCAAAACTTCCTGTTTGGGAAGTATCGTAACGTCATGGTCTGTGTAGGCTAAGCCCGATATGGACTAGGCCGTTAAGGTAGGCTCGGGGGCGTTCCCACAAGGCTTTCCCACAGTTCGACGTCTTTTACTAGTATTTACAGTAAAAAGGGTATATACATAACAGCCTCCGATTAAGGTTAGCGTTATCATTGAAATTTGTTGGCGAACATTTGCGCACGTTCTGGATCTGTCTGAAACGAACAAAGGAGAGACAAGGATTCTCCGCCCGCGGGCTTACCCCTGTTCTCCAAAAACTTAATTCATTTGGCTGTTGTTAGCCAAATTATGGCTTCTCATTCGCTAGTCCGGTCCACTGTCCTCCTCTGATTCGCTACTTTTCCGTTCCCTCTCATTTCACGCCCTCTTCTGATTGCTTTTCCAAGAATTCATCATCTTAGGTTAGTTTGGCGTTTTTTGTCCTGGTCTGGCTCTTTCCTCCATAACCCTAACAGCTGACTCCTTAACCCTAGTGGCTGTGCTTCATATTTGCTGCTTATTCGTTGTACACTCTCATTCATTGCTTGCATGCTTTTGCTACGCACTATGTTAAAGTCTTCTTCTAATTGGTCTGCCACCCGTTCTCCGCCCGCGGGAATACCCCTGTTCTCAAAAACTTCATTGATTGTTGGCCACATCTGGATCCTCATTCGCTACCTTGGCCCACTTCTATCCTCTGATTCGCTGTATCCCCTTTCCACGCCCACTTCTGATTGCTGATCAAGCATTCATCATCGTGGTTTAGTGTTGGCGGTTTATATCTTGATCTAGTGGCTTCTTTCACTCACAACCCTATCAGCTGACCCCCTAGCCCTAGCGTTCATCAGATTACTTGCAGCTTATTTGTTGGTCACGCACGCTGGTTGCATGCATGCTCTTGCTACGCACTGTCATAATTGTTGGACTATGTCGGTCATCCCATTGATGCCTCCATTTGTTTGCAGACTGAGCCTTTCTTTGTTTGCCAGGGTATAAATCCCCTGCTCTAGATAGATTGAATAGATCATGATTCTTCCTCTTCTCTCTCTCTCCCCATAGTTAGCAGCCCCAACAATAATGTTTTATTGTTATTGGCTTGCCATTCGTTTGTACAGCGTGTTTGCTTATAAATTGGAAGCGGGGTTGGGCCGCAATGCATTGAGATTGAATACCCCCAAACTTGCTGAAACCCTGCGGTAAAAGAAATATATTGAGATTGTTTTCGGCTCGAGGAGGTGCTATCCTTTAGAGTGATCAAAACGCCAGGCTTTTGGGACTTCTCTTCATTCTACAATTCGTACCGTACCGCAAAGTATACTTGCTCGGTAAGCGTTCTTTCGTGTAAATGGTCGGTATGAAGAACGCCTCTTATCAATTGGCATATAGTTATGAATATGTTCAGCCTCCATCCAGCCGATGTCCCTATTACTCTCTACAGAGTCCAATACGAGGACTCTATGACGACCTACGACATATATGAGGGGCTCGAGGCAGATGATACGGTTACGTTATATGATGGTGAAGGGGACGAACAGGAGGAAGACGATACTCTCCAAGAGTTTGGCGACGCAGTAGAGCAGCATCTGAGCTGGGACCCTGACTATAGGAGCATTTTTATCTCGCTCTTTTCTCAGAGAAGACATGCTGAAAATTGGATGCTGGAAAGGCATACCCGTCTTGGCAGCAGAAACTGCACTCTCCTTCAGATTAATACGGCCGCGCTTCACAGCTTTTTTATCTTCCGCGCCGAGGAGATTGTTAATGCGCTTTCGTTGTCGATTCCAGAAGCAGCCCAAGCGAGTGTTGCTAGGGAGTATCTTATTGCCCATTATATACCCCCACGTGCTATTATAAGAAGTCAAACTGTCCATGACATTCTAGCAGGTAAAAGCACGCCTTTCTCCGTAGATTCTGATGTGGCTCGGGGAGCCAATGGTGCCATGTCTCAGAATCTTGGACCTTATAGTAAAGAAATACTAAGATACAGTGGATATAGCTCGGCATCCGCGTCGTCCTTTGATCCCCCGCCCCTTGCGGCCATCACCTGAGGATGTGACACCACCCCAGCTAATTGCACAGCTTGAGACAATGGGAATATAATAAGTGAACGTCAAAATATCATCCGTCTCTCTGGTTTTGTCAACGGAAAGGACCCTTTGTGTACCAAAGATGGCAGTAATTTGATTTCGAATTTAGATGATAGAGACTCCAGTGTCATAACACGATTTATCAAAAATGGTGAAGCATCCTAATGCCGCGAAAATATATCCGTAGTTAAGCCAAGGCGACTTCGCAGAAAAGCGAGATGATGCAACGCATTCCCCCCGTACGCCCGCCACTTATCTATGGATCCCACGAGCTTACCGGATGTTTTCAATTTGTATACCTCATACTTTCTCCCTCGGGTTGGTAGTGCGCTGATGATGTGTCCAGATAGACCGCTTCATGTTTCTACAACTGCTTCGCCTACAGACTTTACAGCTCTGACCCATAAAAGAGAAGCTTGCTTTGATTTACACACACAATTCATTAACGCCCGGCGGCCAAGCCGAAAGGGCAACTATCACTGATCTATCAATACATGTCCTATTGAATACCATGTCTCCTTGGAGCCCATACATGGTCAGTATATGTCATCTCAGCTGTCAATATCGTAGCGGGTCCTCGTGGGTTAGTAATTTTGTTAGTAGACTGGCTCGAAGGCGCTTCTTCAAGTGTTCAACATCCTATCCTCGGCAGTTGAAGCGCGTCTACCGTCTCTGCCACAAGGTGGTTGGTGTGGGTTGGTTCGGGGGAAGGGTGTCATTGTGTTGGTCGACATGGTTAAGCGGCGTCAAGTCGGCCGGCAACGGCAGGCCGACCAAGTTGGCCAGCAGTGGTATGAAGCAGCCGTCCGCAACCAGGCGCGAGTATTAAAGGTCTCCAGGATTGCCTCCCCATTAGTTGCTACACATGCGAGCCCGCGTCAGATATCGTCAGCCTCCAGACGACGCCTCGCGGGATCAAACAAGACTCGACGGTGCCCCTGTCAACTAGCTCCGAGCCGGTGCAGCCAATCAATCCCTTTGTCACTGCCGCAATGCTGCGAACGAACAGTGTCCCATGGCACGTTTCGCCGGCTCGACCAGCTATTCTGTCGTCGGTCACTAATATCCGGGCTGGTGTCCAAGACTTGACGCTCCAGAATCTCAGCTTGAGTGAAGAGGTCGACGACGTCCACTGTGTGTTTTGTCTGACCGAGGATGAAGATCATGCAAACGAGTGCGTGATGTTGCGTTGCAATCAGTACCGAGCGCTCGCCCATCTAGCCTGCGCGGAAGAGTGGTTGGAAAAGCGACGGCCAGACTTTGGCACATCATGCTGCGTTTGGTAAGTATGGATGATCCCGGTTCTGCAATATCGGGATGCTGATGAATACAGTCGAAATGAAGGAACTCTAGACGCCTTGATTTGCCCACTCCGAGTCGCCTCGTCGGATGCCGAGACATTTCGTCCACACGGCAAGCGAATCGTCTCCCGATAGAGAACTTATCACGGCCAGGAATTCACCACCAAACAATCCTCGTCAAAGTCAGCCGCGCGCAGTCAGCTAGAAGAGTGCGATCCCAAGGGGCATCAGTCGAGCAGAGTGAGGAACATAGCCCCCGTCGCTCAGCCAGAATAGCAGGAGCTCATCTGCCGCGGGACTCTTCTATCTCTACATCACTTCGTCTGTCGGCACCACTGAATTCCACCGAGCATAATTGATCACATTTTACAGCGGAGGTGTGGCAGAAATGGACTTGAGATTAGAGAAGCGACTGTCAATCACTCACCCGTGATGCTATGTGACCAGACAGTCGGCATTGGGATCAGCATCTCAGAGCATAGCCGTGATGTAGAGAACAAGTAGTGAGATAGAGAGTTTGGAGCAAGCTTAGCATCTAAACAAATGAAACCCTGATCAGTAAAACTCCACAGAGCACTACGCAACCGTTTCTTCTTTGTAAGTGCTAGATGTCATTGCACCTAGCCAAAAGCTATTGCTAGTGTCGCTTGAATTCAAAATGTGTCTAAGCATGAAACCGAGTCCCGGTAGTTAAAAGTGCTGGTAGCATCGTACCTAACGGCGGTGACCAAAGAAAATGTTGTGATATGTGGCTGATGCAGATCAGGAACCAAGCCGAACCATCGGAATTAATCCCGAGGTGTCTATACGAAGAATCAATCAACTTGATCTTCTCGTTGTATATATAGCCTCATGTTTCCCTCTGAATAAATACAACAATTCATACCTATGAACTACAACACATTCGACTAAAATGCACGAGCGCAAGGATCACAGCTCTTTGCTGTCTCTTCGTCCCTGGTCCACCAGAACAGGTGAGTCCTGAGATGTCTCTCCGATCTACAAGCTAATGAACGACAGTGACCCTTGAGGATTTAGCATCCCAGTCAGTGCTCCGCGCAAAGCCATGGCTTACACACTATTCCTGGCCCCGTCGCTCCAAACTACGCAGCATACCGTAGGTGAGATATATGAACCAAACGAGCGGCCAAATAAAGGTGCGAATATCCGATTGCGTGCTTCGCTGCATAGAAGCTTGAGAGGTCCATTCTTCCTGATAATGTGAGTGATTTATCGCCCCCGCTGCTGCGCTATATCAGTTATTTGCGCCAATTCTTGTGCCCCAGAACACGAATACCATTACTAGATTCATGCCATTATACATAGGAGCAGCCCATCGCCACCCGTGAAACATCCTTGTGGGGAGTTCTTTTATCGTCGGATCCAGATAAGACTAAGGCGTCAGTCACTACGACGCGTGCTCCATCGCGTCTTCCGCCCTCGACCTTACCGCCTTCACACTAAACGGCGGAGTGTATGAACCTCTGGCCGTCCGTATCGCGAGGTCCTAACCCTATAACGACTGTACAATTTCCTGTCGTAGGTGGTTCGTCACGCGCCTTTGGCTCTTAGAAGTTGCCCGGTGCACCTAACGCGGCTTCTTCGAAGTGATAGCCGGAGAGTGCGACGAACTAGAGATAACATTATATTAATATAGTATGGATGGTGACTGTATTAATGAAGATAATTGTAAGTGATCTCGTCGGTAAGAAATAACCACGAAGCTAATTGATCGTCTCGTCTTAAGCGAACATTCTGCGAATATTATGAATAGGTAAGTTATAATAACTCGTCTAAGTGGTAAGCCTAGCTGACTCGGATCGTATAATAGGAGGTCCCTTAAATTCACTTATACTCGAGTAGAATATGAAGCGAATAAGTTATGTGGAAGTGATAGATAGTATACGATCGTATCGGTATAGGGGACCCAAGCAGATAAGATCATCGATGATAAGTTAATATAAGGTTTAGATCGTCTCGGCCCTTCTCTTAGTCGACTCCGTGTATCAGTTAGACTGCGCCAAAAACCGCAAAACCGCAAAATCGAACCGCCCCAAAACCCGCCCCAATTGCGGTTTGGGGCGAGTTCTAGAAACCACCATAGTTTATAGGGCCCCAGTGGTTTCTAAAGTGGAGTAACTTTTAGGAGCCCCGTGACATTCATAACTTATACAATTTCCCCCTATATTTTTTAGTATTCCCCTTACTCCTTTATATTAGTGGATTAAATATATTTCATCTCAAATTGAAAGATATAATTTATTATCTAGCTAATAATATATATATTGATTATTATCACGCCTAATACGTTTCCGAGCTCTTATAGAAGCACGTAGCTAAGTACTTCCTACCTTAGTCGGAGGTAGTAGAAGGTTAGGTTTATTATTAATTATAATCTATACCTCGCCTATATCTTACTCTTCTTCCTAGTTACCCTATTCTTTAGTATCACTAATTAGATCGACGCTAACCCTATTAGGTATAATCTCCCTTTCTTCCCTCGTAGCTTTAATCTTATTATAAGAGAAGAACTCCTTTAGAAATGCCGATTGCTCCTCTTCTATATCGAACTTTAAAGTGTAAAGATATATTATTAATTCCTAAATTATTATTACACTTAGTCTTCCTCGGCGATAATAATAGATATCCCGCGTAGTATTGAATAGTCTTTTAACACTAGCGCTAGTCGCTAGGACTAAAAGTATATCCTATACGAGGGCTATAAGTGTAGGAAAGCGATAGGTATTATCTTTCTAAAATAATAAAGGTGTAGTATTAATAGTTACTATTATAGTATTAGTATTATATATACTATTAAAGTTAGTAGGAATATATACCGCTATTAAGATATTATAAAACCTTATCACCTAAGAGAGTGGTATAGTGGCGATTTAGCGTTAATATAGAGTTAAGACGTGATCTTACTCCTCCTAACGATTAAAATTAAAGCGATATCGATTAGCTAGTAAGGCGTTCTTAATATAGAATCAAGTGATCTTTAAGGGATTTTCGATATATTACGCGCCACTTATCGTCCTAATTATTAGTTTGAAAGAACTAGAACTTATTCGCGGGCGTAAGTATTATACTAATTATATAAAGGTGTCCTCGAATATTATCTATCTTCGAGTAGTACTCGTTAAGCTTCGTTCGAGTAGCTTATAACGCTTAAAGTATCTATCGCTTCTAGCTAGTCCGTTTCCGTGTAAGCTAGGCGATAGATAGCTTAAGGTGTTCGAATAGTCTATTATAAATTAGGAATATATAGTGTGTAGTAGTATCCTATATCTTCGAGAGTTTAATAGTAAAATTAAAAAAGGGTTAGGTAAGGAAGAGAAGGTAGTTAACCTAGCGCTATTCTTCGTTATTAAGTAATATATTAGCCCGTTTATATTTATTATAGAAGGGGCTAAAGATAGATCGTAGGCGCTTTACACGCCGAAGTATAAGAAACGTTAAATTCTAATAGGTCTTTATATCTTAGAGTAGTATAAGCTTAACTATTTCTACCTATAAGGTATAGAATGTTTCTCGATATTAAGGGCTTATATTCACGTAAATAGTAAGGTTACGAATCTAGGGTTAATTAGTATAGTCTAAATAAGGGGTGGGATACGTACCTTAGCTAAAGTATTAGCGATATCTTAACTTATTATATTCGCACGCGCTAATTAGGAGCGCTACTCTATCCACCGTGTCTCCGTTATTTCATTCTCTAGGTAAGCCTTAATATACCTAAGAAGCTCGTTTAAGCTAAGCTAAATAATATATATAAGGTAAGGGACTCGGATAATAGTCGTTTTATCCGATATTACTTATTAGAGTGTGTTAACTAATATCTAGTTATTTGATATATTATCAGTTATAATTATAAAGATCCGATCTTCGATTTTATATTATAGAAGAATATCTAGGAGCACCGAACTTAGGTTTATACTAGAGTGTATTCTATAAAGTGGTTTAAAGCTGAGGAGGACCTTACGGTACTACTAGCTCTTATCGATAAAATAGCTAGTGATAGCTATAAATGCCTATATAAAAGGAGAGGTCTAGTAGTCGAGAGTAATTAAGATCTTCACACTTTTCGGAAGCATTCGAAGAATACTTTCTTATTATACTTATACGGAGGTTTATAGTCGACGCCGTATCGTCTTCGCGGAAGGGATTATAGGACTTATCGGTACGGATTAGGCTATTTAGATTAAGCGATAGAATTTAGGGTGCTTAATAAGCCGAAATAGAAGACATACGACCGTAAGAAATATTAGAAGCCTCGCTTCCTATATATCTTAGTTGAATTATTCGATATATAGAGTATTCTACTATTAATTAGTATTAAATCCTTAGAAGTATAGTATATAAAATATACCCCGCTCTATAGAAATCGAGTGATATTAGACTTCTAGCCTTAAGAAGCCTTTATATAGCCTATAGTTATAAGGTGGTTTCTTATTATCGAAGTTCCCTAGCGCTATTTCTTTCTATCTTTCGTCTCGCGTATAAAGTTAGGGTACTCGAGAATTTGCCTATAGCGCTTATATATAACCTTAGCTACACTATTAACGCTATATACGACTTAATAAAATTTATTCTAAGTGCTAGACTAATATTTCGTATTCTAAAGTATATAATCTTTCTTCCTAAACCTAGTTTCTAGCCACTAATTCACCTAATCGTTATAAAGCATCTCGTCGTACCGAATATATACTTTATTCCGACTAGGACTAACACGCTTAAGGGAGGAAGGAATTATAAGAGGTAGGGGCGGTCGGAGGAAATCTGGATCGAAGGACGGGAAAGTTTCCTAGCTCTCGGAGAGATTAGGCGTAAAGGGAGGATTATATATAATATCTATATCGCCGTCGTATATAGATAAGGTAAAGGGGGATTGCTAGCTTTAAGACATTATAGTGTTAAATTTAGATCTAATAACGATATATAATAAGAGGAAAGGAAATAACTTATATAAATAAATTATATTATAATTCGACGCGATTAAATAAATAGAAGAATTGTTGATAATATGATATATTATAGAATATAATTTAAATACGCCCTCTAATTAGATAAGACCATCCGCTTTTATAGGTAAAAACTATTAGAAACCATTATAAACCATTATAAACCACTAGTAAACCACTAGTAAACCACTATAAACCACTATAAACCACTATAAACCACTATAAACCACTATAAACCACTATAAACCACTATAAACCACTATAAACCACTATAAACCACTATAAACCACTATAAACCACTATAAACCACTATAAACCACTATAAACCACTATAAACCACTATAGTGCCCCGCTTATAAACTATTAATAATAATAACTATAAAGTAAACCTATAGAATCTAGATTATAGGACTTAAAAGCTATCTTATAGTCTATAGAAATAGTTTCAAGCTATATAAATGATAATTTCTTATAAATAGGATAAGCTATATTTAATTGCTATTAATTATAACCTCGTAGCTATAAAAGCTATACACCTATAAATAGGGTATTGATATACGTACCCCCCTTTGGATAATCCTACCCCCCTTTGGATATTTGTACCCCCCATTGCCAAAAGAATCAGGCATTAATACTACCGCCTTCCTAATCGGGTGCGACACTGAATTCTGCCATACTTTTCTGCCACTACAGAGTTTTCTGCCATATATTCTGCCACAACCAGTAAAAAACACTGCATTTTAATGAGAAAAAAACGTACATTTCTGCCTGATTACTGCCTTGATACTCTACATATTGATTATCCTGCTTCTTATGCACCTCCCCGTGCGCGCTTTCGTCCCCGTCCACGACCTCGATCACCACTACCGGTTTCACCACTGCCAGTTTCACCACTGCCAGTTTCACCACTGCCAGTTTCACCACTGCCAGTTCCACGTCCACATCCACGTCCACGTCCCCGTCCCCGTCCCCGTCCCCGTCCCCGTCCACGACCGCGTCCACGTTCCTGCGAAAGTATATGTTCGAATGCTGATGGTTCTCGCCGGGTGGATCGATCCTAGGTAAGAGGATCTGGCGAAGAGAGGATATCTTGGGTGCTCTGCTGGGTGACGCTCTGCTAGGTGGTTGACTGGCTGATAAAGTTTCTCGCTCCTCGTGGACGTCCTCGTCGTCGAACCTAGAGAGGATCCTAAACTAGAAGTAGGGGGTTGATCGGTGGTGCTGAGACACTGTATAACTGCCAATGCTGGTGGAAGAGCGAAGGTTCAAGGCTCTTTTTCTCTTCTTCGTATCGCTTGATGATATGAATACAAGGGAACCCCGCTGTCTCCTTAGAGTTATAGTTGCAACCTGGCGAGATTTGTGGTTTGCTTTCTCCTTCTGGAAGATATCTGTTATAAAGATCCTTCGTATGCTGAATTGCTTTGAATGATACTCGTCTAATAAGTAGCTTATATAGCGGAGAGATGCTTATTGGCCTTCGAATCTTGTTGTTTTCGATCTTATTAGTGATCTTTGTAAATTGAAGTTTTACAACTCGCTCAAAGTTTTGTAAGACAACTAGAAGATCATTAGTTGATATCTGTAGATCCTGCTTAAGCAGCCAGTGAGCTCCCTCAGTTCGGGAAGTGGCGATCTCTAAGAGATGAAGGTATTGAGCCGTATGGATATAGAGAAACCGCTCGGGGCAATCTTTAAGCCATTCACTCTAAAGATAGTTAAGAAGAGGTTGGAAAATAGGATCCTAGTACTTCTCTTTGAAGTATTCCCACTACTGGTTCATGACTTCGGGGGAAGTGGCGTATACAATCTGGTTCCAGCGCTTCAGCATTTTCTTCCAACCTTCATCTAGCTTCTGGCGATCCTAATCTCGCTAGGCCTTTGTTAGACGCTGTGTGCCTACCTCTCTATAGGCATTTGCAATCTCTTCTGAGAGAAGTGGACGGGCCTTTTTTAAGATATTTATCTCAATGTGCCAGATATAGATCATGGTTTTTATGCTAGGAAAGACAGACTCGATGGCATCAATTAGCGCTTCTTCCTTATCTATAAGGATCGTTTGGGGGTATAGAAGTTCTAGGGAATCATAAGCTTCAGTAAGGCAGTTAAGGATCACTTCGTATATATCTTATCTCTTATCCTTCATAAAGGCAAAGCCAATATAGAATATTGAGCTAGTAGAAGCGAAGCTAACAATATCGAGTAGTGGGAGGCCGTACCGATTGGTCTTATACGTGTAGTCCATCGAAAGTACCTAGGGATTCGACTTCAGCATTACAACGCTTGTCTTATGCATATAGAATAAGGCAGTGATATGGCGATCATCGTCGATTTCGTACTTGAAAATCCACTCTCCATCCTTAGGAAGCTCCATTAGTAGCGCTTGAAGAGGGGTTCGGCCAGCAAGAAATTCAATACTAAGCTTCTTCCGGAAGTTATAAACATCACGGGCTGTTATACACGACTCTAGGTCACTCTCTCGAAGCGTAGTTAGGATACGGCGGGTTGGGAGACCTTACTAAAGCTGTTTTCGTATTTCTTCTGTCTTATTAACGATCTCGGTATGGCGGTGGATAGGGTGAGTTGACGGAGGTGATAGTTTATAGTTATAGAATGGATTCTCCACTATTAGATGCTAGGTTCCTATCTCAAGCCGCAGGCGTAATGAGATGCTAAACTGGCACTGATAGGCGAGGGTTGTGGTATTCCGTATACGGTGAATAGAAACATCCGCATTATCGATAGAAACATTCGCGTTATCAACAGAAACATTCTCGTCAAGTTCTACCTATGGTTCTCGCCATCGGTCACAGCAGAGTCGAACAGTCTTCTTAATGCCCTTCCTTATTCGTTTCGACCGTCGGCTTAACACTGCATAACCAAAACGCTGGGCGAAGGTATTAATTACAGTGATAGCGCTGTCAGGGTCATCGTATGGTTGATCTATAGGGGGTAATGGCAAGAAAACAAGGCCTGGCTGCGGCGAAGGGCTGAGTATAGCGGGTAGGGACTTAGTATCCGGATCGTTGATTGGCTCCGCGGGAGGGGACTCGGTGCTTAGCATCGCCGGTGGGGACTCGGGGACGATCTCCGGATCCGAATCTAGATCTGATTCCAGATATGCAAGGCCTAGGGAGGCCATATTGACAATGGTAATGATGAATTTGATGAAGAAAGTGATGAAAAAATGGGTAGGAAGAAGGCAGGTTAATGTATGTAAACCAGAATTGGAATATCAATTTGTTTGATCCTATCTACATGTATGAACGGGGTGTTATGTGACAAAAGTGACTTAATTTTGTTAGTGGTTTACATATTAATTGTAGGTATCTGCCGTCTTGCTAGTATTACATGGGTTGTTTGACACGAAGGCGGTGTATAAAATAGGAAGGCGGTACAGACAGCGGTACGCAGTTCGGAATGTGCACCTGATTTTTCAGGCAGAGGGGGGGTACAAATATCCAAAGGGGGGTAGGATTATCCAAAGGGGGGTACGTATATCAATACCCTATAAATAAATATAATTCTTTTTAAAAGATGTCCACCTTATATACTATATCAAATATATATTTTCACACTAAATCAGAGAATAATCTACTATACCATATAATAGCCAACCCCCTATAGTTAGGAGTAGTAAAAAAGTAAGAAATAAGTTATTACCTTAGTCAATTATCATATATACAATTAAATTTCAATTGATTTCGTCTGTTTTATAGCAGAATTATCATGTCGAGTAGGATAGTGACTGGAACAGCGGTAAATAACAGTAATCTAATATGATAAATCAGCTGTTCTATGAATGCCAAGACCTACATTTTATGCAATAATGGTTTTTCTTAGGGCCCCAATGGGGGCCCAGTGCGGTTTATGGTTTGGGTGCGGTTTATGCTATTTGAAACCGCACCCAATGCGGTTTGGGGGTTGGGGTGAGGTTTTGCCCCCAATTGCGGTTTTTGGCGCAGTCTACTTATCACGATGGCCCTTAGTCAAGATATTATATTATTACGTCACTATAACTGAAAAGTGATAGCCCTCAAATTAGTAGGCTATAGTGAATGCTTGATAGTCTATATCCGTCATAGTTGGTTGACGTTTTAACGATTTGGCTAGGTAGCTTGCTTTACATCAGAAAATAGCTCTTAAATACTATTTACCCCGACCTTATCGGCCCTAACTCTTATATGGAGCTCGAACTATGGCATAAATTGATTATAGATAAAACATTATACTTCTTTCCAAAGTTTGTTTCGTTAAAGGTAAAGTTAGTAGGTTTGGGCATTCTTCCTAGGTAGGTAGGTGTAATAAAAGCCGTATACGAAGCTAAAATATGTTTTAAGGAAGAGGGAAAAAGACTAAAGCCTCAATTTTATAAGGCCAAGAAGAGAGCTGGTTTGCTGACTTAGATTGTTCACAAGGGCGCTCTGGCATCGCAGTAAACAACACTGCCAAAGATCCCCATGTCACTTGGGATGCTACAGTCTTCAACATGTCACGTCACGTAGCCAACGATCCTGCTGGACTTGCGTATACGGGGCTGGCTTACATTGACCATCCAGTCAAGATACTGGGCACAAGCAATCAGACCAGTGGCGATATTGTGACCCCTACCTATGAAAGCATTGCGATGGCAAGTTGGCCACTTGCGCGAGTCATTTATTTCAACCTGAACTCGCCTCCTTACAAAGGAATGGATCCAGTGTTGAGAGAATTGATCAAGTTCGTTCTTTCCAAAGAAGGTCAACAGATTCTTCTGGACCAAGGCATTTTCCTCCCTTTTCGAGAGTTCCAGCAAAAGTCGAGCTTGAATCTTCTGTAAATTGATTGAAGATTACCGGATGTTGAAGGGCACCGAGAGAAATATCATTCTTCAACCATGGAGGTTCATCTCAACTGTTCAAATTGAATATGCTTAGTTCTAGAGGCCGGAGACTCACATTCATTTTTTGTATATAAATCGTATTTGTTTAAAAGAGGTGAGAATGTAAACAGTGGTGTATTTTGACATGATACTAGCGGTTGCATATAATTTTCAAATTGACGTGTCTCGTTACGAGGATTAAAAAGGACGGAATTACACGAAGATGATTGGATGCATATAAGCCGAGGGCCAACAAAGTTTACAGGTGGAGTGGATTTGCTCAAACATTACTGGACGTAAGCAGAGTGCTAATAATCTTGACAAGTGGAAGTGTGGAGTCCTGTGGAGTGGAATCACCGGACATAATGTAAGCTGAGTGCCCAGAAACATGCAGGGTGCTTTGATGCGGATCGTCTTTTATTCAAGAAGTCAGCGGAATGGTTTTGTTGATTGAAGCGAATCACTTCTTTGTCTTCTTCCCCTTCAATCCATGTTGGTCGACGACTTGGTCTCCAATTTCCACTAGAAGCCATTGGTCGTTTTTACCAGTATATAAGGTACATTTAGCGTAGTGTGAAAACGCTAGCAAGGTGAAAATATGTCCTTTCATATAGATGGTCGCGGCGTTATAAGGGAGTGCGTATTTAAATTCAACGGAATAGTCAAAATGTCGACTGAGCGAGGGTCCACAATTTCCCACACGGTGTGTTAGTGGGCTTGACACGGCTATTGGAATAGATACAAAAAACCTAGAACACCAGCGATATACATGTTGGGCTTATAAGAATGTCCACCACTTGATTTCGCAGTTGAGGTGGCTTTCGCAGTGGTCGTTGCATTCGGGGTTCCCGAACTCGCCATTGTCAGATTGTAAACAACAATCCCCTCCTTCTGAAGTGGTACAGCTACCAGGTTGTTTTGCACATCAACTGCCACTGAATGAGCCGTGGTATTATCCGTAGCCCAAGTTTGGATCAAAGTATTGTTTGTCGCATCAATCACAGCGAGTTGAGGGTTGGGTTTGCCTAACTTGTTTCCGCCAGCAAGGTTCTGATACGCCGAGGCGTAATACAACTTCTTTGTTGGATTATATGCCACCTGATCGATTCCAGCAATGCCGGAAATATTTGCAATAACTTTCCCCGTGGCAATGTCGAGAACTTGGCTGCGGGCCATTCCGTAGTCGAGAATCTGATCCTGACTGCAGCCGACAAAAAGATTCTGCATTGGTCCGAAAGCAATCCCCGCCGGAATACACTCTGACAACGGGATGATTTTGGAAATGCTCTTGCTTGAAACATTGATTTCGGCAATTTCCCCGCCAGGGTTGGTGCCCGTACTCGGGACAGAAACATAGAACATCCCATTGACAGCATTATACGCTGGCTGCTCTAGTCCCGAGGCATTTTGAAACAGAATGCGACCAACCACTTCGCGCTTTGCTGCCGATATGATGGTAACGAAAGGGGGATCATCGTTGGGGTTCGTGACGACCACAGTTTGGGTTTGTGGGTCGTATGCAAACTCATCTGCGCGCTTCTTTGAGCCAGTAGATATGTTTGCAACAATGTGGCTCGTGAAGAGATCGATGACCTTCACCGAGCCATCGCCGTCACCAACATACAGTTCATTGAGGTTTGGCAAGACGATAAGTCCATCCGGTCCACTTATCGAGGAGTCGGTTTTGTTCTTCGTGTAAGCCTGCCCCTTGAAACCTGATATAGGTGGCTTGTTTTGGCTCGTGGACAGGTCGACGACATGAACCATGTTGTTGGTCCGATCTGCGAGGTAGTATGTGCCGTTGTACACCGTGCTCTGATCAACGCTTGAGGGCGCCTTCGGCGTCCATGGGATTGTCGATGCAGTCTCATAAGACAAACACCTCACGCCGGTGACCAGGCAGAAAACAGAAAGGGAAGTGAATGGTCTCATCGTGGGAAAGAATGGGATGAATCAAATTTAAAATGGATAGATATCATCAAGGATAAGAGGCAGAACTTGTTTTCAAATGCAGATATCCTTTTATTTGCCGTAAGATTAACGCGGGCTTTATATACATTTTGCCTTTGGTTCCTGGTCCTTTGGCTGTCTATGTGGTTTAAAAATATGTCCGTTTTCCGGAGTGTTGTTAATGTGTACCTGAAAGGGTCATGATAGGGGTCGGGGTTCCTCCGAACGCGGCAGATATTTGCCGTCTTACACAACTACATAAGGTTTGGCGGCTTCTAAAACCCCGCGGGGGCAGCCTATTCCATATTCTAGGAAGTCGTAAGGTTTACCTAAAAGCTATGTTCGACGCATGATTGGTTTCATGAGACAATCCAGGGAAATTGTCAAAATTTTTAACCTCACCCCCGCGTTTTCTGGTCCAAAGCGCGAGCAACTTCCCATGGATCAGACCACCTAGTCGAATAATTTAAATTAAAGTGGAAGGACGTACGTCCGATACTGTATCGAGTGGGAAATACGCTTATATGACTGTAATAACATTGAATCTAGTGGTTTAATCCATGATTAAATCTTTGATTCAATTTTGAATACCGTGTTCCTATTTTAAAGTTCACGATCTTTAGAGTTAAGGCAAGCTTTTCGGGCGATTGCTTGGGAATGCTTGGATGTTCTTGGCGTAATCGATCACCGAAAATGTGTGATTTGCTACGAAGTACTATTTTCCAAAGAGCGAATGGATAACCTAGAATTTAATTGGTGTGGCACTGCCAATCAGAGACGGAATAATTTCGGGGAAAATAGTAAACTTTAGACAAAAACAGAAATTGAGAATTCGATATTCCGGGGGTTTGAGCAATTTCCTCGGGGGCTAGAGAGGATGGTAAGGCGAGGCCAGAGATGCCAGCCCTTGGATAGCGCTACGTGCGTGGCAAGATTCCGGAGGAAAGATTGGATTGGTTTACGACGCCGGGGAGGAAGCCACGTAGGGTCTGTCAAGGGCGGACACCTAGTGGTAGCCCGTGTTTTGAATTCACGAGATTACAATTGGCTACGGCTTTAAATATTAAGGCCCAAGCTGATTGGCAAAGGTTTCTAGTAGTAGATACATATGTAGTGTAACGTGGGGGCATCAATTTACCCGTCGGATCTCGCGTGGGGACCTAAGTTTCCACCTCGCGCTACACAACCCTGCCGAATAGCTCCACGGCGAGATTTCCCAATCATCGGCCACGGAGGCAAAGGCTCGATGCCAAAGCCAAAGGACCGAGACCGAGAAAACTGGTTGTTGGACAATGTCGGTCATCCCATTGATGCCTTTGTCTAGCCATCTCATTGATGCCTCCATTTGTTTGCAGACTGAGCCTGTCTTTCTTTGTTTGGCAGGGTATAAATCCCCTGCTTCAGATAGATTGAATAGATCATGATTCCTCCTTTTCTTCTCTCTCTCCCCTGGTTAGTAGCCCAACACAGGTTGCCACCACTAGCCAACCTCCATTATTGACCCCGCTTTCTCACGTTGATTCGGGACCAAAGCGAACCGGAATCTGTGATAAACTTCGTCTGGCGTTTGTACCTCGCGGGAATTATATTGCGGGGTATTATATGAACAGGAAACCCAAAATCGGCCACAAATCGCCGATGTCGGTAATGCAAGATCCTCGATAAAAGGAATGGCGGTTTCCGCTTTCTAAGCCTCGTGCCATATGCGAGGCTGTTGAATAATATTTCCCCTTAGCAAAGCGATCGTGAGAAAATATCACCATGTATCGCAAGTTGCTCCAGTCCACGCCCAGGGAGGCACTTAACTGGAAGCTCTTTTATGCGGTTATTTGCTTCGGCCTTATGGGCGCCGCGCGAGGTATGAGCCTTTGGGTTTTGCTGATTCTGGAAGCTATATCTAATTATTCACAGGCCTTGATGAGGGTCTTATATCCGCGACCGTGGCGCAGAAGTCTTTTATTGCTGAATTCGGACTGCAAAGCAAGTCCCTTAGCAAGTCTGCACAAGCCAATATCTTGTCCAATGTCACTTCTATGGTTCAGATAGGGAGTGTCGCTGGATCACTTATTGCCTTCTTGCTTTGTGATAGGATCGGCCGACTATGGGCCACTCGTGAACTATGCGTCGTGTGGATTGTTGGAGTCATCGTCTTCATTACGGCCAGAGGCAATATTGGACAAGTTTACGCTGGCCGATTTGTCATGGGCCTTGGAATTGGGCAGACGACCGTTGTTGCGCCTACCTATCTAGCCGAGACGACGCCTCGATCCATTCGAGGCCTGTGTATCTGTGTCTTCTCAGGATCTGTCTACCTCGGTATTATGTTGGGAGTAAGCTTTCCTATTCGCTTTCCATTTCACCATGAAAAATTCATACTGACGGTTGGTGAAGTACTTTTCTAGTTGGGGTACTTCATTGCACATCTCGAATCAAAGCCCGAAACAATGGTTCATTCCCCAGACAATGCATATTATGTTCGCGGGAATAATCTTGCTTATGTCTTTGTTTGCGAAGGAGAGCCCGCGATACTTGTTAAAGGTGGGACAACGGGAACATGCCACTGAAAACATGATCTACCTTCGCAATCTCCCCGCCGAGCATCCATATGTCCAGACAGAGCTTATCGATATCAACGATCAACTGGAGCGTGAGAGAGAAGCTACATTAGGCAGTGGCTTGCTAGGACCTTTAAAAGAGATTTTTTTCCTCCCTTCCAACAGGTACAGAATCATGGTCGGCCTCATGGCACAACTCCTTGGCCAGTGGTCTGGTGCCAACTCAATTACAAGTCAGTTATTCAAAATCGAGGACTGCAATGTCCTGCAATTTTCATATCACTAATCGAAATATCCACGCAGTTTATGCCCCCGAATTCTTCGCCCTTCTAGGTACCACCGGCCAGTCGGAGAAGTTATTCGCGACGGCTATATTTGGGGTTGTCAAATTCGTCTCCGCTATCATATGCGCCTTGTTTCTGGTTGATATCATTGGACGCAAACGATCTCTGACGTACGGAATCATTCTTCAACTAGTTTCTATGCTGTATATCGCCATCTATCTGACTGCGTTGCCATCTGTCACCGGCGACAAGAATAAGAGCACCGCCGCGAAGCATGCAAGCACAGGAGCAGTAGTATTTATTTACTTCAGTGGCGTTGGCTGGGCCCTTGGCTGGAACTCGATTCAATATTTGATCAACGCTGAGATCTTTCCTCTGCGCGTCAGAAGTTTGGGTACAAGTCTGGTCATGTGCTTCCACTTCATCAATCAGTATGCAAACTCCAAGGTAAGTGAATCTATACGTTCTATTTACACTCTTGCGAGATTACTTAACATTGGACCTTAGGCTGTTCCGTCGATGCTCTTGGAATCATCCATGAAACCTCAAGGCACCTTCTGGTTTTTCTCGGCCATCACTTTTATTGGCCTTCTCTGGGTTTGGTTCTTCCTTCCCGAGACGGCAGGAAAGAGTTTGGAAGCTATGGATGAAATGTTCAGTCTTCCCTGGTACATTATTGGAAGAAAGGGCGCTGCCATGACTGCTGGTCAGGGCTCCGTTGCGGAGGCATACAGTGGTGCTGATATGGAAAAGATCGCCAACATCGAACAAGCTGAACACAGAGAAGTTGCAGCGCCAGGTGGACGTGAGCTCTGAAATTTTGAGTTGAGAGACTGAGATCTAAGTCGCGTTGCTCTTATATGGATGACCTAGTAAAGCTAAGCAGTATTATAAATTAGTGATTATACTTAGGCTACTATAGTTAGCTAGGTAGTCCTTAGTATATAGGATAGGTCCACTTCGGCTATATTACTAACTATATCTTATACTTAATTTAATTACTATATAATATATATCTAGGTTAAGAAGTTAAGGCTTAGCTACGATATACTTAACTATATCCCTTATAGCCTCTAAAAATTTGAAGTCTGTTAGGTACAAAGGGCGGCCTTAACCTAGGGTTAAGGGTTATAGTCTAATTATTCTACTACGCCCTACCCTAGATATATATTAAACGTTAATCTTAAGTCGTCTATTCCTAGCGCTATAGCTAGGTTATACGTTTTATATATAGGGAGTATATACGTCTACGACTTAAATATACCTCTATAAAGTTTTATCAAAATCGAGTATATATTATAAAGCCCGACCTAGCTTCGACTAAATCTCCAGACCTAGGGGTGTGGGGCGTTTGTCTAACCAACCAGATCTACTAAATACCGGTAAAGAATATATTATAATTCTGACTCAGGCTCGGTCGGCCGCCTCCCATAGGATAGGGATCTCCAAAAATATGTGCGTGTCTTCTTTGGTTTCTCTCTGTGGAATGTAGACATAGGCCGACCAATGTACGATCTTCACTTCGTCGGACGACTACTTCAATCAGTTTATTAAGATTCTCAAAGACTCGCAATGGGAGTTGCTCCGCAACTTTGGTACCACAGCCCGTCAAATATTTTATCATCTAGTTTGCAGAGATATGTGGTAGCGAGAATTGTTTACTCTGGAGACAATGGATTCGGAGATCTTCAAACATCCGAAAAGATCTGGGAATTTTGCGCCTCCTCGGCAGGGCAGTAGTATGTTTGTGAATGGCAACTCTCATTGCTTCATTGCCTGACCAACCATTTTTCTCACTTCACTTTTCTCCGTCAATATACTGGTTACCCTGTAACCTTCAAAGCGAATATGGTCTCAACACTATATAGGTCGAACTTTTGCGCTACATTTGCCTTATAGACTGGCCTTATTCTCCATATGACTAGCTGCCACATATGAAATTCAATAGTTTAGCTTCTACTTTTCGCAACAATCTCATCTTTCAGCAAACCATACATTTCAACGTCTTTCTAGACCTCTCGTAATAATAGTGTCAGATTTCATAGCTCTGTAGAACCTAGCTTCTACAACTCTTCAATCCATCTGTCTCACATTGCACCATGCACTTCGACGTAGTCCTCTCCTGACAAATAGCATGCTGGAGATTTTTAAGTCTGCTCCACAATAGCATCTACCTCAATCTCGACAAGCATCCTCTTATTTATAAAACCGCCATTAACCACAATCATTGTTGCAGCAGCTCCTATTATACCACCTCCACCACAATGATGCTTTCCCAGTATCTCACTAAATCCTAGTCCCACAGCCTCGCAGTCCTCGTGGCGACTGACAAACATCTTGACGCGAACTATATCCTCCGCGCCTCTACCACCAATACCTTGGATAGCTCGAATACTCTCCTCTAGAGCAACGAGTGTCTGTTGTTTGGCATCTTCTGGGTGAAGAATTCGCGGTGCGTCGGTGGGAGAACAGGGATCAACCGCTGTAGTGCCGGAAACGAAGATCTGATTTCCATGGCGGATGGCCCGGTAGTAACCAATTTTTTCTTCATATGGGGATGAGGTGGCAAAGCAGGTTTTCGCTAGAACGGAAGCCATAGCAAGGCTAGAAACATGTGTTCAACTATCATGTCAGTAAAGCAAACAAGAGCGACAACCCAAATGACATTACCAGGTAAGAGAACTTTTAGAAGAGAAGATGGACAGAAGATTGAGAAGGGGCTTTTTTCAAATTTGCGCATTTTCCTTCTTGACGTGGCCAAAGATCTTTAAATACGAAGTAGCACCCGAATGAGTCACGATTGTGTGGCGTTTCTCACTAGCGGTTAACTGTAGAATGTCGTCGATGATCGAATATAGCCGGAAAATGTAGTAGGAAATGCAGGTTTTAACATAGGGGACGAGAAGTATCTGTGCATAATTTGTGCTCTGTTGACCCTTATCAATTCCCACTATACAGGTCAGATGGCTACGTTAGGGAGTGCAATATGGGGCATCAAACGTAGTGGCTGATTACGGGTGGCTGATTACGGGTGGCTGATTACGGGTGGCTCATTATAGGTGTGTCATGTAGTTGGGCTGGAAAAAGGGTGTGACATTTGCTATATTACATATGGGTCCGCTATGTATTTTCATGGGTCTGCTAAGCGTTTTATGTCCAGTTGTGCATATATCATGGTGAGTCGCCTATCTGAGGTTTATGAAATTATTAATGCTGATGAAAAGGCTATCGCAAAAAAGCACGAGAAAATGACTCTCATTCCATGTCCTTTATGGCCTTGCACTCCTTTTTTATAGCTTTGATAGTGCGTCATAGGGCATTAAGAAACTTGTTCCTCGGCACTAGGGCCTTCAACTCATTCTTCTAGAGATTATTGAAGCTGCATCGGGCACTTTGGCCCGGCTAGTGGCAGCATGTGCAAAGAGTTTGCCTAGCACCCGGATATAGGACATTAATTTCCTGTCCCTATTTATGTAATTTGCGCATTCCTTTCGGCGCTTCGTCTTCTTGCCAACTAAGTGTGTAAGGATGGCCTCGCCTTTTTTTGACATTTTCACCACCTTTCATTTCACCACCTAGGTATCGAAATGTGGCCCTACCACAATATTCCGCTTGCCCGCGTTTCCTAGCAGGTGTAGCATGGGCTTTCTTCTCAATTTCATGCGGCGGAGATGGTAGACCGGGCTGGCCTTCATTTTTGCCCTCTCTACATCTTTGACCACTAGGTCAAGGAACCGAGGGAAACAGAGACATGCACTGGGAAAGGAACCCTCCGGATCCTCCGGCAATCGAACCCACTGGGCGTCGAGCCTGAACAGCTAGGTATCATAATATTCAAAAGTTCTTTCCTAACGGGTCTCCAAATCCTCGTTCGAGAATGGAATCAGTTGTGGGGAGAGATCCGGGGCCCTATGGAACGTTTTGTCAAAGGGCCACATTGGACGGGGGATGCGACGATGCCCAAGACGCTGTAGATCTTGATCAACACCGCCAGGAGTTAAACCAAGCATCCAGTCTACCGCCATGTCAAACAGCTCTGGCTCGAGATAGCCAATCTTGACTATAACGATGTCTGTCGCTCGGGGGCTGAGGTTAAGATTGATAAAATCACTCTCATGGTGGTATGGCTTGCGGAATTTGGTCAGAATGGTAAACACACTTCCAACCTGTAGAACTGCTTCAATTTCGGCATTGACATCTCCATACCTAATGGAATGAACGCGCCCAGTCATGGTGATGGGCCCAGCGTGGAGGTTGTCCACTTGGGCCCCGCCGGTGACCGTCACAGTGGCGCCCACACCAGCCTTGATTATAACGTCAATTGCCTGGGGTGCTGGAATACTGGCATAGATCACAGATGGACTGGTCTCTTTCCAAAACTCCGGTCGCTTTAGCAATTGATTTAAGCCGAAGGTCACGTCGCCTGATCCACCGGCGGTAGGATTATCGCCTGAATCAGAAATGAAGAAGGGCCTATTCGAAGATGCCAGCGCTTTGTCAATGCATTCGGAGAAAGAGCCGGTTGGGGCAACGAAATGGAAGTCCTTATGAACACGCCAGAACAAAGACGCAAGTCGCTCCGCTCCTGTAGCGATAGCAGCCTTATTCCATCCAGTGACCATTACTACAGCATGATTCCGTGGCTCATCTGCCCACGCATAGCCAACCCATACGGCTGCATCAAGGACATTCTCCATCGCTTCAATTTCGGGAACGAGCGAATACAGGCTTTTCGCTGGTTCGTTGCGAGTCGAAGTCTGTTCTCCCGGCAGTAAGATAGGAATTGGGACCCATGCTTTCAAAGGTCTATTCCCTCTCCCAGTGTTGGTTCGCGATGTCAAAACGCGGACCAGATTGCGACACGCCCGTTCCTTCGTTTCCAAGGCATCCTCGTGGGGTGCCATACGATAACAAGTGATCAGATCAGTCTGGTGGGCCAGCTCTCTGGACACATTCCCATGCAAATCCATGGATGCCGAGACCAAAACATCTGGGCCAATAACACTTCGAATCCGCCGAAGAAGCTCTGCTTCCACATCGTCCATACCCTCAACACACATTGCGCCGTGAATATCGTACCATAATCCGTCGATGGGGTTTGAAGCGACGATTGCAGCCAACCGCTCGAGGATTTCCGTGGAAAGTTGTTCGAAATCAGCTCGTACAACGACTCCGCCTGGAAGCGCATGACCTATAAGTGCCCCCTTCCAATCTGCGGCATCTGCTAGATAAGTGCCGTGATGCAGAAAAGCGTACTTGTCGATCACTTCCGGGCCACGGCGCGGGTGAAACGCCCCACCGAGTGTTCGAGCGGGGGAAAAGCTAGAGGTCTCACAAGCAAGTCCTGCGATTGCGATAACTGGTCGTCGAGACATGATTTGCGAAGGGTGAGAGAATCGTGCAAAGTGTGAAAAGTGTAAGAAGTGTTTAGAAAGTTTGAAAGATGAAGTAATGTCGTTGCAGGCTTTTGTTTACTTCCGATCCAACACGATCGCGTTGACGCGTTTTCCCCGCTCTGGTAACAAGATCGTAATACGAGGAAAGAGTTGAATTGCTGCGCTTGTCCAACATTGATAAATGTCGAAAAGACGAGGAATCAAATATATATATATATAATAATCAAAACCACGCCACCACGTACATAGTAGGTATGTATTTGTGCTCGGGTCTACCTACCTAGGTAGGTAAGATCCTCAATCAGGTGACCCGCAGACAGTTGCACCTACAATAGCTCGGCCTTCCCACATTTATTTCCGTACTCTATACAAGCTAACTGCAAACCAGCCAATATAAGTCATGAGTCAAACTGCTGTTACACAAAGACCAATCCTAGAGATTGCGTGTTTCAATCAGGAATCGGCCGTGGTTGCTGCGAGAGCAGGAGCTGACCGCATCGAGTGAGTATTATATTCAAGTTGGGGCTCCCCCGTGGCAACATGCATTTGCAACGAACCCATGTTTGGCTTTGATGTTTTAGTTGCGAGATATCCCTCCGTTCTATCACTAATCGTGCTCAAGGTTATGCAAGGACTACCATCTCGGTGGACTATCGGCCGACGCAGAGATTCTCGAAAATCTGAAATCACAGCTCACAATACCAATATATGCGATGATTCGACCACACGCGGAAGGCTTCTGCTACGAAGAACTCGACTTTGAGGTGATGAAACGAACGCTCAATTCTCTCAAGTCCTACGGGGCTGACGGTTTCGTCTTCGGGATTTTGAATCGATCCCCACAAAAGCCTCGTGATCCGAATGTGTCGTGGGTCGATGTATCCCGTAACAAGCAGCTTGTCCAACTAGCTGAGGGGCGACCCTGCACATTTCATCGCGCGTTTGATCTCATTCCCGAATCCCACTGGGAGAACGCATTGGCCGACATCATGGAGTGTGGGTTTGCATCGATTTTAACCAACGGTGGTGCTTCGGGGACTACAGCAACGGAATGTGTTGATAAGCTGCAAACTCTAGTACGTTATAAAACGCAACTACAGGGGGGAAGAAAACTTCAAAGCAACAGAGTTCCAGAAATTATTGTTGGAGGTGGTGTGAGGGCATCAAACATAGGCTTGCTCCGCGACGTCACCGGTGCCTCGGTCTTCCATTCCGCTGCTCTTCTAGCCTCGGACGAGGTGACATGTGCAAATGAAGTGTTTAAGATGAAAGATAAGATAGCTCGGGCATGGGAGGTAGATGGAAAGGCGCAATAATACTTCCACGTATTTGTCGAATTTATAGCCTCGGATATAGAACACAAACCGATGAACATTATCAGTCTGAAATATATACCATGTCCCAAACCGTCTTGCTACATTCCTCAACTTAAAATTAGGGATGTTACATGATAACGAGAGAGAAAACGTAGAGGCAGTAGTTGAAATTCAACCATGCTAGGGCACAGCTTGAAGCAAAATAATCACATCATCTATTTAGCATAAAGGCTCATAGGGAGGCAGCCACTTTTCCTAATCTCTGCCTCCAGTAGTCAATCACCGATATCATAGCTATCTTATTTGCCTTCACATTTTCGAAGTTGACCAACCCAATTCCGATCGTTAGTACCATCTAATCGATTGTCCCCTACTGCTAATTACGTATAGAAGTAGAGCAATGGTTGCAAGCGTTCCTTTAACATCAATGAAACAAACACAGTTTCAAGGCTCTCGGGTGCCACCATTTCGTCGAGTTGGTCTAATATGCGGCCCGATCTTATGGTATGACGGCCGAGGGGAACATATAGAGAAAAACCAACAACGCCCAATAAAGCCAGCCCAAATTTTAGCAAACAAAGTCAACACATCTTGGGAAAGGTGGTAGCGATGTTTGATGCGACAGCCACTGAAAGCCTACTGTCAACAGAAAATACTAACGAGATCTAGATCAGGGAAGGTAAAACTTGAAAAGTATTGACAGTATAAAATATTAGGATGTGGACTTAGATGATTTTCAAGCAAACAATCGGAAATACCGGGTCTACGTATGTTTGTCATTTGGGAACCCTAATAGATAGACGGACCACTTTCGGTCTACTTGGAGCGGCAAGGTTCGAGATTCGCCTTCACCTGTGACACACTGCTGTCTCGTAGTGATCTAAATAAATCCAATGCATTTTCCTACACCAAGAAGTTGAAAAAGGGAGCCACAATAAAGCCCCGCGGAAAGCTAAACATCAGTTCCAAGTTATGCCCTTTTTTCTAGGTCTCACATGTGTTCAGAAACTGTTTAAGAGACAAAAGCCCACAAGTATTTAATAAATTAATCTCAAAATTACAGCACGAAAGAAGAATTTAGGAGGAAATAATTAGGGTAATGGCCCCTTATGCTCAACAAATAGATGGTTCGATATTGCTTTTGGCTACCGAAGTAGTGTAGTTTTGTTCTTCCACTTTTTTGCCTAGTGTGGTATATTCTCAGAAGCCATGTCCATACGTAATTGGCGTGGTCGTCAGTAAGAATATTCTAAAGCGTCAAAGGTGAAAAAAACCGACCTCGTTGCGGGGAAACCCCATTACCCAAAACCACAAGGCTTCATACGCTCATTAGGGTAAGTGGGCAGTACTATCATCCATCGTAAATGGGGTATACGTGCTAGTAACAACACACCGGATTGACTAAATGCGGGGTTAGAGTTCACATGGCACGGGCTGAGATGCTCGTCGGCAAACTGATATACGTCGAGATCTACCTAATACGTATTGGGGTTTTCTCTGTAGATCGATTTTGTCACCTTAACTGCAATACATTAGACCAACATCCTCTACTTTATTTTTCGTGGCAAGCCTACTATTTTTCAACAGTGTCTAAGCCATAAGCTTGGTCTCCTTTCACTTTGATATCATACCACATTCGTTGCGCTTAAACAGCTTGATATTGTAATTGAAATCATTCTGTCGTCAACATGACTCTAGGCCAGTTGAAGTTCTGGCTCAACAAGATCCAGGTGCCTGCGGAGCCTGGATTGTCAACGGCGCAGCTGATGTTGACCAACGATGATCTTCGACCAGGTGAGACTATAACCGGGCTCTCCCTGAAAGTTCCCATATCAACTATAGGGCTTTAAAATTATCATCTTTACTCTCATGGAAGGGAATAGCCAATGTGATATATTCACGATTATCTATACACAGCTGACACTTTCGTCTTTCTGGTTTGCCTCTAGTTGAGCCAGAACGCCGTCAATGGGGATGGCTCAATTTTGTTGCGTTTTGGATTGCAGATTCCTTAAATGTGGTAAGTTTATGTTGGTATTGCATACTCAGGGCTACAAGAGACGGTTCCTTTCACTCATTCCCGGCACTTTGATCATTCATAAGTATATCTGACCCTCTTTTGTAGAACACATGGATGATTTCATCCTCAATGATAGTTGATGGACTTTCTTGGTGGCAGTCTTGGCTATGCGTTTGGATTGGTTATACTGTCGCAGCCATTTTTGTTTACATGTTGGGTCGCATTGCTACCGTCTATCGCATTCCTTTCGCAGTAGCTAATCGAGCTTCATTCGGGATTTGGGGGTCGTTTTGGCCAATTATCAACCGAGCAGCGATGGCTGTGATTTGGTATGGTGTACAGGTACGCAAACTTTCCCTACATGTGCGTTCACTTCTAACTACCACAAAACAAAGAGCTATCTAGGAGGTAATATATTACTGAAGACAAAAGCTCATTGATGGATGAACTAATTATTTGAACTTTCAGGTGAATGTGTGACTTTGATGATTGCTGCTATCTGGCCAAGCTACAACAATCTACCAAATTCAATTCCCGCATCATCAGGAGTAACCACTAAGCAGTTTGTTAGCTTCCTTCTTTTCTGGTTGCTGTCTTTGCCGGCTCTTTGGTTTCCCATTTACAAGGTTCGGCATCTTTTTACGGTGAAGGCATACTTTTCCCCGGCTTGTGCTATTGCATTTTTTGGCTGGGCAATTGCTCGCGCCCACGGACTTGGGCCAATAATTGACCAGCCTAACCAGACGCATGGCAGTGCTTTGGCCTGGGCATTTGTGAAAAGCATTATGAACTGTATTGCAAACTTTGCTGCCCTGGTTATCAACAATCCTGATTTTACGAGATATGCTCGCGACCCCAAGGACGCACTATGGCCCCAGCTGATCACAATTCCTGTTGGATTCGCCGTCACATCATTCATTGGGATCATTGTTTCCTCGTCGTCCAGTGTTATATTTGGCCAAGCTGTTTGGAACCCCCTTACCCTTCTTGGTATGTTTTTGAAGGATGCAAGCTCTGCCGAGCGATTTGGGATCTTTGTTATTGCAGCTGGCTTTGCTCTTGCACAGCTAGGGACGAATATTGCAGCCAACTCTGTGTCAGCTGGTACGAATCTCACAGCTCTTCTCCCTCGGTTTTGCACGATTCGACGAGGGGGATATCTGTGTGCGGCGATCGGTCTTGCCATGTGTCCTGTGAGTAACTCCAAAAGCCCGCTAGTGGCACAATTACTAATCGCCTACTGTAGTGGACCTTGGTTGGATCTTTGAGTAAATTCACCCTGTACCTCTCTGCGTATTCGGTATTTCTTTCCGCTATCGCAGGGGTCATGGCTAGTGACTACTATCTAGTCCGTAAGGGCTTTCTTGATGTCCAAGCGCTGTATAGCGCTAAACGAGATGGTCTTTATTACGGAACCTTGGGGGTTTCCTGGCACGGTTATACCGCCTATATATGCGGTATCTTGATCAATATTGTTGGTTTTGCTGGCGCCATTGGTGTCAATGTTCCTATGGGAGCCAAGTACATCTATAATATTAACTACTTTTCGGGGTTCGTTGTCTCCGGGGCAGTGTATTGGACCCTAGCCTGGCTGGTTCCTATTCCTGGAGCAAGTGACACATGGAACGAGATACCCTACGAACCACATCACATGTCTGGTGCAGAAGAGAAGAAGGTGGAAGATGTTTAAAGGTTGGCGTCTACCATAAACAAAATTGATGTGGCCCAGATTGGCGTCTTGATTCAGCCTGGATCAACAAGATGGTGGTACTATGCAACGCAGTAAGATAAAAGAACGATATTTTAGTTCAAGTCTACACTGTACATAATCGACATCCATGAAGTCAAATGTATCCAAATAGTCGACCATAAGGTTGTCTCGGATTTCGCCCTACAACGCACCTCGGCTTTGCATTTAACGGGGTTCTCTTTCCCCATCGTACCTAGTGTCACGTTGCAAACGGAGTATGACCCGTATAGCGCCGTAGCTTCCAATTCCATTCCTTGGATAGGGCATAGTGGTCGCCGGCTCCTCGCAGTTCAGAGCTCCTTCCGTCATGTCTTCGATCCGTCAACCACGGAAGTACTGCGGGAAATACTATCGCTGTTAAGTCAACCCTGTGGGACATAAGGATTGCGCTTCGTTGAGTGTACTATTTGATATGGTCACCACTCTCCCAGATCGTATCAAGTTGATGGATTGAATACAGTCAGATACATGGGCACGGGCGACCCACTCCCGAACCTCTTGACGCCCGGGGGAAATGACCTCGTCCAATGCGGCAAAATAAGATTCTGCTACCAGAGAAATACTTAACGAAAAATATTATTCTCTTGATAGCAGAGAACACATGAGTCACTATTCCTCTCTGCAGAGAGGATCCGCGTCAACATTCGTTTGAGTAAATGATAGTTAATACCAAATACTTGCTTGATTATCGTCCGCGGCCTGACTGCATGAGGCCAGCGAGCATGTTTCTTCTTTTAGGGCCTCATTGACAAGTCAGACTTTTGGAAAGCTCCCTTTTTATAGCTAGTCCACTGCCGTCCCTCTTTCTCTGTTTTTCTTTGCTATGATCATTCCCTTCACTAACCAAGATAGCCCCCGAAGCAGATATGAAGTTCCAACAATGTTCTCCCTTTTCCATCCGTTCGAGCCTAATCCACACAAAACCGCAATCAAATGACTAAAATGGAGAGAGTGGGTATGATATTTACCATTGTAATCGTTTATCCGGCTGTTCTACTGTCTTCTTCTTAGGCTCTGAGGGAAATTTGGCTGGGGTTATTGCCTCAAGCAGCTTGCTTCCGAAGAGTCCAAAAGCCGAAGCAATCCCACCAAATTGGAAGATCTCGCTTTCCATTTGACTGAGCTTGAATCCGAACGTCTTGCCAGCGACTTCGATGATTCTTGAATTTAAATCGATGGCGACGGACATTCCATCAGTCGCAAGTTGAAAGAAGTATTCATCCTCCATTGTGATGCCTAGGAGCCCGAGGCTCGGCATGTTACGTTGGAAGATGAATGCAAACGATTTGGCTATGACACATTGAACATCGCATCCTTAAAGAAACCCATCGTCAAAAATCTGAAATCCTTTTTAATGGGATTGTTGGACTGGACTTGCCTAACAATGCCATCACTGCTTGTTCGCGGGATGATCCGCAACCAAAGCCTTCACCACCAATAACAATATTGAACCCCTGCTGGGCTCGTTCGCGGAATTTTGGATGTTTATGCATCAGACAGCACATACCAGCGTTCATGTTGTTTTTCATGCCAATCAGAAACTCGGCAGGGGCCAGCTTGAAGACTAGAATTAGCGCTGGCACTTCACAAACACAGGGAAAAGAAATAGACACGCGCTGCATCCGTGTCGATGAAATCTCACAGTCTCTGTATTTTGCCTTGAAGGCGCTTCCTCTGTCTTCCTCCATCATTATCTAGCGGCCTTTTCTCTATTTTTTCTACGTTTCGGTCACGGCAATAGAATAATCACCACAATCACATGGCTCAACATATGTCAGGTCACTCTTTGAGTTAGTTGCATCCAAGTGTATACTTGCTGTTCTGAACTGGCCCCGTCCGCTCGAATCAATCGCAGCAAGCAGATCACCAGGATCGACTAGCTTCATTTTGAATGATGATGCTGCGACAGTGGCTGCAGAGGCGAGATGACCAATCGAACCTAAATCGGGTGGTCTCAATCAACTATTCCATGGCATTGAAGAGTGCTCATTACCTTTGCCCATCCGATTTTCGAAATTTCGATTCTGAGAGGAAATCCAGACCTCTCCTGGGGCGGCCTGATCGGCTGACATTCCCACACAATAACTACACCCAGGGATCCCGATCTCAAATCCTGCGTCTGCGTATATATCGTATAACCCCAGTTCACTTAAGCGATACAGTATCGGTATTGAACCGGGGACGACCTTCCTCTTCCCCTTTGCGGTAGGCTTTAATCCTCTTTTCATTGCTTGTTCCATGACTAGAGCACCGAGGATCAGATCTTCCTCGGTGGTAGTGCAGGCCCCGATAAAACATTCATCAAGCTCCATTCCCTCTTCTTCCGTAACTGGAACCACATCATCCGGCTTGGGGTAACGTGCAATAAAAGACCCCACGTTCGTAAGGTCGATCTCATGAACTGCGGCATACACCGCATCGGCATCGGGCCTGAAGTACATCGTGTGGCATTTGTGACGAGGAAGTTTTCGTCTATTGATGAAATCGTGGGTGGTGTCATCAGGCACAAATAAGCCAGTGATGCCACCAAGTTCCTGTCAATCATGTTAGTAAATTTGGCCCAGCTGGTTTATGGGTATGACATAACTGTGGTCATGTTTGAAACTGCGAAGCGGGTATCCAGAGATAAATGCCTGAGGGCTGGTCCTGTGAACTCCACTATTCTATCGGATGCTATAGTATTCCGTTTTAGCACTTGCAAGATGTATAAAATGACATCTTTACCCCCGATCCCTGGCTTCGGTTCTCCAACCAGGCGTATATTGATGGTTTCTGGGACTTTGAACCGCGTTTCCCCAGTTACCAATGGCAAAGTGACATCCGCAGCACCCAGTCCAATTGCGAGACAGCCTACTGCCCCCGATGAACATGTGTGAGTCCGAGCCAACGACCAGCATTCCGGGTTGCGCGCGCTCCCGGTAGAATTCAGTGTGGAGAATAGTGTACTTCATAGGTGTGATTCAGTGATTGCAAAAAAACACGATGAAAAGAAAACTGACATTCATGCCTTGATATTCTGTCATTTTGAAGGTTTTCTTCGCTCTTTCGCTTACACTGATCAGCACCTGCACTTGAGGTAGATCGTTAACCCGAGGATCAACAACATGGTCCCCAGAAAGCCAGAAGCGATCGTTTCGAAATATTCCAGGCTTGCCTAGCAGGTTATAGGTCGTTTCCATTCCCTTGAGATTCACAATCAGCCCGCGGCTCCCTGCGCCTTTAAAAGAAAACCTACTGCCCAAGACACCTCAGAGGCAAGTATCCAATCCACACGAACACGAATTATGTCGCCTGGAGCCACAAACCCTTTCTGATTTAAATCATGCATCGCAAATATTTTTTTCACTCATGGTCATTCCTCGACGGCCTTCCGGCCTTTCTGTTAGAAGGCAAGGGATTAGTTTTTCTCGGTCGGCTGAATTGAGTGATTCCAGCCACGCATCCACAAGAAATAAGATTTCCGATTGTTGTTGCATTGTCAGAGAATCATGCTTGTATATTCCTAGGCCCCCTAGCATGGCTGGTTGATAGCAAATACCAAGGACATCGGTGAGGACATCGACCTCCCGTTGCTTCGTATGATCGGTGCGAAGAATTGTTGCGATATACTCCAGGTTTTGCAGGGCATTCTGTGTGGAATGGGATGTCTCTGAAATCCCGAAGGAAAAGATCTACTCAGAGTAGGCGGCGCAAAAAGGCACAATCATACTGACCATTTAGAACGCCTATATGTATTCCTCGAGTCTGTTCTAAAATTCGGACCAATTGATCGAGAGTTGATGGGTTCTCTTCGGGCATCGTTCCTGGGCGATACTTTCCAAAGTTTTATTCTGGTAGACTTGAAAGTGCCAACGGGTCTTTGATATTGGTCTACAGAGGTTCTACAGAGGTTGCACAGTGCACGAAAGTGCACGAAAGTGACGCAAAGGATACTCGGACTGCACACCGCTCGAAAACGGGTACCGCAACACCAAAGGAACTTGACCTGCAGATGTTACAGAGTATAACATGCAGGAATTTCCAATGCTATGTTTATGGCGGGGTCCATGCTTTGCCGCATAGCACTGGGGTGCAGGAGCACAACACAGCTCGTCTCTTGCAATCTGACCAATCTCGGCCCCGGGGCCCTTGGGGACCTCGGGACTAATCGAGGCTATTGTCATTTTAATAGTTCGTGCTGCCCGATATGCTGTAGAAAGTGAGCAAATGAGCAATGACTCAGCCGAAGGTGCCTACGTAACCTAGGTACCTAGGTAGGTGTCGGTGACATGAGAAAGGTGTAGGGGATCCAAGGTGAGGTATTTAATTTTGGATTTGACCTGTCAGTATACGTTATAAGAGGTCTAAAAGTACACTCTGAATCTGTACATAGTACGAATATGTACGGAGTACTACATAGAAATTCGCATTGCACATCATACCGTTGACGGTACGAGTACATGAGTACATACTACTAGTACGGACCTCGGGAAGTATGTGAATGATAACCAACCAATAGCAGATCCAGCGGGAAGCTGATGGTTCTTCCGAGTGGAGAACGGGAACGCCAAGGTTTCAACTTCCAAGGTTGACGTATTTGGGCAAAAGCCTCAAAAGGTAAGTTACCGTTTGCGCAGCCAATCAGCGATCCCCTTGTGGGAAGGAAAAGTCAAAAGGGCTCCACAGGTTCCAAGGTTATTAATATTAACCTTGATCTCTCCAGGATTCCAGACCTTTATTATTCTCTTCTCCCTCTTTGTTCCCCATACCTAGGTCCTCCCGAGGACCCCACATATTGCTTTTCTTACTTGGCCTTCGTTTGTTTAAAAAGAAAAGAAGAGAAAAAACAAAAAAAAAAAAAGGAAACAAAGCGAAACAAAAAAGAGAGAGAAACAATATGGAGGCCATCGCTGTGGATCCAGACTTGTACGCTCCTGAGTGCGCCTATAGCCCCGATGACTGGCAGTCGTGAGTTTGCATGTGATTATTGATATCTTGTACTTCACACGTTCCTTACGCGTCATTAGGGAAACTACCTCAATTAAATCGTCAATCTATCGTGGTCTGATGGACAATGGGAGGCGGTAAGAGCTTCCCAGATCGGATGACTTGATGATATTTAACATAACCTCATACTTCTATAGATATCAATCGCTTTCGAAGAAAGAATATTGGTATGTGGTTGAATCGTTACATAATAAGAATAGACTCATTTACATGTATTTATAGTATTCCATCCGATGAGCAACAATTCGAGACCTATGAGGCAGGGCACGTATTCCAGTCCCAGTCCAGAACACGCCTCTGACTATCGCGGCAGACATCTCGTGGATCTCATCATGGACTCGGATCGAGCCAATCCACTGTTTCGGTCACCCATCGGGACCAACCGAGAACGCCCGCTACAGATTCTCGATATTGGAACTGGGAAGGGCACCTGGGCCATGTACGTCTGTAGACTGTTCCGACCCCAGTGAAAATGTCAAATACTCATCATTCCTAGCGATGTCGCTGATATGTACCCGAATGCCACTGTCCGAGGAGTTGACCTTTTCCCACCTCCGGTCACCTGGATGCCACCCAATTGCGTCATCGAGGTCGATGATGTGCTGCAAGAGTGGACATGGCGCGAACAATTTGATCTAATCCATATGCGCAATATGATCGCATCCTTTGACTCTTCTGAGTGGGACCTTGTTTACCAGCACTGCTTTGAGTAGGTTATCAATGGAGCAAAGTGACCGGGCCAATCTGACTGTATAGGAAAATGGCCCCTGGTGGGTGGATCGAGCAGATCGAAGCCGGCCCTTTTATCACAAGTGACGATGGGAGTCTCCCAGTCGATAGTGCCTTGTCCTCGTGGGGTCCACTTATGCAACTGTGTGGTGATCGCGCTGGTCGCTCTTGCGATATCGTCCTCACCATGTCGGAGAGCATCAAGAACGCAGGATTTGTGGACGTGCACGAAAAGATCTACAAATGGCCAATTGGGCCATGGCCCAGAGACCAAAAGTTCAAGGAGGCAGGTGTGGTTAATTGCCAACACTGGATGTCTGGTATGGAAGGGTGGTGCATGTGGCTGCTAACGAAATTTGGTGACCCCGAGCCATGGACTAAGGAGCAAGTTCATGTATACTGTGCCAAAATACGCAGTGAACTCAAGAACCCATCCTACCATGCATATCACAAGGCGTAAGTTCTGTTCTGTCATGGCTCAAGTTCCTCACAGGCTAGACTGACCACCAGTACAGGAGAAGAGTGTGGGCTCGCAAGCCAATGCCTGGTGAAATTCCACCTAGGTCATCAAAATCCAGCTCCGGTTCTGCTAGGACAAAACCATGAATCCAGCAGAGGGTGCACTTGTCACATGATTAATCGGGAGTGGGCGACTCGTGCGTCCTCGTTACTCCCCAGTTCTCTCAGGGATCGGTTTGTTTCTTCGGTTTTGTATAAATCATGCCCGTCACGACTCAGCTATATATTTTCCTTCGTAATAATACTCACCGTTCATCCCTCCCAATTTGCTTAAAGCTAATTTTCACCTATACAAGTAATGGTTGTACGCGTGTTTTACTTGATGGTCTCCAGTAAGAAATGAGACATGGAACCAAAACAACCAAGACATGTGGGAAGAAGAGATGTTAAAGTCCACTTACAAAATATCTCTACAGCGCCGAGAAAAAGAGAGCAACGTGTTAGTTAAGTCCTATAAATGTGCCAATATCAATATTCTTAGACAATGTCGGTCATCCCATTTATGCCGCCTTTGTCTAGTTATCTCATTAATTCCTCCATTGGTTTACAGACTGAGCCTGTCTTTGTTTGATAGTCTTTGTGTGTCAGGGTATAAATCCCCTGCTTTAGATAGATTGAATGATCATGGTTCCTCTTCTTCTTCTTCTTCTTCTCTATCTCCCTTCGCTTAGTAGCTTTAACAAATATGAATATGCGTTTGAGACACTATTGAGCGAGATTTTAGGATCATTCAATCCTTGCTCTCTCGTTGTTCGATCAATTCAAAAGCCCGGAGGATATTAGGTGCCTGATGGCCAATTAAGGGTAATGGGAATCTGTATCGACCGTTAGGTGATCGGACAGAAAGCAGAACGTCCTCTTTTATCGCCCAGTCGAATTGCTGGTGTTCCAGTGGCTCGAGTTGGACAGGTATTTGGAGTGTTGGCACCGGTTGCTGTTTCCCTGCTAACCATCCCACGGCCTCTTGAACCTCGACAACGAACGAGTACTTGGCAATGCGGATTTTGCCGCCACTATGGCGATGATGCTCCCCGCAATTCACCGCGACGAGGTCAATAATGTGAGACACATGCAATCCACTTTCTTCTAGCGTTTCGCGGGCAAGGGAATCGAGTAAGGTTTTGTCGGTGTCCAGTTCGCATGCGCCTCCGGGGCCCTCCCAACAGCCGGGCATGGAGTCCGTCAGTGCGCGCTGGAGAAGAAGGATGCGTGGGGTGGGATCGGCATGAGAGAAAACGTACGCCCCAACACCAAACCCTTCAAATTCAGGTCGGGCGGCCACAAAGTCCGTGAGAGGGATGGTGAAGTATTTGAGATGAGGAGCAACGGTATAAGTCATCTTGATTCGAGGTAGATATGGATAGGAAATGTAATCTTTCTTTGAGCAGTGCAGATGGTGAGTTTTATCTTCCCCGCTAGGCACCGTCTGAGCGGTTGTTTTTAGAGGGGAAAAAAAGAAAAGTAAGAATGATGAAAAGACAAAAATATCGAAATAGAAATTGCCAGTACTACAGTTCCCTATGATTTTTAAATCTACGAGGCTCTGAAGTCCATTTGAGTCATTGTATTTCATGAAGGCAAACATATTTGTATATATATATATATTCATATATTATATACATTCGAGCTCTGAATCTATTTTGATTTCTTTTCTTGGTAACCCCATAGTCTATAATATTGACCATAGAGGTATCACAGAAGTGTCGCTGAAGGGGATGATTTAATAATGGCCAAATGTGTAATATGGGCAATATGAATCACAGAATTGGGTGGGGTGAGACTTAAATGCCTTAGTTGAAGACAACGGTCTTATGGCCGTTCAAGATCACACGGCGCTCTGTCACGTACTTGACAGCAGTGGCGAGTACGTTGCTCTCCACGTTGCTGCCGGCATGGGTCAGCTCCTTGGGGCTCATGCCGTGGTTGACCCGAACAACATTCTGTTCGATGATCGGGCCTTCATCAAGGTCACTGGTAACGAAGTGGGCAGTGGCACCAATGATCTTCACACCGCGGTCATAGGCCTGGTGGTAGGGCTTGGCACCCTTGAAAGAGGGCAGGAAGCTGTGGTGGATGTTGATAATGCGACCGGACATGGCGGAACACAGGGTTGGGGACAACACCTGCATATACCGAGCCAGCACAATCAAATCAACGTTGTGTTGGCTCACCAATTCCAAAATCTGGGCCTCCTGCTGCGCCTTGGTATCCGCGGTGACGGGGAGGTGGTGGAATGGGATATTATAGGTGGCCGCAAGGGTAGCGAAGTCGGGGTGGTTGGAAACGATTAAAGGCACCTCGATGCTCAGCTGGCCGGTGGATTGGCGAAAGAGCAGGTCGTTGAGGCAGTGGCCGATCTTGGAGACCATGATCAGCACGCGGGGCTTTTTCACAGTGGGGTTGATCTCGAAGTCGAGGGAGAACGACTGGGCAGTGGGCTCGAACGCAGTGCGCAATTTCCCGAGTTCAGGGGTTTCATCTTCTCCACTTGCAATCGCAAATTGTGTGCGCATAAAGAAGCGCTCAGAGGCAGGATCACCGAATTGCGACGAATCGATAATGTTGAGGTTGTTCTGCACGAGGAACGCAGTGACCGCGTGGACAATACCGGGACGGTCAGGGCCGGAAAGGGTCAAAATGAAGCTAGAAGCCATGATATATGAGATAACGGTGTTGAATCCGCTGGTATTCCTTCAAATGGCTAAGAGGATGGAGAGGAATTGTTCTGATTTCTTTTTTTTTTTTTTTTGTGAACCTTGGAATCCCACTTGCCGGTTTCGGCGATGACTCATCTGCCGACATTGCCTGCTTACCTAGGTAGGTAGTGGATCGACGTTCTTCTTTTGTTTACTTTTTGATCTTCAGCACTTCGATCTTCATCACGTCGATCACGGTGATCTGTTTGATCTCCTCTCTTTGATTTGTACATATAATTAGGAATTGCAATCGTCAACAACAAAAATTGCGGACTCGATAGTCTCGCATCCCGGATTCCATCTTCTTACCCACCGTTTCTCTAGCACGACTCCAAAGCCACTCGGCACCAAGATTATGCAGGGATCTCACCTACCTAGGTGTCATGAGACTAGAACTGCATTGCTGACAGGCCTGTGCTCGGCATTGGTTCCTTAATCCCCGTGATTAAACTAAATTACGTTCACTACGCTAATGCACCCCATTGCACTCCCACAAACCCAGTGCGCGCAGCCAACGCAAATTACCGAGCATTGGGGCAAAGCCTGCCCCGTCTAGATCCTGCAGAATCCGGGTAGTTACTGCCTTGTCACGGATCTGAGGTATTTGCCTAATCCGGGTATGCTAACATGTTTCATTTTTCTCCAACTCGGGCGCCGTACGCAACATGGCGTTGTCGCTGCCTAATTCGAAGGCTGGCTATTTAGCCGCCAATGGATTTACATTCGATGTATTTACGTTGTTGGAGCCTAGTTTGGCGAGCTGAATGATGTTTCCCCCTTACCGAGCGATAGAATGTTCACAGCCATCTCGGTGGCACCAAGGCCCAAGGCGCCTCCTCCACAAAATGACTTCAACTACTTCCAAAGCCCGTCGCGGGGTCTGGGGAACTCCCTCCGTGTCCCCGGAGCATTTGTCGTACTTCTCCATTGGGAAATATGCCAGTGTATCGTCATGCGGTCATACGGACCGTAGAGCCGTGACATGAAGCTCAATATGAATCATCTGATAAACGCTGTCTAGTTCCTATTGGAATATAAAAGGACTCTATATCCATCTCAGTCTTGATTTCCTCATCAATTCACCCAGCAATCAAGACCTCAACTCAGTGCACATCGACACTGGATATCATGGCTTCCATTCTCTCCTTCAACATTTACAAAAACGCCCTGATTTTGGCCGCCTTTCTCGGGGCTGCACAGGCACAGCAGGTGGGCACAAATAAAGCTGAAGTTCATCCGTCTTTGACTTGGCAAAAGTGCACCGCTGGAGGCAGCTGCACTTCCCAAAACGGCAAGGTTGTTGTCGACGCCAACTGGCGCTGGGTTCACAACACTGCCGGCTACACCAATTGCTATACTGGTAATACATGGGATGCAACTATCTGCCCGGACGATGTTACTTGTGCCACCAACTGCGCCCTGGAAGGTGCCGACTACTCGGGCACTTATGGTGTTACCGCCAGCGGCAGCTCTTTGCGGCTGAACTTCGTTACCCAGGCATCTCAAAAGAACATCGGCTCACGTCTCTACCTGATGGCGGATGATAGCAAGTACGAAATGTTCCAGCTGCTCAATCAAGAGTTCACCTTCGATGTCGATGTTTCGAACCTTCCCTGCGGCTTGAACGGTGCGCTCTACTTCGTGCACATGGACGAAGATGGTGGCATGGCACGATATCCTGCCAACAAAGCCGGTGCTAAGTACGGTACCGGTTATTGTGATGCGCAATGCCCCCGCGACCTCAAGTTCATCAACGGCCAGGCCAACGTGGAAGGGTGGGAGCCGTCTTCCAACGATGTCAACGCTGGTACTGGCAATTATGGTTCTTGCTGTGCTGAGATGGATATTTGGGAGGCCAACTCCATCTCCACTGCAGTCACACCCCATCCCTGCGATGACCCCGCCCAGACTAGGTGCAGTGGAGATGCCTGTGGCGGCACTTACAGCAGTGACCGCTATAGTGGTACTTGTGACCCTGATGGATGTGATTTCAACCCATATCGCATGGGCAACCAGTCTTTCTATGGCCCGAGCAAGATTGTTGATACCAAGTCCCCTTTCACTGTGGTGACTCAGTTTATCACCAATGACGGTACATCCACCGGCACCCTCTCGGAAATCAAGCGCTTCTACGTGCAGAATGGCAGGGTTATCCCACAGTCTGTATCTACCATCAGCGCTGTTACTGGCAACTCTATCACCGATTCCTTCTGCTCTGCTCAGAAGACCGCATTCAAGGACACGGACGTATTCGCTAAACATGGCGGTATGGCGGGTATGGGGGCTGGTCTTGCGGATGGCATGGTTCTGGTGATGAGTCTTTGGGATGACCACGCGGCCAACATGCTGTGGCTCGACAGCACTTACCCAACCACCGCCTCTTCGACTACTCCCGGTGCTGCTCGTGGTAGCTGCGACATTTCCTCCGGCGATCCCACCGATGTTGAAGCTAACCATGCGGGCGCCTACGTTATCTATTCAAACATCAAGGTCGGTCCTCTCGGTTCGACTTTCAGCTCGACCGGCTCAGGCTCCGGCACCACCACAAAGGCTACAACCACCACCACCTCCTCCACCACCACCACTAAGGCAACCACCACTACTACTACGACTGGATCAAGCACCACCGGTGCTGCTCACTATGCGCAGTGTGGTGGAAATAACTGGACCGGTGCAACCACCTGTGTCAGCCCGTACACCTGCCAAAAGCAGAGTGATTACTACTCGCAGTGCCTGTAGACAATAGGCAACCCTAAGAGTGGAGTGGTGGAAAGTCGGAGAATGGTGAAGATACGAAACGATTGGATCAATTTGTCACGCTCTTTGTTAGATTGATTATTTTTGGCCTTATTTTTGAATTTAAGTGTTTCGTCTTGCCTTCTTTTGAATTGAAATCCATATTTATTCATCTTATTTTCTATTCTTCCATCTTAATTTACATTTTGTTCCAACATCCATGGATGTGCTCTCTTTTGTCCGTACAATATCCAAGGGGCCTTTTAGGTAACGCCATAATATCCCCGTTGATTGCTTTTTCTGCTTGTATTCCGGTACATAGTGTCGGCTTCAAACTAAATTCCGTCGCTAAATTCAACTTCCACTGGAGATTATTGGAAATAGGGATCATTCATCCGGCTCCCCTGAATAACCGATACCCGTTGTCTGACCCCAGTCAGAGTCAGCACTAGTCTCAGAACCATTTAAGCCGATAGCTCCTGCACGGCATATCCCACATCCCCAGACCCAGCTGATGCATGTGGCGCTACCTTGTTCATCTTGAAGAAGCCATGCAGAAACCGGAGGATGCTCCGACTAGTCAAGCCACTTTGATTTCCCTTGTACGTTGGGCGCTTCCTCTGATTTCTCATTTGCATAACGCCAAATGATATACACTACTAGTTTCATACATAAACTATTGCACATCGTGTGATTCCGTGGGCCCATAGAACTAGCACTTGCGGGGGCTGCGGGCTCCGGGAAGAAAACAGGTGCACAGCCTATACACCGCATAGCAATAAGAATCAATCAAGCCTTCTGAGCCTGAGGGATTTTATGCGATCTCCTGTTAATGCTGTTGATTATCTCATGTTTAGTATCTGGATTCTATCCATGCACAATTCTTACAAGAACTGGTACGCAAGTTCGAGTACATGTAGATACCTAGGTAGGTCGGATGAGCGGCCGAATGGTGTATTCTATTCGTCAGATTAAATAAAGTACATACATATGTATGTATATACCCCTGGTCGGTATCACGCCAGTTCCCTGTTGCAGTTCCAAGTCCGTTGGATTTATCGGATGAATCACCGGAAATGAGCTTGGGCAGTCTGACAAGCGTTAGGCTCTTGGTAATAGGTGCTTTCTGTCGGCAAGATAATCCAAAATTAATGCAGATTGATTACGCTTCGTTCTCCAGGTTTTATGGCGCCTCCAGTGGCGCCCTCCTGCCCACATAACCTCATCTCCGAAATTCCAGCCACGAAGAGATTGTGATGCCGTGCCGAATCTGGACTACATTTTTCTCACATATTGGCGATTCATTCTTCAACCCTTATTCTAGCTCGGGTGGCGGTCCGCAAAAAGCGAAAGAAAAAAAAACAACGGATTGAGGACTTGAAGATGATCCCCGGAGACCTCTCCGTCAGGCTAAAGTGTTTCTTTGTACGTCAGAACAAATCCTCGCTGTTTCAGTCCTAGGTAAGGAACCATTCATGATCAGGGAATTTGCTCCTTGACGTTATTGTCCATTATAACTTTATATAAATCCCATTGTAACTCCCGATACATTTACATTGCGTAGCACCCTCGAGAACTTCCAATAACCTAGCCAAAATGCGGTATACCTCTTTGCTTACCATAGCCGGCGTCACAGGCCTGGTGCTGGCAGCACCAGGTCCATCCCTATCTAAAAGGACATCTTCCTTCGTTTGTATGAAGTGTAACAATCGTGGTGCAACTAGATATCTGACCAGATCATGGATAGGGTTCGGTGCAAACGAAGCTGGCGCAGAGTTTGGGAGTGGGAACATTCCAGGAAAACTAGGCACCGATTATATCTGGCCATCGACCTCAGCCATTCAAACTCTGCGTAGTGCAGGGATGAATATATTCCGCGTTCCCTTCGCAATGGAGCGTTTGGTTCCGGGAACTCTGACGTCGAGTGCGGATGCGACCTACCTGGCTTCATTGAAAAGTGTATGTATCTATAATCTGTAGCCATCCGTGGATGAGACAATACTGATGCCAATTTTGCAACAGACTGTCAACTATATCACGTCCAGCGGTGGATATGCTGTTGTTGATCCTCACAATTTTGGACGATAGTAAGGTCTCAAGTTACATTACGCTGTGGAATATTCATCTTACCATACGTACATAGTTATGGCAACATCATCACCTCTACTAGTGACTTCGGAGCCTTTTGGACCACTCTCGCATCGGAATTCGCATCGAATGACAAGGTCATTTTCGACACAAGTGAGATACACTATTCCTTAATTTAAACCATACACTAACTTTTTAGATAACGAATTCCATTCGGAAGACCAAACCTTGGTGCTGAACCTGAATCAAGCTGCTATCAACGCTATCCGAGCTGTAGGAGCCAAATCACAGTACATTTTTGTGGAGGGCAACTCCTGGAGTGGCGCATGGACATGGCCGACTGTCAATGATAATATGAAAGCCTTGACAGACCCACAGAACTTGATTATTTATGAGATGCACCAATATCTTGACTCCGATGGTTCCGGCACATCAGAGACGTGTGTTAGCTCAACCATCGGCCAAGAACGAGTTGTGGCTGCCACACAGTGGCTCAAGGACAACGGCAAGAAGGCCTTCTTAGGCGAATTTGCTGGGGGTGCCAATTCTGTCTGTCAAAGTGCAGTGACAGGTATGCTCGATTACTTGCAAGCGAATAGCGATGTCTGGCTTGGTGCGTCCTGGTGGTCCGCGGGACCATGGTGGGGAGATTACATGTACAGCTTCGAGCCTCCTTCCGGCGTAGGCTATACTTACTATATGAGTCTTCTGAAGAATTATTTCCCCGGCTCGAATGGCTCAGGTGGGACAACCACCGCAGTCACCACCACTTCCACAACAACCGTCGCTACTACTACCAAGACCACCACCGCAACTGGGTCAAGCACCACCGGCGCAGCTCACTATGCACAATGTGGTGGAAATAACTGGACCGGGGCAACTACCTGTGTCAGCCCGTACACATGCCAGAAGCAGAGTGATTACTACTCGCAGTGCCTGTAGGCGAAGCAGTGGAGCAAGAAGATATAGGTATCAGTGGTAGCTTAGTGGGGGTCTTATATTGCTAATGAGATCAAATTCTGATTTATCATTCATTCATTATTCAAATACTTGTAGATCTGGATGGCTCTAACAATTTCAATGTTGTACAGATTGTTCGTCAAGAGTCTGCTCCTGGTTTGTTCCTCGCAGCGGCATTTCACTCTGGTGTTATCTCCCGTATGATCTCACTTTCTATTGTAGAGCAGCGACCAACTCATCAACGCTCTTCATCTCGCGAGCATTGTTCTCGCCAACGTCCAGCGCAACCAAGAACCGACTCACACAGTTATAACCGGCAATGCCGGTGGTGAGCTCCACGATCTCGCGGTCATCGTACCCGACCGTCTTCAATTCAGCAAAAACAGCATCTTCAACTCTAATGGTGCGAGTCATCTGGTCGGTATAGCGTAGAACGGCGCGCTGTTGAGGGGTGAGGGCGCTACTCTCAAGCTCGGCAATATCACCCTCAGCGGTGCAAGGCAGTGTAAGAGCAACCTGCAATTGATCGGGCTTGATGCCACCTTTGAGAGCCAGTGGAGCGTGAGCATTCCATTCGTAAATAGCGTTGTTGAGCACGGCGACACGGCAAACTGCCAACTCCATGACACCAGCGTCAACCAGAGTGCGCGACCGAATAGCTCCGATAAAGCTGTTCCAGCCATCGGCGACAGGTGGGCTATGGAGGAGGGACAAGTCAAGCGGGATCAGAGGACGGGGGTTTCTGCGCTCCGCGATGCGAGCATATATGTCTGCAGTGTCGGGGGGTGCATCGACAGGCGGGGTCGAAGGGGCGTAGGGCAGACGCATGGTGCGTGTATGGTTGATTCCGAGCGATCTCAGTGTATGTTTGAGGATGGTGAGTCTACGCTGAAGAACATAAATTAGAGTCCGGTCTCAAAGTATTATGTATGTTTTTTTCCACGGCACCTTAATATTTCCAACGCGGGGGGCATATTGATGCCGAGGGTCGGTGGGAAAGGTCTTACCCGCCCATGTGGGGGAGTGTTTCTCCGGCAACTTCCCAAGGGATAACCGTGGATGTTTAGAAATGTCTACTCTCTGGTCTTGTATAGAAGAGACAAGTCAAATGGTTAATAGATGATACATAGGAAACAATCAGATAGGCTATGTACGATATCCACTGGTATATATATTTTTGATCGAAATAGTTAACCAGCTTATGTAAAATGTTCTAGTTATAGATGTTGGAAGATACTGAGTATGTTGTTCCCAATAGTATATTCTCGATGCAACCGAGTCTTAAAGCACTGCAACATAGAAAATCAAGCTGAAGAGCAATTGTGAAGTTAGTATATACTTGGATGCTACCCCAGATTACGGTAGAAGGCACTTGGAGCTTTAAAGATGTGGTAAAGCCTCCATAGAAGTGACCAGCTATTTCAAAACATTCATATCCAACTGAAATCAAAATTATAATAAACAATCTCAAGCTCAAGTCTATTCAATGGCAAAAAGTCGTGATCCCAAGACCGGCATTGGAGTTTAAAAACACTCCCGCGGGGTGCCGCCCCTCGATGCCGATATCCTCCCCGCATGCAGATAACATTGAACTTTCATTATATTCCAAATTTCGACTATACATGATCCGTTCTGTTTTCTCACGGGCATCTGCCTCAATATCTCGGTCATTTTCTCACTCCTCAAACGCCAATATGAAGCATCATTTGATGATCGGTACCTGGACTGCCCCCGGGCGCATCTATACCGTGCAATTCGATGATGATGCCCTCACGCTAGAGTTGGTCAAAAAGACCGAGATCCCAGAAGCGGAGCCCATCTCATGGATGACCTTTTCTCACGATAAGAAGGCGATATATGGCGCGGCTATGAAGAAGTGGAACAGTTTCGCCGTCAATAGCCCGACAGAGATCGTTCACCAAGTGTCGCACCCGGTTGCTGGTCACCGTATGTCCAAGGAGTCAATGGAATACATATCCAATTCCCCTCGCTAACCCTCTTTTTGTTTCGCGCTAGCTCTGGCATCCAGAAGCGAGACCAACACTCGTGCTATCTTCGTGCTTGCTGCCCACAAGCCTCCCTACAATGTTTACGGCAACCCTTTCTACAACCACGCCGGTTATGGCAACGTGTATTCTGTGAAGCCCGACGGAAGTCTGGATAACAATATTCAGAATTACGAATATGTCCCCAACACTGGTATCCACGGCATGGTGTTCGACCCCACGGAGACGTATTTGTACTCCGCCGATCTCACGGCCAACAAGATTTGGACGCACATCAAGGATTCCAAGACGGGCGAATTAGCACTGGTGGATTGCCTCGAGGCTCCTGATGCGGGCGACCACCCCCGCTGGGTCGAGATGCACCCGAGCGGCAAGTACCTGTACGCGCTGATGGAGGCGGGCAATCGACTTGCAGTGTACGTGATCGATGAGCGCACCCACAAGCCAGTATTCACTCACATCACGTATCCATTACTGCCTTCCGGTGAGCTTTACTTATCCTGGAAAAATGCGACCGATGTCAATGGAAACTAACAACTAACCTCTAGGCCTTCCCCCACGCAACAAGTACCGCGGAGATGTCACTTTTTGCACCAAGGGTGGAGAATACCTGTTCGCCACTACTCGGTCAAACCATTTCGATGTGACTGGCTACATCACCGCATTCAAGCTCGGCTCGCATGGCGAGATCGAGCGCCAGCTCTTCATCAACCCCACCTCGACCAGTGGTGGTCACTCCAACGCCGTCAGCCCTTGTGACTTCAGTGACGAGTGGCTCGCACTATGTGATGATCAGCTCGGATTTGTTGAGATGTACCGCTGGCGTGACGAGAAGCTGGCACGCGTTGCGCGTGTGGATATCCCGGAGCAAGGATTTGGTATGAATGCCATCTGGTATGATTGAATGAAGAAATGAGAATAAATTAGAATAAATGATCATCAATATGTACAGCAAATGCAAGATTATGTACAGTATACGAAATATATTGCTATATTGGTATAATTATGGTAGAACCTTGGAATGTAAAGAAAAGGAAAGCCAAAAAGGGAAATATCATCGGCAGTCAAGTTCGGGTTCTGCTTTCACCCGGATGAGGGGCAATCCTTAAGAGTGCCGATATATTCGGATGTCTTTCTTGGGGATCTTTCGATTCTTTTGACTTATTTGAGTCTTTTGCATCTTTTGAATCATTTTTCTGGGTTCTCTATCGAGTTTGGATTTCCTCTCCTTTACAAGGTCTTCATTATGCCTACTCCCGGTCTTCTCTATGTGACAATGCAGCCCAAGGGCTCGCTGCCGGACACCCAGTTCCACGACTGGTACAACACTGAACATGGGCCTCTGCGTCTGCGATTGCCCTTTGTCACTAATGGCTTTCGCTTCCGTGCCACCGATGGAGAGCACCCTGAATATGTGGCTTTGTACGATATTACCGACATGGACGAGTTGACCCGCGAGACCTACTTGGATCTAAGAACCGACTTGATTAAGACCGAGCGGGAGAAGAGGACTATGGCCCAAATCGATGTCGGCCGTTTACTGTACGATCTAGTGGATGAGCGTAGCAACCCCAACTTCCGCCCGCTAGAAGATCGAGCCGATACAGATGCCGAGACCCGGGGTAGCGTCCTCGTCGCCGTCCGAGTTGCCACTCACCCCGACCCCGCCAAACAAGCTGACCTGGAAAAATGGTACCGCGAGGAACATTTTGAGATGCTCTCCCGTGTGCCTGGATGGCGCCGGAGTCGCCGTTTTGTCACTGCGGCGATCGATTCCGCTGCCCCGCGCGAATCGCTGGCTCTCCACGAGTATGCTCCTATCAATGGTCTTGGAGGCGATGCCCACAAGGCCGCCATGAATACCCCATGGGGATCGCGTCTCATGAGCGAGGTCGTCACCTCTAAGAAGCGTCGCGTATATGAGTGGTACTACACCTTCGGCCCTGCTCCCCGTGAGCTCACTTCGCTAGCTGCCCCGGATGTCGTTGGACCTTGGAACTCCAATGATGGCCGTACTCGCACATTTCCCTCGACCGCCCGCCCGGCTGTCGAGTCGTTCGTCACTACTTCTGATGGTGTTGAAATCCCCTACCGGCTGGAGGGTAGCACCGACCCCTACGCGCCTGTCGTCGTTCTGAGCAACTCCATCCTGGTCAACTGGAACATCTGGGATCGTTTCGTTGACGCCTTCTTTGCTCATCAACAGAACCAGCGCTATCGTGTCGTGCGCTATTTGACTAGAGGCCGACGCTCGCAGAGTGGTGAGCAGCCTGTCAACATCGATTTGCTGGCCTCTGATCTGGCTACGTTGCTGGAGGCTTTGCGTGTGCCTCCCAAGGCCGCTCGTTTGATCGGTGTCAGCCTGGGTGGTGTAACTGTTTTGAACACTGCTCTCCTTCACCCGGAGCGCGTTGGAGCCTTCATCGCATGCGACACCAACTCTTCCGCCCCCGAATCCAACCGTAAGGCATGGGGTGACCGTGTCGCCATCTGCGAGAAGGAAGGCTCTACCGATCCAGACACCAAGGAGCCCATTGTCGGCGAAGAGTTGGCCGAGGTAACCACCCGTCGCTGGTTCGTGCCGGAATCATACCAGACCCAGCCCGACGTCCTTGCACCTGTCAAGGAGGCCGTGCGCACCAACAGCTTGAAGGGGTTTGCCCATAGCGTGCAGGCCCTCTGTGCCTACGATATCCGTGAGCGCATGGCTGCTGCCACTGTGCCAGGTCTGTTCGTCGCCGGAGCCAATGACGGTGTCCTGCCCCAGACAATGCAGAAGATGGCTGCGGATCTACGTGGTGGCGCCGATCTTAAGCTCATCGACCGTGCCGGTCATCTACCTATGGTGGAGCAGCCTGTGGCATTCGCGGAAGTTGTGACTGAGTTCCTCAGCAAAATTGATGGTTGATTGCATTTCTATGGGTCATGTGTAGATAGATTTTGTTCCCTGGCGTATACAAGGCAATGACTGATGAATTATCTCCCCGAACGTTCACCCCATTGAGACATGATTGTATCTTCCCTTGAAGTGCGTGCTTGTACGGAGTATTGTTCCATGGATCAGATCAGATCGTGACTTCGGATCCAGCAATATGTCCGGGCATACACATCAGAGGATCTCCTTTTCGGGACTTCCATTGTATAGTAAAGCGTGTCAACAAGTCCGAATATCTTGTCTAGAGGATGAGCGTGCTCGTGTGGGATAGAAGAGTGACCGGAGGCTGATCGGGTGTGTTTCGGAGTACTAAACCAACTGAATATTAGTAGTCAGACCGAGATCCAAATATTGAACAAAACAAGGTAAAATAATACACCCTGAACTGTCATCACATAGCATCGTCGAGTACAATCGTAAAGAAAAGAAAAAGTCAGCGGAGCTGAACAATTCGGCAGACGAAGGCGGCCAAGGGTGAAATTCAGCTTGCGGGGAAACACCAACTGCACTTCTCCTTGACATGCATTTTTCTAGTTCTGGTTCTTCACTCTCTTTCGCTATTTCTCTTCCTACTTAATTCTTCCTTTCTTTTTACCATGCCTGAGAGCAAGATTCCTCAACCGGGTCCTGCCAAACTTAAGCGCAATGCGGGCCCTGACGAGTGGCTGGAGGCAGCGAAGGATTGCAAGTATCTATCGGAGCCACACATGAAGCAGCTGTGTGAGATCGTCAAGGAATATATGATGGAGGGCAAGTGTTGTCTAGCTGGACTTACTCTCTCTCGGGTTAACTATTCTGACTTAGTTCGCAGAATCAAATATCCAACCAGTCTCGACACCCGTCACAGTCTGTGGTGACATTCACGGCCAATTCTACGATCTCTTGGAACTCTTTCGGGTTTCTGGAGGCATGCCTGATGGTACAGAACTGGACCCCCCGAAGACATCCCCCTCCGTGATTACCTCCGCCGATATCGAACCCCCCTCAAGCATCTCAGACCCTAAAATTCGCAAGAAGCTTCGCGGTCCCAACGTGAACTCCAATGATGAGGAGGGAGATTCGAGTTCACGAAGCCGATCGGCCAGCGATACATCTGCAGATCTTCAGCTTAACCGCAACTTTGTATTTCTGGGTGACTACGTGGATCGTGGCTATTTCAGTCTGGAGACGTTAACGCTTTTACTCTGTCTCAAAGCAAAGTGAGTGACACATGGCACCTCCTGGTGGACTTAATTACAAGTGTTCACTGCTGACTTTAATATCCTAGATACCCCGATCGAGTCACATTGGTTCGTGGTAATCACGAGTCGCGCCAAATTACCCAGGTATATGGTTTCTACGAAGAATGCTTTCAAAAATACGGGAGTGCTTCGGTATGGAAGGCATGCTGCCAGGTTTTCGATTTCATGACATTGGGCGCCATTATTGACGGCAAGGTGCTGTGTGTTCACGGCGGTCTGAGTCCTGAGATTCGCACATTGGACCAAGTCCGCGTGGTAGCCCGCGCACAGGAGATCCCCCATGAGGGTGCCTTCTGTGATCTCGTGTGGTCTGACCCAGACGATGTGGAGACGTGGGCTGTCAGTCCTCGGGGAGCAGGTGAGAACCATCTAAATCCTTTTTTTTTTCTTTGAGCACGCATAGCTGACAATCTTCCCTAGGATGGTTATTCGGAGACAGAGTGGCCGATGAGTTCTGCCATGTCAATGACCTCTCGTTGATCGCACGCGCTCATCAGCTGGTCAACGAGGGCTACAAATACCACTTTAACAATCAAAATGTCGTCACCGTGTGGAGTGCGCCAAATTACTGCTACCGATGCGGAAACCTGGCCTCGGTCTGTGAAATCGGAGAGGATCTCAAACCCACCTTCAAGCTGTTTAGTGCAGTCAGCGATGACCAGAGGCATGTTCCAACTTCGCGGCCAGGGCGCAGCGAGTACTTTTTATAAGATGTGATGCGAGTTCTGCACCGGCGCTGGCGTTCGGTTTGGTATTTGGGCGGAAGGATGAGCATTATATAATGATTTAGACCAGACTTTAATGATGCATATGCCTTGTGTTTGGATATGAGAAACCAAAAGGGATCATTGAAACCAGATATTCCATGAATGAGATCTGAATAAAGAGAACCGGCATTCCGAAGACTTGATATTTCCCGAAGAGCTACTCCAATCAATCCCCCCGCGCTCCAGACTATCAAAAGCAACGACACGGGGTAGTTTAAACACGGATTCGCAATATCAAAACTCCAGTGGCGTTAGAAACCCCGATATAACAGAGGATTGGCTGCCGAGGGTTTCAGGGTGTTGTCCCGCAATCGCTTTCCGGAACACATCCCGAGATGGCCCGGATCTCATTCCGGGTCGCATCCCGGATGCACCATAAAAGGTCCTGGATTTATGCACACACTAACTACACTTGATCTCGATCTGCACACATCGTACACACATTTGAACGATGGAGAAAGTCGATGTTCTCATTTGCGGCAGCGGGTCTGCCGGTCTTTGCGCTGCCACCTGGCTCGCCAAGTATGGAGTGCGGTGCAAGGTACTAGAACGACGGGGTGCTCCCATGAAGATGGGTCAAGCCGATGGTGTGCAATGCCGTACCGTGGAGATTTTTGAAAGCTTTGGAATTGGGGAAGAGCTTCTTCGTGAGGCTTACCACGTTCTAGAGGTCAACTTCTGGGCCGACAATGGCACAGGCACCATCAAGCGGACAGGCCGGACGGCGGATACCCAGCCAGGTCTATCACACCAACCTCACGTTATTCTGAACCAGGCACGTATCAACGGGCTCCTCATAGAGCTGATGGAGAAATATAATGACCAACAAATCGACTATGGCTACAATGTGACCGATGTCAAAGTTGATAGCACCTCTGCGGAAGATCATGATGCCTATCCGGTCAAGGTCACTGCGGAAAAGGACGGAAAGACAGAAATGTTTGCAGCCAAATATGCACTGGTAGGTGCTCATCATCCTTGAGATTTAGATGCTTTCTGATCCGACCATCAGGCTTGTGATGGGGCACACAGCATTGTTCGCAAAGCCCTCGGGTACAAAATGATTGGGGACAGCAGCGACGCTGTCTGGGGTGTCATGGACATGGTGCCCCGAACAAATTTCCCGGACATTCGCAAGAAGTCTACTATTCGCTCAAAATCAGGAAATGTCTTGATTATTCCCCGCGAAGGCGATAGTGACAATCTGACAAGGTTCTATATTGAACTTTCCCCAGGAACCAACCCGAAAGAGGTGACCCTGGAAAATTTGCAGGCCCAAGCACAGAGCATCTTCCACCCATACAAGGTAGACTTTGTGGAAACAATCTGGTGGTCGGCGTATGCCATTGGCCAGCGTCATGCCGATTTCTTCCACAAGGATAACCGGGTCTTCCTTGCTGGTGACGCTTGCCACACCCACTCCCCAAAAGCCGGTCAGGGTATGAATGTCAGCTTACAGGATGGCTACAACATTGGCTGGAAGCTCGGCGAGGTTTTGACTGGTCTGGCCAGTCCCTCACTTCTGGAGACTTACGTCCTAGAGCGTCAAAAGGTGGCTATTGATCTGATTAAATTTGACCGTTATTTCTCCAAGTTGTTTTCTTCTGGGGCCTCAACCTCTCCTGCCGAGTTCCAAGAAGGCTTCATCAAGTCTGGCAAATACACTGCAGGCTTAACAGCCAAGTATGAGGTCTCACCCATCACCTCTCCATTGGAATTGAGCAAGCTCGCCTCTAATATAGCCGTTGGTATGCGGCTCCCCAGCGCACAGGTCGTGCGATTCTGTGACTCTAAACCTCTACATCTCATGAAGTCTCTCAAGTCCGATGGCCGATGGCGCATCATGGCCTTCGTGGGTGACCTGACTGTGCCGGAAAACCACTCAAAGCTCAACAAGGTCTGTTTGTCACTATCAAAATGTACCTGGGCCTTATCTAATGCATCATACAGCTGGGGGAGTACTTGAGCGCGGCCGATGGGCCCATCCAGACATTCACCCCCAAGGATAAAGACATTGACAGCCTCATCGAGACCATCCTGATCGGACATGGAGAGCGTCATGGGGTTGAGTTGGAGCAGATCCCCGAGTGCTTTTATCCAGTCTCTGGAGAAGCTCAAACAAGAGGTGCAGATGCTCTAATTTCCAATATTTCCAACATCCCTAACCCAGAATATTTAGATCTACACAAGATTTATTACGACGACGAGAGTTACAACGACGGGCACGGCCATGCATACGAATATCTCGGCATTGACCCGGCACAAGGTGCTCTTGTCATTGTTCGGCCAGATCAATGTAAGCAAATCCGTGGTCGTGAGATAACTATATATAACTGACGCTTTCGGAATGCTAGATGTGTCTGCCATTATGGGTATAGACGATTATCTTGAAATCGGCAAGTTTTTTGCTGGATTCCTCATACGCAAAACGTACGTTGGTCACCACATGTAAAGGGAAGGACACAGCGGCTAAATTACATGTACATTAGGGGCACGGATTCCAGTTGTCATGCATCCAGCCCAGTTGGCAGCAGATTATGATAGGATAGAAATCGGTTAGGGCGAAATAAATGAGAAATTGCATGGAGTTTGAATAACGTCCTTGTTTTATTCTTCTAAATAGCTCTAGAGAGAAGTTCAAGGCTAAAAGGCACTTCTGAACAGATCTCTTCGGTTTGAATATAGATGGATAATTCTAGGGAAACCAAATTCATGGAGATCTTTCTATTGACTCCCAAGTAAGCGGGTTTCGGCCTTGGTCTTTATGGCCAACGGCGCTGCATTTCCCTTAAATCTAAATTAGTGTAAGGGCACTAATCATATAATTATCCAGATAATTCCAGGGGGTACGAATCAGATTTCATGTAGGAAATTCATGACAGGTTTGTGTTGGTCGAGCCGGAGCAAAAATGAACATCTCATCGAAACTAACAACGGCGCTGTTCATTTCACTCACTCATCGTTTTCGGGCATTAGTAAAAGATAAACCAATCAATTCTAGCAGGTATTGGTTCCATCTCAATGTCAATATTGAGATAAAAAGTCGAAAAGTACAAGTGGATGAGCAAATGAAGCCTTCTCAGGCGCACGACGAAGGTGAAGGGGGAGGTGGCCTATCATAAAGAGAAACAAACGAAACAAACAAATGTACATGAATCGACAACAGGTATGTGGAGCGACATAAGATATAAAATATTAGTGTTAGTCTATAAAGATGTAAGTAGATCTACAAGATCCCGTGGGCTTCACTGCGCATGAAAACGCTTTAGTAAAAATTCCGCCATATTGGCATATCGTCCCTGGCTCGCGTCTTGCTGAGCCAGAATATGCTCGGCCACATCATGCGCCCAAACAAACTCTGAATGAAAGTCGCGCAGCTCCCATAGACGCTGACGGAGCCATCTTTGATGAGTTGTATCATTGGTTTCAATCACTGCCATCAACAGCGGCCAATGTAAACGCCTAAGGAGCTTCGGATCAGACAAAAATTGTTTTTGGCATATGTCAATGATTCCTGCTGTAGCATGTTGGTGAATGCGTAGAGGTAAAGCATCGACGCAGAGAAGCCGGCGGTGGAGGAGGACCTGGCCGTAGAAGGTAGAAACAGCCATGTATATGGTATTGAGCGTACGTCGAGCGGAAACACTACCGGCGAATCTCGCAGTGATAAAAAGGTCGGAGAATTTCTAATCTAATCAGCAACTCTCTCGATATCGGGGCCGCGGATCTATACTGACTTCTCGGGTAGCGAGGATTTCACGGAAAAGCAGTTCTGCGGAGTCGGCGGGACCAGCCGCGGATTCGACGAGGACCTTCCAAGTTCGATGGCGTAGGCAAAACCCAGCATGCAATAGCTCCAGAGCTCTATAGTTTTCAATGTCGTCCAGAACTTCCTCGTCGGGATACTGCTCGCCCCAAAAGCATCGACCCCAGAGACGAGCACAACGATGAAGATGGTCCGGCTGTAAAGCGGGATTCCCTGACTGGGCCACATAGTCGTTAAGTGACTCGGTAAGACCAATGGGACGACAGCTAGCATCGATATATCTGTTCGCTTGTCAGTGGTAGTCGTTTGTATGACGGCTGGAGATGAGCTCACAGAATCCACAACAAAAACTGCTCGGGAATGAAGGAGACCTTGGCCATGGTCATGGTATCACTGGCCAACGTATTGATTCCGGGAGAGAAGAACATATCATTCACATTTTTAATGCGGAATAGTTGCGGATGTGTTTCCAGAAGCGAGCGCACGCCCTGGAGGTGGAGTTGAAGCTAAACCCCCATTAGCCGATTAATAATTCGGTGTGAACAAATCAGTACATGAGAGCATTCTTACATGGCGCACTGAGTGTCCGAACTGCCACTCCCAAGCTGTCATTAAAAAAACTGTGGCAAAAACTGTCTCGACATCATCCAATGAAACCTGGCGCGGCGTCTCGAGTAATTGTCTGAATTCTTTGACCGCTTGGCTGTAATGGTACCGACCATGATCCTGAGAGCGCACAATCAGCCCATTGCGATGCATATCACATGCACTTAACGCCAATATCATCCTCATTATGATTCTATTGGATGCAGCTGGACCTTCGTAAAGATGGCTAATTTTTCGGGTGTCCAATTAGCCGGGTGAACTCTTCAAGTCTCGAGTGAGAAACGGTAACCTCATTTCTCACACGAATGAAAGCCTCACCATAAGGTGCTCCACTTCCATCTCTTCATATAGTAAAATACGAGCGAGGAAGAAGGGAAGTACTGGAAGTACTGCCGATCAAGAGATGTGAGCGTCAATGAGTTGGCGCACGCGACATTGACGTTCAAAGAAGGGTATATGGGGTTAGGAATTGGCGCTGGGTTGAATGTATCAAAACAAATAACGTCCGATGCCCAAGAGACTGGCGAGAGACTTGTAAAAAGGGCATCTGCATCTGGTTGAAACCCGATAAGGTCTTCGCGTTTGGGCATCGCCAAAGAGAGTTGTTCGGAGGTTCCCGGTGCAGGTTCGAGGTGTCGAATTTGCGTGCTTCGTCCACGCTTCACTGGGACCCCCCATTCGCAATTGAGTCGCAGGGATGAACATCTTGCACAAACTGGTTTCTCTTCGCCGCACTTGACCTTGCGACGGCGGCAGGTACTACAACCTATTGAAAAGTGGGTTAGTCGACCATGTGGGAAAGTAAAAGGAATATCCTACCACTCTTGGAACGTGGTCCATTTCGCCCAAAACCCTGCATGAACATGAACCAGCAGGGATCAACCTGCAGGCATGAGCGAAAAGATCGAAGAGAGCGAATTGAAAGAATTAATTATGAAGGGACCGGGATAGAGGACGATCTCAGTGCCGAGGCCGATAAGATAACGCGGGGAAAGCTGAGTAATCATATCATGACGTCAGTCCGACGGTTTCCCTTTTCGGATGCGCTGCCATAAGAAGTTGCATTTCTTCAACTTGGTTGGGAATTTAGAAGCTTGGAGAGCTAAAAATTGTCTCTAGTGACGAAATGAATGTAATTTTTATATAGTCTGATTTCCTTGGGAAGTACTATATACTACCTATCCACGCAACGTACATCTAATCCTCCCGCACAATCTCGTCTTTCCATTGTCGCCGCGCCAAATCATACATATCATTATCCACAATCATATCCCAACCGATCAATGCCAGAGATTTTCCAACAATCAATGCCTCGGCATGAGCTTCATCTGTTCCAGCTGCAGCTGCAAACGTCGGGTGATGTGGAAACGAGTTGTAGATGCGGGAATCGCAAACATTGTATGAAGCGTGGGAGTCTTGTAGCTAACATTTCCTATTATTGAAGTACACGGGTTAGTCCTGTCAGTCAAAAGGAATACTATCTGACCATATACCAATATCCGACGATCCTGTTAGGACCTTGTCATGGCGCTTGAGATCATTGCGACTATACCGTCCCGTGTGTACATGGTGCGTTCACAGAGAGTGTCATTCAATCGAACATCGGCATAGAGTTCATCCCTTGAAGCAAGCACATGAGTAACCATTTCTTCAAGCATCTAGGGGGTGGGCAGGTGGCCATAAATCGATACATACTCATCAATCTTGACTTGACATCCAGTGGGCAACGCACCAGCCTCAATTCAATTGCGCAATTTGCCGATAAGGGCATTCAATCCCTTTAAGGTAGGGCTGGGCACCTGCCAGAAAGCTTTCGTATAATCTGGTATCACGTTAGCTACCTTGGGTGTATCCAAGAAAGCACAATGAACACGTTGATACGGAAGAAGCTGCTGTCGAAGAACCGCAACGTTGTTATAAGATGAGAATAGGACCAAGATATGCATCTTTGCGTACCAAGAAGGGAAATTATGAAAGAAAGATCTGGTCTATATTAAATTTGCTTGCTATCCATGTAAATTGCATGTGCTAGGGTATACCTTCATATCTACCAATGAAGTAGAGTACCTGGCCTATATTTTGTGAGTTACCCTACATCGGTAAATATGTATATATTAGTCCGAATGTTAGCCACGGGGCTATCTTGCAAAGTCACCTGGTCATCGGTCTCCGACAACGATCATCTGCGCTTTTTGTCTTCGTCTCACATAAAGGTCATGTTACATTGAGAGTCATTCATCCGCGTCTAGCATTCTGGTCACTCATGTTTTTCAATCCAGTCTAGGCTTATACCCTTTGAGCTTAACAAATATTCGGAGAAAGCGCTATATAACGTCGAGTTTCGTGCGAAGCGTTAGATTCATGCGCGATTCACACACGAACATATATCAAATTTATCTTTTCATTTTTGATACTTGGGAAGTTTTCTACCGACTCAGCCCCCAGACTTTCACTATGAAGTCCTCTGTCGCAATCTTTGGTACTACGCTACTCGCCACGTCTATCATCGCCTCTCCTCTCACCTTTCAGCGACAGGCGGACGGTGAGATACAGCGATCTGCTTAAGCTCCGCGCCGCAAAATCCGGCCTCATAGTCCAGGTACCTCGGAAGTGCTCTATCTAAATCAAACGTCCCAGGAGACTTACAGCTCAAACTGGGCTGGGGCTGTACTTATTGGTACCGGATACACTTCGGTATCCGGAGAGATCACAGTTCCTATCCCCCAACTTCCAAATGGTGCTAATTCCTATACAAATTACTGCGCCTCTGCATGGGTTGGCATCGACGGTGATACTTGCAGTACAGCCATTCTACAAACAGGAATCGATTTCTGTATTCAAGGATGCTCTACGTCATATAGTGCGTGGTATGAATGGTATCCAGACTACGCCCATGACTTTAGCAACATCCAGATTTCTGCTGGAAATGTGATCAAAATGACAGTCGATGCAACTTCGAAGAGTTCTGGCTTTGCTACTGTTGAGAATCTATCCACAGGCGTGTCTGTGACGCACATATTCCCCAGTGGCCTTGGGGGTGACCTCTGCGAGTTCAACGCCGAATGGATTGTGGAGGACTTTTCTGTAAACAACGCATTGGCTCCTTTTGCCGACTTTGGCACTGTAGTATTCTCAAGTGCAGCTGCCTCACGCGGTGGGAATACTTACGGACCATCGGGTGCTACCTTGATGGATATCTATCAGGATCGAATTCTCACATCTTCTTCTGTCACCGGGAATACGGTCACTATTAGTTACATCTAGCTCTGACAAACAGCCAAGTTCAAATTCTTCAAATCCTCCTCTAGAATATTCCGTTGGAACAGTAAAATTCTAGATAACACAAATGAAACACACACCTAGTGATTATTTGAGGTCCTTGTACTTTTGGTTAGATACCACAATGAGCTTGACATAGAATTTACCTGGTTATTTCTATGCAATATTTGTATCTCGCTCCAGTAACTCTTATCAGACGGTTCACGGACACTTTTCCTTGCCAATATAGGATGAGATATAACTACATCCTTCTGCATGACTGACACAATATAAGTAGAATTTAGGTATTAACCCCAATATAGGGAGGGGAATTCAGTTTTCTTCAACATTTATATCGCTTTTGGGTTCTCGAATGGTGTTCATCATGATTAAAAATGGGATTTGCCTATAATAACCAAAAGAGAGGGAAATTGTAGATACGTAAAGCAAAACCATCAGTCTCATTTTTAGGTAGTTTGGCTAATTGTGTCCCACATTACTTGCTAATCTGGCTAGGTTACGACAAAGGTGGAATCAAATTTTGTAATTAGGAAGATGTTATATCCTGTTCGCACAAGTCTGTCCAAACGAAAGAGCCGACATTCCAGGATCATTTGGCACTTTAATTCCATAAAATCTCCAAAGAGCATCCTGCACCACATCATAACAAGCCCCGTACCGCACAATCTTGATTGTTCTAAAATCGATCATAGTTGAAGAAGCTCGAGGATGGTGAAACTTTTGTCTCCCATAATCGATAACTATATCTGCCACTTCGACGATCTCTGGCTCGATGTCCTCGACCACGGTCTTTGTTCCCTTGCCGGTGATATTGGCCGAAGATCCCATTAGAGGAAGTTTCTCTAGGGTAGCAAGTCGAGATAATTCTTCTAACAAATCACCCCCATTGACCAACATTGCTAGAGTGTCCCCAACAACGCTCTGTGCTAATATATTTGGTGGAAGCTTTTGGATAATCGGATGATCAGGGCGATATGGCGCAATGATCCCTAGAGGAAGGCTCAAGTCCACGGTCAAGAGTTTGACCATATCGGCTTCCTTGGGGGGAAGAACATGAATATCTCGATGCAGAAAGTAACTGCCAACCATTGCATGTCGCTTGTGTGGTTCTCGCCGTTTTGTGCGAGAAATCCGGTCCAATGCGTCAGGATCGATCGCAGTGATTCCGTAGCCAACGCTCATCGGAATAATTCCAACACCACCCCGTTTCAGAACTTCGAACACCACTCTGGCATCTTCTTCTGGGCTTGGTACTTTATAGAAAGACATGTTTATTGTACGAAGAAGTCGATGTGTACTAGAGAAAACTGAGCATCGCAGCTTCATTCTAGTCATGAAAAGTGGACCGTAATACTAGACAGCCCATGAAATCTCGTTTAACAATCTGTGCAATACCGGGGAAACCGAGGTGTGTAACAAAAAACTGCTATCTCCCAGGAAATCATGTGAATAATAGTGGAAATAATTTGGCTTAATCTCATTCTCGCCGAATGACGCAGCAATAGATCGTGGGTCATAGGACATCAACAGCAATCGGGCAGGGTCAGGTTCCCTTACATACTGCTCCTTTGTTTCAAGTATCCAAGAACCAAATACTAAGCTCAATCAATGCTCACAGAGGACTCATTAGAAAGGAAGTGCCCGCGATTGGCACCTTCATTATCTCTGAGTTGTGATGTAGTCACATTGGATAATTCAGTTGGCCACACCGCATGCCAAGTTCCCTGTGCACGAATAGAATATTCATGTCCCTTTTCGAGGCCTGGGATCGGCAAATTGACAGTTACATCAACGGTGTGCCGTGCTTGTATCTCAACGAGATCATTTTCGGAGGCAGGTAGCTTGCGTGATACCATAATAGTAGGAACGGACAGTTTCCGTTGCTCCGTTGTGTCACAAATCTCGAAGACACCGAGAACACCAGCCTGAGGGTCCAATGGGGTGCCCCATCTTAAAATGGTGACTGGTGAATCTGCGGCATTATGAACAGAAACTTTGATTGGTAGAGCAAATGCTTCATGTGCCTTGAGGATCGGTGCCTGGGGGGCCAAGGTGACCTGCAAACTCAAGTTTGACTCCATATTTGCGTCCAAAAAGGTCGTTTCCGTGATCGGTGTCACACTATATCAATAAGGAGGAGAAAAAACAAACAAACAAATAGAGACAACGGGATAGTTTAGGCAAGTTACTAGTAGTATCGAGATATCGAAAGGGCCTTGGGGTGTTGAAAGATCAGAGAGAAGCGACCCAGGTAGAGATTCTTATCACGCCTTATATCTGGAAACGCTGATCATGTTGACGATCTCTCATTTGAACCAATCAAATTTGTTAATTACATGCCAAGTCGACTAGCTAGGGCGCTCTACCGCATTCCTACGGGGCTCCGTGGAACACTTGTTTCTCGTGGACTTGGCATCGCTTTGCCTCCCAGACGGGCCATTCATCACAATAGCCAAGCCTCTATTAATCTCAAGGCTATATCTGACGTGACCCCTAACAGCTGACACTAAGCATTGTTTCTGAATTCAAGACTTCGGCGCCGTCTTGGGTGGTATCTTGGCCGTATCTTGGCACCGGAGTCCGGTGACAAACGCACGGTCTAGGGCTTGGCATGATATGAATGGAGGGGGTTTTGCAGGTTGGTCATTTAGAATGAGACGAAGATATGAGTTGTTACCGGTAGGTCATATTTTTGCCATAAACGACATATATTGATTCCTACAGTACAATGTCCTTGTGTCCTACAAATTCTAAGAATGGTGTTGTACATACATTTGTGTACTACTTAGGTATTCCTCCGCAGAATGTAATTTTATAATTACTTCCATACCTCAGCTAGGTTATGCATATATCAAACACTAAGATCTGCCTAGGGGCTTGCGGCTTTTAGTGCCGAGTTTTTTTCTTTATCTGGAACCGATCTTGAGGAGTTACATCGAACAAGCCCCCGCCACTTCAAACATGATGTGGGGTCAAAAGCAGTTTCATGAGCCCTCGGGCATGCAAACCCGCTAAAGTCCGTCCTTCAGGGGCGCGGGTTTCCGTCGGGCCAAGACGACATCCATGATGATCTTCCTGAAGATGCAGCTATTTCAATATATCTCCAACCAGTGACAAGATTGCCCGCGGTCTGCCCCTGGGATGTAGCTATCTCAAGATATATTTGACCAGTGACAAGATTTTCCGCAGGTCTCCCGTGTCCTTCCTATGCAATCTTGGCTGCTGGCGTGATCAAGTTGTTTCATGCGGAGAGAATACCACCCTCTTTCTTCTGCCGTCCTTCTGGGCAACGGGGAGAAGATGGAAGGTGTACAGGAGACAGGAAACCGCGGCATTCCACTTCGAAACTGCAATAAGTGTCCAGTGAACTATAAAGCAGTCGACCTCCTCTCGAAAATGGGAGCTTTTTTATTCCAGCAGCATCCAAGACATCAGAATTACAACTTTCTTTTCAGAGAATCAACCTTTGAGTCTTTTGACCTCCGAGCATCATGCGTTTTGCTGCCCTTTCCACGGTACTTCTGGGTCTATCACAGCATGTGCACGCCTTGCCAGTCGAAACCGATGAGACTTCTGCGCTCGATATCACCTTGAGTCGTGTCGCTGACACCCGCATCAAGGCTGTCGTGAAGAACTCTGGCAGCGAAGATGTCACATTTGTGCATCTCAACTTTTTCCGTGACGCCGCACCCGTAAAGAAGGTCAATGTCTTCAAGAACGGTATGTACAAATTTCCTCGGACCCTATCGGCGCAATGCTAACTTGATACCAGATGCTGAGATCACTTTTGAGGGAATCAAGCGCCGCTTCGTCCTCGAGGGTCTCACCTCGGAATCTCTCACTTCTCTTGCTGCAGGAGAGACCTTTGAGGATGAATTTGACATTGCCACTACCAGTGACTTGTCTAGCGGAGGCCCATTGACTCTTCGTTCGACCGGCCTGGTGCCCCTAGTCACTGATGGTGCAGTCACTGGCTATCTGCCATACCGTTCCAATGATCTCAAGATCGAGGTTGACGGTGTCAAGGCATCCCGTGTGCTGAAGGCTATCAAGCCGCTCGATCGTCGTGCTCTTCAAACCTGCAGTGATTCGAGCAAGAAGTCTGCGCTTGCCAAGGCTCTCCAGAACACTGTTACGCTCGCAACCAATGCCGCACAGGCTGCTCTTTCTGGATCTTCCACCAAGTATGTACATACCGTTTTGCTGCGAATCAACCATTCTAATAGCTTCCGACAGGTTCAGCGAGTACTTTAAGACCACCAGCACCACTACACGCAATGTTGTGGCTGCTCGCCTTAAGGCTGTGGCAAAAGAGGCCGGCTCGAACACTGCCACTAAGTACTACTGCGAAGATACCTTGGGATAGTTAGTACCTCCTTTCGGTAAAGAATTTATGTGCATACGTGGCTTACAAATGTAATACAAATAGTTGCGAGACCAATGTCTTGGCTTACACTCTGCCATCTCAGAATGTCATCGCCAATTGCGATATCTACTACAGCGAGCTCCCAGCATTGACTAGCACATGCCACAACCAAGATCAAGCAACCACAACTCTCCACGAGCTCACCCATGCTCCAGGAGTATACAGCCCAGGAACTGAGGACAACGGATACGGATATCGCGCTGCGACGGCCCTCTCTAGCGCAGATGCTGTGTTGAACGCTGACTCGTATGCATTGTATGCCAATGGTTAGTGTCCAAGATCGAGCCCCCCTAATGGAAATCAGCTAACCAGCAAATAGCAATCGCCCTTGGCTGCTAAATGATCAACAATTACTCCGGGGGTGCGAAGTGCGAAGCGCCAGTGTCAATTTGAGATTGCTAGATATTAAGTTGGATGCTTGTTCTGATGAGGCTTGTCAATGAGAGACTAGTTGTGAGAGGACAGTGATTGGATTATGAATGAGAATTAGCGAGACAGATTGTGAATGAAAATCTCCGGTGATTATGAATATCCTCAGCTTGCTGTAATGTGAATATAGTCAACTGTTTGGAAGGGTCGTATTATCTGGTAAATTATATCTACATACGTAAATTTTCTTGGCCACTAATATTCACTTTCCGGATATCCAGGTCCTCGGCAGTAGACTCGCATTCTCTGTCAGTTGAACATCAAAATCTGAGATAGAAAGGATCGCCTAAAACAATGCAGTTATTTTCTGTCACGTATGTTAAGACTACAAAAGAGCGTATGGGGGGGGAGAGAGAAGAGGAATCATGATCATTCTATATATCTAAAAGCAGGAGATTTATACCCTCTAACAAAGAAAGGCTCAGTCCATCTATGATAAGATGACTGCACACAAGCCTGAACAAAGGCATGAAAGGCATCATGGGATGCTGTACAAAGCATCCAGAATGAGTGAGGCATGCCGGTGTAGTTCAACAACATAAGAAAAGAGCTATGAATTACATACTTTTTTACTACCTCTTTACTGCGCTGAGTTAGAGAATTCTACCCGCGGATTCGACCCTATTAATGCTTGACGACAGGCTCTAGCTTAACCCACTCGAGCTGCCATGACCACGATAGAAAATAGCAATGTCAAGATGAACTTCCAATATGCAGTTCCTCTACGTTCCAAAGTTGGTTTATTTCGACGACATACACTCCAAAAAGCTTTGTGGTTGCAAATTCTCAAACTATGACATTCAAGATAGCACCACTCTTAGGAAATTTGTGATTAAATCAACCCAAATTGCTTCAAATGATTAGTCCTCCACAGGCAGTGCACCCTCGGCTTGCATCTCAAGCGCCACCTCATCAACCTTCTTCCATACCCTCAATAGATTGCCTCCTACCACCTTACTTGCATCTTTGTCACTGACTCCTCGTTTCAGCAGTTCCTTGATCAGATTCGGGAACCTGGAGACATCCTCCAATCCCCGAGGAACCGTTGGAATACCATCAAAATCACTACCTATTCCGACATGCTCGAAGCCTACAAGATTACCAATGTACAGGATATGATCGGCAACTCGTTCCAGAGTGGCGTGAATAGGGTCCGCGTCTGGGATCCCATCGGCGCGGTCAGAAGCCGTGCAGGAAATGAAGTCTGGTGAAAAATTCACCATAACCAGTGAGTTCTTCTCCCGGACCAGCTCCAAGATGTCGTCGGGTACGTTGCGCGGGTGGGGACAGAGTGCATAGGCTGAGCTATGGCTGTAGATCACTGGAGCACGGCTCCCTATCCATTCGGACTTGCCGGCGCCAAGCACATCACGCATGGTCTCCGTGCTGACATGGGCTAAATCAACAATCATCCCAAGGCGGTTCATCTCAAACACCAGCTTCTGGCCTTCTTCGCTGACGCCATGCCAGAGAGGATCGGATTTTTTTACTCCCCCGCCTGGAAGTTCGAGAATGGCGGCGTCGGCATACCGATTATGGCAATTATGCGTCAGAGTTGCGTACGAAACTCCCAGCTCATAGAAGATCCGGAGATGAGCCAGTGAGTTGCCGATCGAATGCAAGCCCTCGATACCAAGCGGTGAGATGATCTTTCCCTCGCGGAAAGCGGACATGGCAGAGGTACCATTTGGGGGACTCGAGAAGACCTTGGGATAGGCTTGCTGAACCCTGGACATGATGTCCACCTGCTCCATCGTCTCCCGCACGCCTATGATTCCAATGTGAGTATACTGTGCAACAACCGTCGTACCAAATTCCCTTACTTGCTGCGTAATTCTCGTCGGAGAAATCGGTCCCATTCTTGGGACAGGGCACAAAAACACTCCAAAACGTCCCACCAACCCTACCTTGTTTCAATCGAGGGATATCAACGTGGCCGGGAAATTTCCCCTTGACAAAAGCCTCGGTGAAGTTGCGATCATTTACGCGGTTGTGGAAGACTTCCCGGACCAAGATGGGAAAGTCATCATGACCATCTGTTTTAGGCCATCAGTTATGATTGTCCACATAGAATTATTCTCTCCAATCTCCATACCGATCAATGGAGTCTGCGACAGGATCTTCTGCACCCTTTCCTCGATGCTCGGGGGGGTGAAGGGGAGCGCGACAGTGTGAACCAGGCGGTGGCTACAATGATACAGAGAAACAACCAGAGTAAATTGAAGGGGCGTTTTTTCTGCCTCAAAGTCGGCGCATCCCCTTGGCTCTCCAAGACGAGGCTCTTCTCGTCGCTCATTGTGTACATCTAGAGTGTTGTGACGTCGAAGAGAGTGGAGAGGCTTATCGATAAGGTTGGTTTAACGACCTCGGGAGGTACCGCCGGAGTCTTCATTCTGGTCAAAGTACTACTATGTAGTCCACGACAAGAGCAACTATAACAAGGTCATTCTACAGTATAGATGAAATAATCTCTTCCAGTGGAATCAAGGATGTATATTTATATATCAATCGTGTATGTATGTTAGTGTGAGTGCCCACCTAACCTGTTGTACATGTACCTAGACAGCCTGCCCAGGTGCCCTGGAGGTGATGACTGATAACGTCAGCAATGGGTGCACCCAGGCAACACCTGGGCATGCACATGACGATGCTGACTGAGCAATTAGGCGGTGAGAGCTCATGTCCAATCACACCGCTTTCAACCCCGTAGATGCCCCGTGGAGTATCAACTTGGAGCTGGCTGTTTAACATCCTTTGGGATTTCCATGACTTCGTTTTGGGGAAGAGAAACATAGCCTCAATTCTTAATATCGAAAAAGTTCACCATGATGCACCCCGGCAAGACCACGGCCGGTCTGCTCCCAATTTCGGCAGCAGCTACGCAAAAGTCGGGCTCTGGAGCGCCCGCAAAGAAAACGCCCAAGCCTCCTGCTCCACGTCTCAAACTTCTCATTCGACGTTTGCCACCCGGGCTAACACAGACCGAGCTGGAGAGTGCTCTTGGCGACCAGTGGAAGGCTGGGGCAGGGAACGTCGACTGGCTTCAGTACAAACCTGGCAAGGTGTCGAAAGAGTAGGATTCACCCTCCTCCGACTCAGTGTTTCATTGATTTCGACTAACGGGGGTTCTTCAAATAGCCCCAACAAGCCATCTCGCCCATCAAGAGCATACATCCACGTTGTCTCCACCGAATGTGTCTCTTCGCTCTCGGACGCCGTGCGCCAGGCTTCTTTCCAGGATGCTCGTAACACTCTACATGATCCCATTCTACTTGGGCCTCCGTCGCTAGAGTTTGCACCTTATGCCAAGATCCCCGGAAGCCGCTTACGGAAGGATGCTCGTCAAGGCACGATTGATCAAGATTCAGACTTCATCGCTTTCTTGGAAAGTCTGACCCAGCCCATTACCAGGCCCGCGGCTGTGGATTCCACGGCTGATGGTGAGGAGAAGAAGAAGGAAACCGTAATGACCACCCCGCTGGTACAGTTCATCAAAGACAAGAAAGCCAGCAAGTTAAAGGACGGCAGTGGGTCCAAATCCAAGCACAGTCGGTCGGACAAGGAATCAAAGCAGGAGAAAGTGCAAGCGAAAAAACTTTTGCAACGGGGCGATAAGGAAGCCTTGACAAACTCCTCCGACAAGAAACCCAAAGGAGAAAAGACAAGCAAGGACTCTGTCAAGGCGACCAAGCATGGAGCCGCTGCCAATGCCAAGGGAGGCAAGTCGAGTACCACATCAAACACTACAAAGGATACAACCGCAGCTCCAGAGCGGAAGAGAGAGCGCGGAAATGTTACAGTAGCCACCAAGATCCTTCAGCGTGATCTTGGACTCTCGACATCCGGTGGGCGACGACGTGGGAAAGGCGGTTCGACTGATACTGCGTCAGCTAAGAACGAGAGCTCTCGAGACTCGGCTATTCCATCATCCGATGTGCCCAAGAAGGAGACAACCAAGCCTCCTAAAACCGCATCATCCACAACCAATTCTCCAAAGCCCAAGGATGGCGAGTCATCCTCGCGACCCGATGCGGCGGCTGCGCCGCCTGCAGCCCTAGCAGCCAAGTCTACTAAAGGTGGCAAAGCAAAGCACCCATCAACTGCTAAACAAGCATTCCTCAAGCACGCCAACCCATCCCAGGGTGTGACCGAGGCGCTCCTGCAGTCTGCTTTCACCCCATTCGGAGCAGTGACGAAGGTCGAGATTGACAAGAAGAAGGGATTCGGATATGTGGATTTTGCTGAACCAGAAGCACTTCGCAAAGCTATCGCTGCGAGTCCCGTATCGGTGGCCCAGAGTCAAGTGGTGGTCTTGGAGCGCAAAGAGAACCCCGGAATTGAAAAGTCTCGGAAAGGCCGCGAGGGTTTCACTGCCAATAAGGCCAAGGCTCCTACTGAAGCTGGTGGAAGCGCTTCAGGGGCTGGTGGTAATGTTGGAAGTAACGCTGGCTCCTCCCGCGGCTCTCGTGGAGGGCGTGGATCACGGAATAAGGGACCCAAAGGTGGAGCTTCAGAGAAAACTGGAGGCACCGAGGCGGAGTGAGGGCGGAACTACATATTGAGTTCTTTAGCAGTTCACGAGACATGATACCCGAAGGCATGACAGGTTTTACCGATAACTACATGATGGCTGCAGCAAAGGATTTGATATGTTATAACCAATCTATTGAACCAGGCAGTACCAACACTTCAATATTCAAAGGATGTAGTTAGGTCAGCACAACGATGCAGAGGTCGAAGCACAAGTCTCCGTTTAGAACAACGCGACGAGACACGGGTTCGAGGCGCAGCCAGTAGGCTCAAAAGAAAACCCAGCCGTCTACACACACTAGCTTACAACAGTACGAGCAGAACCTAATCCGAATGAAGACCCAATGAGATGAATAAATTTGTTCGCTATCTGCATAAACCCCCTCACAGATCTCTATGCCATCTACCAATATGGAAGAGGACCTTTCAGACCTCCTCGACACCCACCAGGACCGACCGACCGAAGTCAGACGTCGAGACCAGGTCAAGATCATCACCACTCCCTAGACCGAAACACAGACACTGCGAACAGCACGCGTGACAGTCGAGGCGGGAATAAAAAGGTTTCACTTTAGGGCATCGAGGACATGTAGTCATCAGCAAGGGTGGAGATTCTGTGGCTCTTTTAAAGAGTTTAGAAAGGGGACGTCTACTCTAAAGTGATTCTTTGAACTGTGGAAATGGTCAGTAAAATGTTGCGTTACAGTGAAAGATGATTTTCAACTGTATGGGGGAGGAGGAACATACGTAGAGTCGCTTGAAAAACAGGATAAGGTCCGGGGGTCTGGGCTTATTTATATTCCTACCGGTCACGCTAGCACTAAGCGAGAGTGTCTTGTGTTTGCCTGGTTTGTTCGGCTTACCTTTTGCTCTGGTGGGCCGCCTTTTGGTGGCTGGTCCAATCATCTGCCAATCATTTGCTTAGGGTGGATTCTCTATAGAAATTTTCAACTTCGCTCTTCTTCTACTAGTCTGTATCATTTTTCATTACTTGATAATTTGTTATTTCTATAATTCTATGTGTCACTCAATGCTTTGGGACTGTGTTGTAGAATGGAATCGAGGCAAGCCGACTTACCCGCTCAGTTCTCCGGCTCATTGGGTATGTGGTACATTTTGAACGTTATATCTCGTAGTCTCTAGTACTCCGTACATCCCTATTAATTCTCATCAAATACACCTGGACAACATTAGCAAGTCACCTTGGGTATATTAATTATATCATGGTGTGCGTATCCGAAAGGCCTCCGTTGGTTGCACCGAAAGGGCCTATTGTACATAATGTGTAGTGCTTTTAGTATCATACGTTTAATTTCTTTCCGGGGTATTCCACATGCAAAAGATGCAATACTTAAAGACTTTCTCTTTTTTTTTAAAACTATTCATCCTTCAGAAGTGCCTCTTCCGAAATACCCTGGATGTCGGGCCGCGCACGCTTATCGTTTATCTTTTATCCCCGCCGGTATGCGGGGATCTCCCGAGGTCATCCCCAGACTTGTAGACTTCTAGACTCTTCAAGCATGCCACGCCCCAAGGTCCATCCAGCGAATCGGCTACGAGCAAACACTGCATGCACTGCCTGTCGTGCATCCAAAAAGCGCTGCAGTGGTTATTTCCCATGCACCAACTGTATTCACAAAGGACGTGGCCGCTCGTGCACCCCATTCAAGTCCTTACCAAATGCAGGCCTCCGCAGCCGCCTCGTACCTGCTTCTCAACCCACAGTTGAGGCACCTCGGACATGCAGGGGAATGTCAGTCGATTTGCAAAAACCCTTGAGGTCACAGTCTCATGACATTAGTACGCCCCATCTCGAGTTTGACACGCTAGAGGCGGGATCGCACTCGCCTGAAGTTACGCATCGGACGCATCCACGCATGCTCCGCAACCTGCAAGGGGAACGAGGTATGAAATTTTGCGATTGTCATGCACATCATTTGATTGACATTGTCCACAGTGTACGTCGGGAAAGCCGCCTCTCTATCATTTCTACAATTGCTTCGGGATACAGTGACCCAACATATCGGGCCCTCACAGTTCTCTCATAATGGACGGAGTGAGGATATGCTAGAGGCAGAAGCTCATCATGATCTGTTGAATTTCTCCGAAGAATGTTGCACTGTTGATGAGAAGGACCGATTTATCCAGAATTATCACGCAGCGGTAGGATGAATGCCAATCATGAAAGGCGGATAAATCACTGACAATATGCAAGACGAGCGGCTTTTTCAATTTGGGCTTTAGTGGTGACATTTCATCTTCATTGATTGGCCCAGCTGAGCCCAAAACCGATCGAGAAAAAACTAGGGCGGCCATCATGGACCTTATGGTTGCTATCGGAGCACAATCCTCCCCGAACGTCCGACAAACCCTTCAGGCGGAGCGGTTCTACTTTGCTCGCGGCCAACGTAGAACGTTTGCTAACATGCTGGAAGATCCTAGCGTGGATTTAGTCCGAGTGTTTCTACTCATGTCCTTTTATATGCTGGGTGCATGCCGTCGAAACACGGCATTCATGTACCTGGGGGTGGCGTCACGAGCAGCAGTGGCGCTTGGGTTTCATGCAGACTTTCCAGGGTCAATAAGCCCCCATGAGAGTGATGAGATAAATGAACGGTAAAAGCTTCTCCCAAAATCTACTTGGCCCAGCTAATCCCTACTAGATCACGATTATGGATGAGCTTATGTATTCTTGATTTACTTGTCAGTTCGATCCTTGGGAGACCTTCTGCTATATCACCTCTATTGCCCGAGAATCGACAAGAACCTAGTTGGATTGGGCCCACACCGACCGATCCTGGACTGGTGGCTTCATATCAGTTATCGTTGATCCTGGACGAAATAATAAACTGTCTTTACTGTGAAAAGGCCGCATCCGCACAGCAGGCAGACCTGTTATTATGCAAATTAAACGGCTGGAGTGAATATCTGCCACGATCATTAAGGACGTCGTCTTTAGGACACAAAGACCAGAGCACTTTCCAAGAGCACACAATTGGAAACATGCACGTTGCATGTTCATATCATTTTGCAGTGATCTTAGTCACCCGACCTTTCCTCGTCTCGGCCTTGAGTGTCCGGCTGGCCCGGTTACACCAGAGTCTCTCGACTGGTGATCCCAGTGAGGCGCCTGAGGAGGACCCAGCCCACTCTCGGCTTGCAGCGGCATGTATTGATTCTGCTGTATACATGCTGCAAACATGTCTGGAGGTTCATAAGTCCGGCCTTCTTCTTCGGAATATGTGTATTCTCAAGTTCGTCTGCACGAATACCCATCTAGCGATTCCTATACTAACATCCAACAGAGCTTTTATCTTTGCCGCAGCCCTTGTGCTCGGATTCTCTATGTTCTCTCACCGTGACGTGGATTCAGATATTGATGATGTATTCCGCGGTGCCCTGACCATCTTGCGCATGCTGGCGTCGCAGTCCGCCCAGGCAGCTCACTACCTAGAGATAATCACGAAACTAGAGGCCGCTATAAGTAAACAGCGCCAGCGACTTGCTGCCCAAGCCCGACAACGACGGAGTCAATACGTCAGTCGGATCTTTAGCTTGAACGATAGCCCGGCAACACCGCGGACACAAAGTGAGGGGGACGAAGAAGAAGAAGCGAGAAATGCAACCCCACTTCTATCACAGAGTATCGCGTCATACGCGTGGTTACATTCAGATGATAGCACAGCTGCTGCTGTCTCACCCCCCATGATTGATGGGACTTTATTTGATTGGGAGGGTATGGATTTGCCGTTATGGGATAGTTTCCCATTTCTCGCCGAGTCGACTACAATATGATGGAATATAATTCCTTGACTATACCGGGGAATTACATATGTAGTTTACTGGAATTTGACGAACCAACCTTGGAACCTATGATTTTTAGTAAGACTACATGGGCATCTGGGCTCCCAAAACGAAGAACTGCAAGACTTAGATTCACTTAAACAGATGACTTTACAGTCGGAATCAAGAAGCCGGGGGGATAAAGGTCCGAAGTGTCCCAGTAGAGCTGGTAAATATTGTCGACAGCTGTATCCTTCAGACGGAACGAATCATACAGGAGGCCATTCTCATTCTGCCACATGAGATACCTGCCGTAGAAAAGAAATTGATCTAACTTCGCATCGTCTGGTGTATCGACATCATTCCCAGTGAAACCCACAGGTAACACCTTATTGGGTGTGGGACGGATGTAGAAGAACGTGTCAGCATCAAAGGTGTAATCCTTGTTGGTGGCCGTGGCGATAATTTGGGAATTTTTGAAGACAACTGATAGAGGATTAGCAGTTGTTTGGATAAAAAGAAAAACACAAATGGAAATGGAAATGGAAATGATGTAAAAGAGAAATAGATCCTACATATAACGTCGGTTGTCACCGATCCAGACACCCACTGGGAAGAATCGCCGACATATGCGAGTCCTAGGTATTGGGGTCAGGTGGGCATCAATTTATGTGGGAAACGATAGTAACCGTCAGAATAAAAAACACTGACTCCCTCAGGAGCGACACCGTATGCAAGAATGGAGAAGGATCCTGTTGGATAGCGCTTTTGCAGCCCCGACTTAGAGAGTGTAGCCATGGCTTGCGAGGCCAAAGCCATACTGGTCGGTAGGATATTCAATCTCATCTTTTTCGGAGATAATTCTGGAGAGAAGATCATTTGGATTTTAGTGCGAGGCGTGCAGTTAGGCAGTTGTGTTATAACTATTCCATTGTCAGACAATAAGTTGCTGACCAGAGAAAACAGACTGGGGTGACGCAGTCAGATCCTGCACCTGACGGCTGACACTTAAGTTAACTATCCATGGATGTAGTAATACTGCTTATATCTCGATTTATTCTATTTGAACCTGATCAGTATCAAATCAATACGCAAATCAGTGGCAAGGGCCACTCTACAGTGTTGTAGAACGATATTATTGGGTCATGGTGACATTTTAGCACTTCTTGCCGGAATAATCGGAATAATCGGCTCCTATTTAAACTAGTCTTGTGAGTTGGGTATTATTGTGGTTATATCGAACACGAAGAAAAATCACTACAGATGACCCCCAGCCTCGGAGCCAGCTAAACAATGGCAAGTAAGCAAAGGTATGCTGCACTGTAACCCCTCTAACTGATTACGTTTTATTGGTGGTAACTGAAACCAATATGGCTTACTGTGCAACCGGAAGGCGATTGTGAAATTGTATCGAAATATATATATGGTACATGCACACATATTCCGTCCCAACTTTTTGATAACACCGAGAATTGTTTTCTAATGGGGTTTTCCCATATTCTAGGGCACTTGTTTTATTTACCATATATTAATAGGATGAGACAACCCTAATTTACACTAAGACACATGTTTTCAAAATTGATAACTAACTATCTTCAATCACGTTGGACTATATACCAACTTACTTCTGCATTTTATAATCCGTTACCACAGGTAATATGATACATACGACCATAGGGTGTGGAAAACAGGGCTTCCCGTCCGCTCAGCCGTACTTAAGCCACACGCCGGTGAGTTAGTAGTTGGGTGGGTGACCACCAGCGAATCCTCACTGTTGTATGTTTTTGTTTTTGTTTTGATTTTCCCCCCATCTTTCCATCTATAAAAAGCCCTTCTCCATCCTTCACGTGGTAATGAATAATGCTCACGGTTGCCGGATAACGCAGGGTTTGACGAATTGGTTCCGATAGGTAGGAAAGTATCCATAAAAGCCGGAGATAAGCGCCAGTGCGCGGCCCGCGTGACCCGAGTGCACTATCCGCCAGCCGATGATGTAGAGACGTGAAGTGTATATGAGAAGATGTAGAGATACGAGATTAATAATAGGAGACAAGTTGCTATATATCCACCTCTACACTCACGGCTTTCTGCTCCGATTCAATTCAACCTACCTCAAAACCCCAAGCTTTATTGATTTATCTAAATACACTATGTCAAGTTGGAGGAGTCTCAATGTCGGCGTTATTGGCGGGGGCATCGGGGGCATGTCCGCTGCAGTTGCCTTGCGTCGTGCAGGACACACTGTGACCATCTATGAAAAGTCGGACTTTGCAGGTGAAGTCGGCGCTTCGGTTTCGTGTGCTGCCAATGGAACCCGCTGGCTACACGAGTGGAACGTGGATATCGCCAAGGGTGACCCTGTGGTGTTGAAGAAGCTCATCAACCGCGACTGGAATACGGGCGAGCCCGTCAGTGTGTACGACCTCGACGATTATGAGAAGCGCTGGGGATATGTCTACAACATGTTCCATCGCCAGTACATGCATGCCATGCTAAAGGATTCGGCGCTGGGAGAGGGCGAAGGAGCCCCAGCAACCCTCCAAGTGAACTACCGGGTACATCAGTCACTGGAACCTGCCTGAGAATTGAGCATGTGCTAATGTTGTCTGGGATGCAGTGCCGCGATATCGATCTGAAGACGAGTACAGTCGTATTCGAGAACGGTGAGGTTGTCAGCCACGACCTAATCGTCGGTGCAGATGGAATCGGATCGGCCGTTCGAGGGATTATTGGAATCACACCAGAAAAGCGAGCCTCCGACCAGAGCTGCTTGCACACCAATGTCAAAACCGAGGATGCCATCAGGCTCGGTCTGGTGAACTACTCCGAGGATAGCGCACTGGAGTACTGGGGTGGACAGGAAGGCAAGTGGGATAAGATTGTTCTGTCACCCTGTAACGGCGGCGAGCTTCTGTCGTACTACTGCTTCTTCCCGCGTGAGCAAGGCGACTATACGTCACAGACATGGGGGGCCGAAGACCGCCCCGTTGAGGAACTCCTCGCCCCATACCCGGAACTGGACCGACAAGTGTTTAACCATCTGAAGATTGGGACAGAGATCAAACCATGGCGCCTCTGGGTCCATGACCCGTACCCGTATATCCAACGCGGTAACACCTGTCTCTTGGGGGATGCTGCTCACCCGATGATGCCTCACCAAAGCCAAGGAGCCTGCATGGCTATCGAAGATGCGGCAGCACTTGGACTCCTATTTAATAAGCGTTATTTCTCTGGGGATATTGCTCAAGCCCTCGCTGTTTACCAGGAGGTACGTCTGCCTCGTGTCACAAGGGTGCAGGCAGCAGCAGCCAAGGCGGCTTACAATATCAATGAGCGGATTGGTGAGTGACTTTTGTTCAACGGTGTTGCGGTATATTACTTTTCTGACTAGCGAATAGGTTTCTCCGTCAACAAAGATACCCCCACATATAAGGTCGAAGACCCGAAGAAGGTTCTTACCATAGAGGAGATGAATGCGTGAGTTTGACAGAGTTCATGTTTTGGGCAATACTGACAACGACTAGCTATGACATGCATAGAGATATCGAAGAGAAACTGTCAGCCAAGCGCGGGACAGTCTATACCGACAAGTTCCTTTGCGGACTTCCCATCGGACTTGAGCTGCCGAACGGGATCACGATCGGCGCAGTTGGCGCATGATGAAAAGTAGTTTTTTTTTTGAAACCAGGAACCAGTCATTGGACATGCTTTATCATTTAGCTTGGCTTGTGTTGATCGAGATGTTTGTACATTGCGCTAGTCTACATAGTAGAATACATAGTATATACCAAAGTCGCTGGATGTGCACGTCCCACTAATTCACTCTTCCAGAACAACAATACGATAGATAATACGCGTGGTGGAATCCTGCCGAGAAACCTGCCGAGCCTAGCCCGGAGTCGATTGTTGCAGTCACCGAGCTTCTCGGGGGAGATGTACCGAGCGGCATGCAATGACCCGCGATAGCACCCTACTGTGGAACGGGAGTGCAGTTTTACGGGGATAATGATGAAGCACTGTATTCTGTAGTAATCTAAGGTTGTAGCATTATGTAGACTAGCCAAGCTAGCCAAGCTACATACCTACGGTTCTAGACTCTGTCGCATGCATAGAAACACAGGAACACCGCCACGAGCCTGTTACGTAGTAAACGTACCAGTGCTACAAGATATCGGGAAAAGCAGTTGATAGGAACCAAAGTTCTTCAATTTGGATTATATACAAAACGAAAATTTCCAATCATGTATCATCATTTCATTGGATTGAATTACCCAACTAATTTCTTTTTTTTTCTTGATTATTTTAGAACAGAGCATCGCCCAGGCGGTAGTGCACAGTCTTGACCTGGGTGTAGTTCTCAAGGGCGTACGAACCGAGCTCACGGCCAATGCCGGACTCCTTGAAGCCACCGAAGGGGGCCTGGTAAGAGATCATGTTGTAGTTGTTGATCCACACGGTACTGCAATAGAGTTAGCTTTGTTACAGCAGTAATTGATCAAGATAAAACATACCCAGCCTTGAGAGCGTTAGAAACGCGGATGGCAGTGTTGATGTTCTTGGTGTGAACGGCGGCAGCGAGACCTAAATACAGTTAGAATGATAGTTCACGGTTTCATGAATGTAAGCAACACATACCGTATTTGGTGCTGTTGCCAATACGGATGGCATCAGCCTCATCCTTGAACTTAGTGACGGCGATAACGGGGCCGAAGATCTCCTCCTGGGCAATCTTCATCTCGGGAGTGACGTCGGTGAAAACGGTGGGCTGAATGAAGTAGCCCTCGGTACCGTGACGCTCACCACCCAGAGCGACAGTGGCACCCTCTTTCTTGCCGTGGTTGATGTACTCCATGATACGGTCGAACTGGAGCTGCGAAACCTGGGGGCCCTGGAAGGTATCACCCTCGAAGGGGTTGCCGAGCTTGTTCTGGGCGGCACGCTCCTTGAAGCGAGCGACGAACTTGTCGTGGATGCTCTCCTGGACCAGCAGGCGAGAACCGGCGCAGCAGCATTGACCGTGGTTGAAGAAGATACCAAAGTTAGCCCATGAGATGGCATTGTCAATATCGGCGTCCTCGAAGACGATGTTGGGGGACTTGCCACCCAGCTCGAGAGTGACCTTCTTCAGGTTAGACTTGGCGGCGGCCTGCAGAATCATACGGCCGACAAGGGTGGAACCGGTGAAGGCGACCTTATCAATGTCCATGTGGCTAGAGATGGCGGCACCAGCAACACGACCGAAGCCGGAGATGACGTTGATGACACCGGGGGGAAGCCAGCCTCGACAATGAGCTTGGAGGCATACAGACCAGACAGAGGGGTCTGCTCAGCAGTCTTAATGATCACAGTGTTACCGGCAGCGATAGCGGGACCAATCTTCCAGGCCCACATGAGAATGGGGAAGTTCCAGGGGATGATCTGACCACAGACACCAACGGGCTCGTGGCGGGTATAGGAGAGGGTCTCGGAGTTGGTGTCAATGGTCTGGCCAGTGATCTTATCGGCCCAGCCACCGTAGTAGCGCAGGCAGCCAGCAGCATTGGCAATATCGACCTTGGCCATGGTGACGGCCTTACCGTTGTCGAGGGCCTCAATGGAAGCCAGGGTCTCCATATCACGCTCGAAGAGGTCGGCAAGCTTGGTAAGCATACGGCCACGGTCCGAGGGGGTCACCTTCTTCCAGGGACCCTCGAAGGCCTCACGGGCGGCCTTGACAGCGATGTCGACATCCTTCTCGGAAGCCTCGTAGACGGAGGTGATAGGCTTCTCGGTGGTGGGGTTTAGGGTCTCGAAGGTCTTGCCGTCAACACCCTTGACGAACTCGTTGTTGATGAACCTGGAAGGAACCAATTAGCAATGAGATTATGTGGGGGGGGGTAAAGCGTACAGGCCGAGGGGCTGTTCATAAGTGACATTGGGAGTCTTAATGGTAGTGGAGAGAGACATGGTTGCACAGGGAGGGTATCACAAATAGATGCAAGAAAGAGAAAGCGGAGGGGATCAAGGGTTTTTATAACCTAGCTAGGTACTAGTAGGTAGTTAAGGTTGTAACTTAAGAGACAATTGGTTTTCGTTGACTTTCTTGATGCGGGGTCAATGCCACGTGAGCCACTTGTCATGGTATGTATTGAGTATGTTTGTATTGTTACTTTGGAGTACATGTACTAGAAAATTAGTAACATAGTAGTTATGTTAAATTATGTTAAATTATGTTAAATTACCTATATGTATCCACGGATGGATGGATACTTGTATATCGATGTAAAGTCAAATTTGTTATGTAACATCATTGATTACATGTATGCATTGGAGATTTTCCTCTATTCTTTTCCTTGATTTCTCTATGATACAAGGTCTGCTACATTACGAGCTCCATCTGAGGCTTGGCGCAGAACATGGACGTGTACTAAAACGACATACAACATACTAAGGCCTTCTCGGATTAAGGCCGAGGTAATATGATCTTTCACACATCAAATCCCGGCAGAACTTCCGAGCTGGTACAAGTGCGCCCTTTATAGTCTATGAGTTTATCACAAGTACATCCCTGCGCATATTTTATCCTTTTTATACAAAAGCTCAAACGCCTTTTATTTCGGACCAAAGGGCGAAAAGAGGGGCAAGTGGGCCTAGAATGTGATCATCGTGATGTCTCCGTGAGCGGGCTAATATCTCCCCGGTGACACTACTAGTGGGGGAGTAAGGTATGGTATATTGTACAAGCTTCGAAGCTTCAATTAATCGGCCGAGAATAACCGGTCTTTATTTTGGATTGAGATTATTCCAAGTTGTTGAGGCTAAACATAATGAGGGGGGAATTATGGATCACATGACTTCTGGATCAGGTAATATTCAATGTTCAAATGTTAACATTTTTGTGATGATTGGTGATTCCTGAAGACACAGAAAAATGGGGCAACCTCCATACTATAGCTTTCGTAGTAATCGTCACGGTAACACGCAGAAGCCACAGTTAGCGTCGGCACGCTTGTCCCCCAGAGCGTGCATGAACGATCCAGCCTACCGGGCCATGAATCGTCAGCCCAAAGTCGCGACCCGACGCAAGGGTCACTTGCGACCTTGAGAGACACTTTTATTGAATTCAACATTTGAAAATTTGTTCAGGTGAAAAATGTACTGAGAGTCTCACGCGCTACTATTGCCCCAGCTGGGCCATTTGAACTATCTCTCGTTGTTTCACCTGAAATCCGACGGTATACTGCATGCCATAAGCCACCAACTATCCAAATGTCACCGAAAAATCTTCCAAAGAGGCGGAGAGTCAACTGTAATATATTTCACTTACTTGTTAGCTGCTTTTTATAGATTGACTAAATAAACTCACTATTACACTAAGATTCATCACCTAGGGCTTTCTTCGCTAGAGTGTATAATATTAAGTTCTACTCGGGATTCTAAACCCTGCGATTATTTAGGATATAATAGGGCGAAGAGATAGTACGTGATTTCCCTACTATGATAATCCCACCAACTTTAGCTAATCGCCGCCAGGAACAGCATTACCAGTCAACCATCGCATCCAAAACTTGCCACCAGATGTTGTTGTTCGTCATTTGTTCTAGCACCAACAGTTCTACTGTGTATTGCCTCTCTTTCCAAGGTAACAAATCCAGCCGGGCTGGTTCAGGAGGATCGGGCCGGTCAAGCGGGAGAGCGACAAAAGCTACGTTCTGGCCTCCCATTAGAACAGAGGTCTTCTTCTCAGTGTTTTGAAAGTAGAAAACTGAGCCAAATGCCGAGAGACCTTGTGGCCAATCAGTGCACTATCTCGCGATTTCAGCCAGTCCAGTGGTCTCATGGGAGATGGAGTCGATGAATTGGGACTGAAGCGATTCTATGATCTGGGACTTGTCCGCGGTAGTGAATCGACTAACAGAACCAAAGTCTGAAAGCTTCGCCCGCACAGGTACAAGGTTCAAGCATGACCCGATAACGCTCTCATGGTCTGCAGTGGCGGAGGTTAATGTCCTCCCGGAGACAGCACGACCAAACACGATATCATTTCCCCCAGTAACCCGGGCAAGTGCTACACGCCATGCAGCAGGAAACATCGTTCCCGCAGTGGCACATTTGGGGGACGAGAAAGCTTGACCTCGCTGAACATGCGTATTTGCTTTCCGGGCGTAAGTTCTGGAATCATTGGAAATTATATTGGTTGGGACGGGTGCGTCCTGTAACAGGGAGCGCCAGTGGGCACAAGAAGCTACCCGAGAAAAGCCGGAAGTGGCAGAAGTGATCGAGTTCATGTAAGAAGAGAATTGACCAACAGCTGGGACTGGTCGGCCATCATAGAGCGCGCCAATATGTTCAGCCATTTGCGGTAGACTGATTCCATCGTAGAGAGCATGGGAAATTCCCATCCCCAATTGACACATATTATGCTTTGGGGACTGGAAAATGAAGAACTTGGCAAAGGGTGAGCCGGGGATAAGTTTCTCTTTTAGTTCAGTCAAACAATCCCTCGCACATGCTTCTTCCAATGGTTCATCAAAATTACGGATAACAGTGACCTTTGTTGCCAAGGCATGTAAAAAAACCTGGATGTATTGACCACCATAGTCATGAGGTAGGAAAACACATCGCAGTATCTCGAGTGACGATACGAGCTGATGGCAGAGGTTTGTCAAATTCCTGGTGTCGGTAAGGCCACTGAATCTCATGGAGAAATAGTTCCATTCAGTGCCAGGTTGCGCGAAAGCAGATCGAATGGCATATCGCTGAAATCCGTCACTGGAAGAATGTGGCAGATCATATCCACGGGGATTGAAAGAAGGCCTGCAACCTGAGATTTCCCGGGAAGCACCTGCCTAGGAGACTCCTCGATCGAACGGGGGCGGTGCCCAGTCCCGGGAGAGTCAGTTTGCTGCGCCCCCTCATCCCTAGAAGAAATTGACAATTGGTCCGCCATCTGATCAAGCTGTGAATTTTCAAAGACGAGGGCCACCGACAAGGGAAGTTTTTGCTGTCGAGCAGCCCCTACCAGGCGGAGGGCCATGAGGGAATCACCTCCGAGATTAAAGTAGTTCCTAGCGGCCTATCTTATCTCTTGAAATTCCAAGCAGGTTCGACCACAGGTCCCTCAATGCTCTCTCACAGTCTGTCTGCGGCTCCTCGACTAGTTCCAGTTTGCTCACTCTCCTCCAACTTGGCGTGTACTGCAAGTTCTCGGAGCCTCTTGCAATCAATCTTTCCAGAAGGCATAAGTGGGATCCGATCTAACTCTAAGATGGACGAGGGAACCATATATGATGGGAGGGCTTGCGTACGATGCCTCTTTATCTCTTCATGCTTTGCTTTTGTAAAGCGCTTCCATCCTTCAGTAGCAACATCCACATCCTCCTTCCGGTTGTGAGACGACAAAATCACCATCAACCTCTGGGAGCTGTATCCAGAGTCTTTGGTGGTGCTTATTTGGATGACTTCGGCCACTAACATGAACGGAGGGCTAAGGAACTGCCTGATATGGAATTCAATGGCTCCTAATTCCACACGCTGCCCACGGATCTTGAGTTGCGTATCCGCTCGGCCGGCAAATATCAGTCTGCCATGGCTGTTCCAACTCACCAAATTACCCGCTCGATACAATCGCCCCCGCTGGCCATGAGCGATCAAATCACCATCAATCCGAGATAGCCAGGGAGGATTTGATTTGAATTCGCTGGCTGCCTTTTCAGGATTATTCAAGTACCCCCCTCTAACCAAGGGCCCTTCGAGGACAAGCTCTCCAATGGCACCGATGGGATCCAGCTTGTTCGGCTGATTGCATGATGTAATCCAGGCGTTCAGGCCATAGGTTTGGCCAATGTTCACTATTTTAGTCAAGTCCACTCCATAGACCGCCATTGTGCTGGCTATCGTGCATTCAGATGGACCGTAGGCGTTGATGATTTTGACTTCCCCCCCCATCGAGTGATGTCCTCTAATCGAACGGCCTCGCCTCCCATAGCTACATTCGTTATACCTAGTAGGAATTTGGGGTCCATAGATCGAGCTAAAGAAGGCGTGATATTGAGATAATTGACGTTCAATTCACGAATTGCGCCCGCAATGTTGTTCCGGCGGCCATCTTCAGAAGGAATGCAGATGCACGAACCCGCATACAGTTTGGGGAGAAATGGCACCCACACGAAATCAAAGCCATGAGAGGACAGATCAAACACCCGATTGGTATTATCATAGTCCCAGTGTTGCTTCTGGTGGACCACAGCGCTACATGCGTTGGCATGGGTAATGACGACCCCTTTGGGAGTCCCCGTACTTCCCGAAGTAAATATCACGTACAGAGCATTGCTCCCCGACACAATTGGAATTCATGACTGGTCTTCCACTATATGCGGGCCCTCTAGGCCTTAAATGAACGTATCATTCACGACATAAACCCCGGAAGAAGTGATTTCTTTAGTGATCTCCTTGGTTCTTTCCGACGCCAAAATCAACCGCGTATCGACCTGTGAAGTGATGGGTTGCAAGCGTTCAGCGGCCTGGAATGGGTCCACAAGGACCACCACGCCAGCCATAATCACTGCCAACTTTGCCACAGGCGTCCACATACCTTTTGAACAGTATAGGATGACTGCAACCTCCGGCCCGATACCTTATTCCATCACAAGCCAGTAGGCCAGTTGGCGAGCCTTATAAAATAGTTCCCGATAGGTCAATTGACCATCCCAGGCGTTGATCGCGACTGAGTTTGGCTGCTCACTCACTCGATCCGTGAAAAATTTGTCAATACGAGAGTCAATTGTTTCTAGGAGGATTTCGTTCCATGTCCAGATCTGCTGCCGATCCTGCCCCGGTAGCAGGTCAAGTTCAGAAAGTGATATTTTTTCCATCGTATCTCCGTGTTTGCACAATTCTTTGAGAATGTGCTCGAGCTGAAGTAAAATTCTATCCGCCTGTGGTGCATCAAAAACCTGGTCGTCAAAGCTCAGGCTCAGCGTGACTGCGTCGGTCGATGAAACTGACGATGAGCCACCAAAGACGCATTCCAGGACCAAGGGGTACATGTGTCCTATGATATCATCCTGGCTTCGCTGCAAGAACAGGATATTATTGTCGCTGTCGTCTTTGTCTCCTGGCTGAATAACGAGCAGAGATTGGAATTCGTAGGCCTGGCGGCCATTTGAGTCCAACCGTTGCAGACGACCGAGTCCATATTGCTCAAATGGAATCATCTGTGTTCCCGCTGAGTGAATATCCTTTAACAAAGTACGAAGAGGTAAAGATTCCCAATCCATCGTTACCCGAATGGGGACCGTGGCAATTACTGGGCCCGCAATCAGTTCAACCCCAGCGAGAGGTGATTGTCCACCCATAACGGTCGACCCAAACACGACGTCATAGGAGTTACAATACTGCGAAATGAGTATAGCCCAGGCATCTTTCAAGGTTGTTGCTAGGGTGAAGTCTTTGGGCCAGTTAATGCCCTGTACATCTTGTTTGGAGGTCATGTTGGTGATTGGCTGATACTTGGGGTTAGGCAAAGTAGGGAACTGTGGTGCAGCTAAGTTGGCCAAATAGCCCGTCCAGAATTCCCGGCACCGGTCCTTATCGACTTTCTCGACAAGGTATTGGATAAATCGGCTGTATAGGATTAGATTCACTGCTGGAGTTTTGTCGCGGTAAATAGACTCGACCCTTTTTATGACCAAGGACGCGGACTACCGGTCATAGATGGCATAATGAATAGTCATCAACAGGGCTGCAGAGCCACAAGAACCAGTGTCAGACTCGGAAGAGGATTTTACGAGCGCAAAGCAAAGCAGAGGCCCTCCACTCCGGATGGTTATCGCTGTTACCTGCTCCAAACTCCCAAACTCCAACCATGGGACCGCTGATTTTGTGACGACCTGCAACAACCCTTGTCCGGCAAACTCAACTACACGAGTGCGAAGTACCGGGGTCTCGGCAATCACTGTATTCCAAGCTTCCTTCAAGCGATTGACGTCAACGTCGATAGGAAGCGGAATAAGACCACGAGAGACGAATTCATCACCTCGTAAGGCGGTCCGTGCCAACATCGCCTCCAGGATAGGGGAGCAGGGATATGCGTCTTCGATCTGCCATGGATGAACACGGCAAATTCGTCTTGCCAGAATTTATGTGCCATTTGAGATACTTCGAGCTTGAGGATAAGGTACTGTTAACTGGGTGGGGTTGAGATATCCTTGCCAGGTCGGGCTGCTTGGAGACATATAATGCTTCCCGCCTTCCCTCCATAGTTTGCTGGTGCATCAAGGGCCCCAATCTAGGAAGGCGGCAGTTTCCATCAATTGACATATGTACCTGGATCCTCTTAGCTGGATTAGGACGAGACATCGCCATTGTTTCCGTGGACAAGATTATTGGCTAAGAGAGAGTGATAAATGGGGTAAGTTCAGATATGAAAATTACACGGTCGTATTTGGAAGTTGAAAATTACAAAAAGGGGGAGATCTGATGGTAAATCTGAGAGGTAACGTCCACGGGTGGACGCGCCAGAACCCTGGGAACTTAACTTAAGCCTCGCGCGCCTTGGCATTCGATGTTCTATGCACTCCGTGACGCGGGAGACGGGCCTCCGCCGGAGAATCCTGATAGCCCGATGCAACGATAATGATGGCTGGTTTTCTGTCTCAGCGCCTCAACTCCCTAAGCCACCCCCTGCACCCTGGAATTCCCCCCCCAACAAGGGCCTTTTTTTTTTAGCATTATCCTTCTCAGGAATCTTGATAGAAACGCCTCTTGTAAGAGGCTCGGGGGAAATTGGGAAATTCAAATCCAGAGTAACACTCACCGCTGCCTGCTATGTCGACGCGAAATCCATCAGCACCGTCAGCTCGCCCACCGGAAGAGCCCGATGAGCGGGCGCCCCTTTTAGGGGGGCACGAGTCTAGTCATGGCGACTATCCTAAGATCACCTCCTTTCCCCGTCGCCGTCTCTTGCTCCTTGTGTGCCTTACCGTTGTGGCCGCTGACTTCGGCAACTATCTTGGCTATGCCCCTCATATCGAAATTCTTGAGTCGATTATATGCCGCCAGGCTCGGGGCAGCGGCTCATTTGGGGTAGATGACGACTGCAAGTCGCCTCAAGTGCAAGGAGAATTGGCCCTGATAAATGGATGGAAAGACACATTTGACCAGCTACCAGGAATCTTTCTTGCGCTTCCTTATGGGTTTGCTGCTGATAGCATAGGGCGTAAGCCTATCCTGGTACTCAGCTTGACTGGACTCGTTCTCGAAGAAATCGCCGCTCGATTAATCTTTTTCTTTACCTCCGCCTTGCCGCTGCGGATGATTTGGATGACGCCTGCTTTCCAAATCATCGGCGGCGGACCCCAAATAGCGACCGCTATGGCCTATGCTATAGTTACCGATATGGTGCCAAGTCATCAAAGGTAGCGACAACACTTTCCCCAAGCTGATTGTAAATTGACTAACGAGGACGATCTATATTTAGGGCATCTGTTTTCTTCATCCTGTCTGCTGCGACTCTACTAGGCGAAATTATTGCTACACCGATTGCTGCATTCCTAATGTCATGGAGCCCATGGATTCCTTCGCTGTTGGGTCTGTTCTTTGAGTGTTTGGGGCTGCTCGGAGCCGCTTTTATCTCCGATATACCTTCCAACTCAGCGCCATGCAACAGCCAATGGGGTTTGGAGGAAGAGGAAGAAGAAGAAGAAGCAGAGGTCCAGGAAGAAGGTCGTATTTTGACCTCGGCGCACGATCCACCATATCTACGTTGGAAAAGTGCCATACGACGGCAGTGGAATCACATTCGAAACCATTATATTGAATCCTGGAGCACCAACCTCTTCTATACTGTCGGTGCATTTTTATTTGCAAGTATAGGGCGCCAAGCGCTACAGCTTATTGTTCAATATTCCTCAAACCGCTTTTCTTGGAGCATTGCGCGCGCCAGCTCACTGATCACGCTGAAGGGCACCATAAATCTCGTCACTTTATTGTTTCTTCTCCCTTGCCTTTCCAGCTGGCTGAATAAACATTTACTTCTGTCACCTGCCGCCAAGGACCTCCGTATTGTCCAAGGCAGTGTGTGGATTTTAACTCTGGGTTCAGCCATCATGGCCGTTTCCACTCATCCGGCCGGATTCATAGTAGGGGTCAGCTTGCTCGCATTCGGATGGGGGTTCTACTCGGCCCTGCGAAGTCTGGCCATGGAACTGGTATCGCCATCGCAAGTGGGTATTGTAAACACGGCGATTGGGTTCGCTCAAAGTATCGGTTCTATGGTCTCAGGACCCATTCTAGCTGCCGCATTCCGTCGGGGCCTTGAGGAAGATGGGCTTTTGGTGGGATTGCCCTATATGGTGGCAGCTGGTTTATTTTTTCTATCCGGCTGCTTAACAGGTTGTGTTCGGATTCCACAGTGAAGAAGTGGCGCCTGAATGTCGGCTGAGGACTCTACACTAGTGCCGTTAAAAAGCTTATGGCCATCACAGAAGACGGGGATTCTTTCTTAAGGCATTTTGATATTCAAATATCAAGATGAATTTATTGTAATATGGATAGAGAGAGACATAGACACGGACAGAGACAGAGCGAAAGAGGGAGGAGCCTCAAGTATGTACGTAGTCGGCCCTCGGATTTACAAGGTTATTTCAACTCCCTTCAATTATGTATCACTTTGACGGACCACATACTCCGAAATTGAGCTCATTTAATATTCCGATCCTTCTTTCTCATTCGTCTCCCATATCTCATCAGAAGAAAGGGCACAGGAGCAAATGCGAATGCAATAAACGCCAAGAGACTGTTCCCCCATCCCATCCCCAGAGCATCGTATAGCCCATGACCTGCGAGGGGGCAACAAGCCTCCGGCCAGACTTCTAAGAATGTTCATTGCCGCCAGGGCGGAGGCGGAATGTATTGGGAATGAATTCACCAGGTAGACCTGCGCTGGCTGAAAAATACCCATCATGGCGAAGCCAAACACACCCAGCCCAACTAATGGGACCATCGGGGATGCATTCGTCTGCAGCGACCACCCGTACCAAAGGAGACCAACGGGAGCTACTAGACCTGAAGGAATCATAGGCCACAGATAATCCTCTGGTTGGAGATCTTTACCCAAGTCGGTTGCTCTCTTCTTGTTTCGTTCAGTGACTTTGTCGGCCGCAAAACCAATGGTGAAGATTCCTGTTGCAATAAAAAAAAAGTCATTCGGTGGACCGACATAAACCAGATTGTTTTTCTCAGGTCGTCTGAAGAAAAGCCAGAGAACCGAGATGAGAAATCAGCTTACCTAAAATGGTCCCAATTCCAGTTCCCAAATAAACCAGCCCAGATGACCCGGTTGACAAGTGATACTTGTCCTGAAAAATGTACGCCAGCGTAGTAAAGACAAGATATTGATATCCGTATACTACCGCCACGTATAGTGCAATTGTCGTCACCACAAATGATGTCAGCAGAAGCTTAGGGGGACGAATGAGAGCCGTCAGGATGACTTCCTGGCGAGAGACCCCAGGATCCAGGCGGGACTTCAACTGAAGATTGCCTGTCTCCTTGCGAAGTCTCCGAGTTTTAGCTTCCAGTAGTACGGGAGCGTATGTTTCACGGATCAGAAAGGGGGACAAGATCGTAAGGATGGCCATCTACTCCACTGTCAGAACTATTCCTCCTCTTGGTTTCACATCCAGTGTCCTTTCGTAGCTTGGTTTCCTCAACTCTTACCGGAATAGCAATAACCCAAAAGATCCATCTCCAGCCAACAGCCTCGCTTAGGTAGCCTCCTGCAATGGGAGAGAAGACCTAGACACGATGTATGTCAATAGAAGGTTTTAGCCAAGACCATCGGATAAGGCCGTGAGGAGTGAGCTGGGGGCCTTACAGGTGCCACTAGTGATCCTAAGCCCCAAACAGCCATTGCGGTTCCCATCCGTTCGGGCGGCATAAGGTCGCCAATCGTACCTCCACCCAAAGCCAAAGGGGTTACCCCCGCACAACCGGAGATGAACCGGAATGCCAGAAACATCCCCACATTCCTGCTCAAGGCACATCCAATGGTGACCCCGAGGAAAATCACATTTGTCACATGGTAGACGATAGCGCGACCATACAACTCTGACAATGGCGCTACAATGAGTGGGCCAATAGCGAATCCGATCACATAGATTGACACGACAAATGACTCTAGTTTTGTGTTGTCGGATCCAAGAGATCTCATCACATCATGAACTGCAGGTGCCAGCATGGATGAAGCTAGCGAACTAATGTTGTATCATCAAGCATCAGTCACATATATATATTCGGCTTGAACAACATTGTCGATCTTCTTAGGGCCTGCGGGATATACCGAGCTGTAGAGAAGATAACGAAGAAGTTATAAAGATAGCAATACATACGTGGCAAAGGTTAGGAGTGAAATGAAACCAACATGGCACCAACGATACGTGGCGCTCCAGTTCATAGGGTTTGAGGGATCTGCGTTATCATCCCAGAACACTTCGTTGGGATCAGGATCAGTATCAGGCACGCCATCTCGATCTCCGAGGCTGTCATCCGCAGGCAAGACGGGATGTGGCCCCTTTTCGTCATCATGGGTCGAGGCCATGTGTTAGAGAGAGAGAGAGAGAGAGAGAGAGAGAGAGAGAGAGACGGATATTGATAAACGAACTGGGTTGAGAAAAACAACGGTCTAGTCCGCGCAATCGATCAATAGTGAGCGAAAATCCAGCAATTGAACCTTCTTAAATATATGTACTCCGTATTCCAGCGGAGATAACACTAGCGTATTCTATCACATCTAGACGGTATTCTCACTAGGTATTCCCTTTCTCAAATATTAATCCTCGACTTAATGGACCCTTTTCAAAGTTGTATTTAGGTAGTCCATACTTTCTCCAGCGCCGCCGCTGTAATTCAAAGGTAAAGAAGATATGAAAGCACATCAGACAAAATCACGCGATGCAAGACCGAGGGGAAAATTTTGACTGCCTAATGTGATATGCAGATTGGCTAAGGGTGGACGCCACTTAATCTGAAAAAAAAAAAGGAATCAATGAATCGAATCTCAAGGAAATGAAAATTACTAGCCCAATACCATTGGGGTTAATACGGGTGGGTAACGGACCTCGGGAGATCCGGTGGAGTTCCCGCGTGGCCCCAGGAGGCTTAAGGCGGGAATACTGATAACGACCTTCCAAGGTTGGAAGCCAATAAACCCTAAATTTGTATTTAAAAATACAGATCTAAAATAACAGAGACTCTTATTAGATTCTATAGCTATGGAACTATTCGAAGGCTGATCTTATGTATTATTCAACTATCCCTGTAGCTAGTCCCTGGTATACATAGAAAAGCCGTATGTACGGTTTACACCTCTTTCCGCCTTTTTCTCTCATCTACATATGTAGGCATAGAACTGAAAGGGAGGAGAAGATATCTGAGAAAAAGACATCTGAAAAGACTATCGAGAAGCCTACTAAGAAGTCTACTGAAAAGACATGACAAGGCCACATAAGCGGCCCACTATTCTTGTAGCAACAATAGCCGAGCGACGACAGTAATCATGGTTGCTCTTACCTGATACTTACCTGATAAAGGGATCACTCTCGGTGCAAATGATTTGAAATGTGCACATCAATACAATTTAGTATACCGAATAGAATGACGTGCATACACCTCAAGGAGAAAATTGATTGAGCCCGTCGGAATTATCAATGGTTATCTGCGTCAGGTAAGCGCTAATATATTTGTTTCACATTGGTTCGGCTCGTGAGTAGCACTTCATTATCGCCTACATGAGCTCACTTTAGCGCAGCGTAGATGGATCTTGACCCCTCCCTGTACATGCGTCAAGTGAGCCAGATTTGGGGTCAATATTTGCGAAGCTTTAACAACATTTGGTAGATATTGTCCCAGATATCGCTGCTTCCTTCCGCCTGTTTTCGTGTATCATATTTTTGTAGCTTTTCTTCTCTTCTTGATCCCCCTGAATCTACCATCTTTTGTTCCGTTCTCTCTTATTTAGAAATATCTCCTCGCCGATTTAGGACAATGGGCCCAGCTTGGCAATGTACTCTAGTATGCCCTATCCACTGACTTATAGTACCTGTGGCGTTTCCAAAGTCTTTTCCAAAGAGGATACGGAGCTTTTTGTGGTCATATAGACGAGATAGAGTAGAAGTGGATTTTGAAGTGGATTTTGAAATTTCAATTATAGATAAGGTGATTAAAATCATGTAATAAGGAAACAAGCAAAAGGAAAAAAAAGATGTGTATGCGTCTCAACATTTAGCGGCTAGGGCGAGTGAAGTGCTTGAAGGCCATGGTGGCAGCGAAGCCAGTGACCAACAGTGAGCCACCCATGGTGATGGCCTGCAGGAGAGCATTCATTATCTGATGGCGGTTACGGGTGCGGCAACGATTGCGGAAATAAGCGACGTCGTTGCTATGGGGAAAGGGGTCATTAGGGATTTCCTCCTCGAGGAATTCACACAAGGGAGCCCAGCCATCGTTGATGTTGTACTCCAGAAGACGTTCAGGGGGCACCAGGCTGCGGACCTCGGCAACGTGTTCCTTGTAAACCTGCTTGCCCTTGTTGGGGAAGTCACCCCGGAAGAAAGTCTCGAAGAACTTGTTAAGCATGGGGTAGTACATGCCCGCGGCCCAACTAAAGTTCGCCACGAACTTATGTTCTGAATCGCTGACACGCCAGTACACGGACTTCGTGACTGAGGTATGCCATTGATCGATGTCCCGGGTGTTCAGGATGACTTTGGCGTTGGGATAGGCCTCAATAAGTTCCTTGGCGAAGGCACAGGCGGGCCAGTCGCACACGGCCTGACAGTCTCCTAGAAGTTGATCCCATTCCTTGCGGCCGAACTCACCTTCGCCCTTGTATTTGGCGTTCAGAGCATCGTGCCACATCAGGCAATCGGGTGGGTTCTCGACACTGGCACACATCATGTGGTAGCATTTGGTGTATCCCAATCGCTCAAGTGCCTTGCGAAGGGCTGACGGAATTTTGATTTAGTCCTTGACAGAAATTCGACCAGGCTGTCAATTGGAGTACTCACAGGCAGTACCGGTACGGCCGACACCGAGGGCAAGCACTTTCATAGGCACAGTGCGGTGGCACTTGCGACGGACAATATTGGTGTCGTTCGTGAATATATCAGTGATAGGCTGAGGAGCCAGATTGTCGGAGAGCACCAGAGACATTATGGCGTTGTATGGAGTAGCAAATAAGGAGAAAGAATAGATATGCAAAAGGAAGCACTGGGTGTAGAATGAAGTGACAAAACAGTAGGTAAGATTTTATGAGAGGAGAGTGGGCCGGGCATCGGTCAGAGGAGCAGTGGTAATCACAGTGGACGAATCGGACTTTACGGAAGACTATAAAAGGAAGACAAAAAAGATGCAATCATGAAATGATTAGATTGGTTGAGTAGAGAAAGCTAACCACTCTAGCAAAACACCCTGTGATCTATGATGATACCAATACAAGAATGGTCGGCCGCCTATGCGGCCTATGTCCTTGATAACGTAAGACTTTAATAGTCTGATTTATTTGAAGATGATAGAGGAATGTTATATGTAAGAACTCCACGATGTGTTTTTTTGGACGTTCTTTTCATAAGTCCTTTTTGATGTCTTTTTTGATATCTGCTTAGGCGTATACGAAGGCGATAAAAAGCATACTTTGTGCAGACGACTTTTCTATGTATAACCTTTTGATACTACTATGAATCATACGAGGAAGAAATCATAGATGGGCCTATTTAGAAGGATAAGCTGGTAGATTATTTAGTGCATAAAAGAAAAAACATGACTTACAAATGCTGAGACAGTTTCAAACAGAGCATGTGTTTACTTTTCATAAATAATTTCCAGGACTGTTAAATCAATAACACATTTTTTTAACAGATCATCTCTTCCAGACAGTTCTCCTTCGGCCATCAGAGCGGTGTAGTTTACCATTCATGTGCACACCACGGAGCTACTGTTTGAGGAAGTCTAGAATTTTGGGCTGATTAACTTCCAAACAGAGGAGACAGGCAAATGAAAAGGGGAAGAAGGGTAGACTAACAATCGCAGGGTAGACAATGGCACCCTTGTTGTTGCAGCAGAGCTTATCATCATCATGGCAATGGGAAGTATCTAGTGTTTGTTAGTAAGCTTACTGGGTCGACCGTTTGTCCTGCTCACATTTGCCGCATCGAGTTCCAGCTATGTTTTTTACAATAGCGCCAGTGCAGCAAAAACAGCCGGGAGGACTGAATACCCTCTTGTCAAGGTCATTGTCATCAGGAGATCCCTCGGCAATAGAAAGGCTGGTGAATGCAAAGAGAGCAAGAAGAATCCTGAAATGCATCTTTTAGGGGGTGGTTTGTAATGGAATATAAAAGTCCAGATCAGTGGTTTTGGTGAACAATAATTATCACGAAAGTACCAGTTGATGTAGAGAAACGAATTGATTTTAAATAACACCCAGCCTGGGTCTAGAATATTAAATTGCAAAATCGGCCATCAGAAGATCATCCAAGTCAGCAGTGAGCGATTCCGCGGCAAGAGACCTTGCATCGTTGATACGTCACTCACGAATGCGAAAGAGACTAAACCCCGTTCTTGATATTGGTAACCGATACTAAGTCTATGATACTGGGGTGAGCGACGGATCCAAGATCAGTTAAGTTGGGACTCTGTCGCCACTGCTTGGCCCATGACCGGTGACTACTATTCGCATCATCTACAACTTCCACTCCAGGAAATACTGCCAGTCGCGCAGGTGCTTAGGCTATCATTGTCATGGGATCAAACCAGAATCTAGCAACGATCGACGTTTACAAGATTTGGACCCATTTTAGATCTATGTAAGTATTAGAGGCATAATGCCGCTATCAGAAATCCCCTCTCTATTTGAACCACTAAACCCTTCACCATGGCCTCACCTAGACCTTACGGTATTGTTGTCTGGGGTACCTAGGGGTCACTCAGGACCCGCAAGAGCCCATGAGCACCTACATTATCAAATTACACATGTGATACCATGAATCATGAATTTAGAGTACTTATGACCACTGACATAATGTGATGTTTATTATTCTGGTTCATTTTCTTGGCTTTCGATAGGGTTGGGTCCGAGCTCGTAACCAACCCATCTTTTGGCGAGGTCTGGAGTCCTTCACCCTTGGAAAGGCATATTCGTATTATTACCTCATCCGCTTTTTTCATTGATTCGCATCTTGTCGCTTGCGTGGGAAAGGTATGTCTTTCATCCATCTCACATGACTTATCCGTTCATATTGTCATGCTGTAAAAGTGGGGCTGTGAAATAAAGGCTCGACCGGAAGTACTCAAGCCCGAGGAATAACGAGATCCATCGAGAATGCGACCGCACGACTTCTTTTAGTTTCAACGGATTAAGTTTAGTTCGCGCCACACTTTGCTGTCCGTTTTGAAATATTTTCATTGATTTTATCTTAGTGGTGAATACACTTTTATTAGTATTTGGAGCAGCATCGAGGAAACTGTTCGAGACTAATAATGTTTGTCTAACTTAAAAGGTTGGTCTTGATACAATGATATGTCCCAAATCCTCCAGATTCTCAAACCCGTTTGATTAAATCTGGTTTGCGGTGGCTCAACGACATGCTGTTCATCTTCAGCTGCCAGCTTTGCATTGCTATTGCTCTGTTGATCTTCATCTCAAACGGTACTTCAAAAAAGGAAACACGCGTTGATGTCGACGCATATAACATTGACCAAAACGATTTCTCACAAGAATTGAGGCTTGGACCCATCGATGCTGTTTACACCTGGGTCAATGGGTCAGATCCTATATGGAAGAGCGATAGGGACTTTTGGTATCAGCGCTCGATCCAGGAATATGATACACCTGCCCGAAATATCCAGAAAAGTCAGAACAACGGCTCTAATGATGAGGACGGTGCTTCCGCCGACAATCATTTTCGAGACAACGACGAGCTCCGATATTCAATTCGCTCCCTCGATAAATATGCACCGTGGATCCGCCATATATACGTCGTGACGAATGGCCAGGTTCCTTCTTGGTTAGATCCAGACAATCCCCGTATCACAATTGTCAAGCACTCGGAAATTTTCCAAAATTCCTTACACTTGCCGGTCTTCTCTTCCTCTGCTATCGAGAGCAATCTGGACAGAATTCCAGGTCTCAGTGATACCTTCCTCTACTTCAATGACGATGTTTTCCTTGCTGCGCCTGTGTGGCCACATGATTTTATCACACCATCTGGGGTGCAAACCATCCACCTCTCCCACCCAGTTCCATTGGGTTATGATGCATATCCAGAGTATCGGTTTGGAGCTAACAACTCTGCTCCGGATAAGCCCCACGAGTTTGACGACTACGGCTTCGTGGATGACGGGCAGGGCGGAGTAAAAATTGAGCAGCTAGTTGGGAAAGTACATGCCTCATCGGCATGCGATGTGGAAGGAGCAGAGATCCCGCAGTCTTTACTTGACGCAGTTTTGGGGAGTAATGTCCCTCTAGGACACGGCCACATTAATCTTACCTTACACTCAACCCACCAAAATTGCACCTCAGAGGACGTTGAGGCATCAAACACGACAGAGAGCATGCCAGGGCTGGACACCCATAGCCGAATAAAACTTGCTGCGCTGCTAGATGCATTCTCGCAGTGCCCAAATGCCGATGATTTGGTTGCTAATGCAATCAGATCTGTGATAAAGGCATTCAACGGACGATTCCCTTTCTCAAAACACCTCCGGAGGGTCCCGTCTCACATGCCTCATATGATGAACAAGCAAATACTTACCGAGCTCAAAAGTCTATTTCCACAAGAGTTCCAGCTAAACTCAGCACACCGATTTCGGCACCCACGGGACCTACAGGTTGGCTTTGCCTATTTCAACTATCTAGTCAATCGCCACGACTTTTTGTCTTCTACCCTGTGCGGGTTGCGGGATCAAGACATTGACATCAATAGCAATTGTAGGGTTGAAGAAGATAATATCCGAACTTTCGAAAGCCTTCTGTGCGGAACAAGCCCACCGGCAGGCTTTCATGACTCCGTTCAAAGGTGCCTTCACAATGACTCTGAGTTCACAAACAACCTAGAATTCCCGACGAAAACGGGAAATACGACAGGCTTTTCTATCAAGGACGTTGAGCGTTGCATCGATATGCCAGGATTGCGATCGCGTTTGCAGAAGAAGGGATATAGACTGAAGATGGGAACCGATGTGACCTTTCACGAGTTGGGAGACGACTACCAGACCACTATGGACCAACTACAATCGACAAGAGACCGACCAACAAAATTTATTTGTCTCAATGACGACATGAAGAGCCCATCAACTGAAGTGAGACACGCTTTGAGGCAGTTACTCGAAGATCTGTGGCCTCTGCCTTCAACCCTTGAGTTACCGACAAAACCTGTTGATTATCATAGAGGAAACGGAGCAATTTTGCACGTGCATGACATGTTTCCACGTCTTTTTTTAATTCTGTTTTTGTTTTTTGGGAGCATTCTGATACTAGTTTTATTCTTGCGAATTTCGGCGTGTCGGAATGGGCGCAAGATGAATTACAGCTGACATGGGGTTAGACGTGAATGAATGTAGAAGGAAGCCAGAAATTATTTTATTTCGCAAGTAATTTTGGGTGAATCAATTTTTGATTTCGAGTCTGAGTGTGTTGGCAGCTTGATTGGAGAAAAGCGTGGACCCAAAAGAAAAAGAAGAAAAAGGCTAACGGACAAGATCCTTGATCGAAACCACGAGAGAAGACAACGACAAACGAACAAACGAACAAAGATCATTCAATCCATGGTTGGGAAGTCCACTTTGGTCATTTAATTTTTGTGGCGCAAACAAAAAGCATCCATGGATGCTTAATTTGACAATCCGGCTTGAGCTTTCCGACATCACATAACTTGGGTCTCCACTCCCCACTGGACTTTTGCTACTCTCTCAGTATAGTATAAAAGCCTACATGCAGATTCAAATCCGTTGAACTCGGACTTAGTCCCCAAAAATTGTCTTTTCTCACTAGACTCAACCCCGACCGAATTGCTCTCAATGGTGTTCATTCCAAAAAGCTACATGTCATCGAACTTGCTCCTTTTTCTCCTTATCAATATCAACTTCCCGGGTTTGATATTGGGCCTAGAGACAATTCATGAAGATCACCGCGGAGACATAACTGCCACGAAAGCAAGCGACAGTACTATCCGAGCTTTTCAAACTTGTCCAGTCTCCTTGATCCCTCTTCCAAAAGGCAAATCAAGATCCATTCCACAGATCCAACACCACTTCAATTCTGAAACTCAATCCGATCGACTTGAGAGAACCAAAAGGCAACGGGCCGTGAAAAATGCGTTCCAACATAGCTGGAATGGATATAAAACCCATGCCTGGTTGCGGGACGAACTATCACCAATCAGTGGCGGCCATAAAAGCCCCCTTGGGGGCTGGGCAGCAACTTTGATTGACTCCTTGGATACACTGCTCATAATGGGTTTGGATGACGAGTTCGAAGCCGCACTTGAGGCCGTCCATCATGTCGATTTTTCCACTCCCAAATTAGCAACTGTTCATGTCTTTGAGATAACAATCCGACATCTTGGGGGTTTAATCAGTGCATATGACCTGACCGAAGGAAAACATCCTATTCTCTTGGAGAAAGCCCAAGAATTGGGCGAACTTTTGTATAGGGCGTTTGATACCCCAAACAGGATGCCACAGATGCGATGGCAATGGATAAGGTAGGCAATAAATGTCTTTTCGACTCCAAAATTGAGATTTCTGTATTCTTAGATTATGATTGGGAACGCATTAACCACTATTTAGGAGCATATTCGAGTCTTCAACGTACCCCAGTGAACGTACTCTCCTTGCCGAGATAGGCTCATTGAGCCTAGAGTTCACCCGCCTTTCGCAAATTACAGGCGATCCCAAATATTTTGATGCTGTTCAAAGAATTACAGACAACCTACATCGCACACAAAACCAGACTAGACTGCCGGGTCTGTGGCCGCTCTCATTTGACGCCCGTGCATTGCAGTTCTCAGACAACTACTTCACAGTAGGTGGTATGGCTGACTCCACCTACGAATACCTCGTCAAAGAGTATCTACTCCTTGGAGCACAATCAGATCAATATCGTGATATGTATATCTCTGCAATGGAAGGGATCAAGAAACATCTGCTCTTCCATGGCATGAATAAAGATAAAGAAGACATATTATTCGCTGGAAATATCCGATTCGATTCAGAGTCCGGCCAAGGGTTTTTTGAGTATCAAACAGAGCATCTAAAGTGCTTCCTCGGAGGTATGGTAGCACTTGGCTCCCGAGCATTTGGTCGCTCAGATGACTTGCCTATTGCACAGAAATTGGTGAATGGGTGTATCTGGGCATATGATCTCATGCCGACCGGGATTATGCCCGAGACTTTATACATCAGTGGCTGCAGGAATTCTGACCGTTGCGAATGGGAGGAAGAAAAGTGGTTCCGTGACATTTTTGGATGGCCAGATGGAGAACAAATGCCTATGAATGTACGTGAGGCTACACGACTGATTATTCAACATGATAGGCTACAGCCGCCAATACTGGAAGTTGCCAATCCAAAGTATCATCTGAGGTAATTTGGAATACCAGATGGGGTTCATCAAAACAGTACCATGTTGACCTTTTTACACAGGCCTGAAGCAATTGAGTCTATCTTTATCATGTACAGAATTACCGGCAAGACGTCACTGCAAGACGCCGCATGGCGAATGTTTCAGAACATTGATCAGTACACCAAAGTCAAACACGGCCATGCTTCGCTCAAAGATACCCGTGACATACGGACAGCAAGATTGGATGGTATGGAAAGCTTCTGGCTTGCAGAGACATTGAAATACTTTTACCTCATTTTCTCAGATCCAAAACTCATCAGCTTGGATGATTATGTTCTGTAAGTATAGCGTCTCCCTTTTCATCCGCGGAACTGAAGATTCTGACCAACGATTGAAACTGCATGATGTAGTAACACCGAAGCTCATCCGTTCAAGTATACACGTGTCTCTCCTACAATCTAGCGTTGTCGCTTTCTTATCTTGCACTTTCCTGTGAATTATCTACAACTCATGCAAAATTTTGGTCAGCCGGCCTCCAGCATTCATGACAAAAGCTCGGTTTCCGGCGATGCCGCGAGCCGTCACCTCCAATCTATCAAGCTGCAGAACTATGCCTCCTCATGCACCTATCTGACTGCCTGAGAATTGTTCACTCGAGTATCCTGTGAATCAAGATTAAATTCTAATTGATCCTGTAAAGCCCATATACGCTTCAGCACTTTCCAGAATGCTCAATATTTGTATGTAATCCTATAGCAATTCTGGGACAGCAAACAGGGTTATAAAGATATCTAATTTCTCGGTTTTGGACAGAGAGACAATTTTAGTTTCATTTTTCTGAAATATACAGTTTCTTCATCTTTTCATACTGGACAGATCGTTTACATAGTTCATTATAGCAGCTTGTTACTTTAATTTAACGCTCTTTAGGGAAATAATTTAAAATAAAATAATATTCTGTAACGGGATGTCTTGATATACTTTCTTCAACAGCTGATATCTAGACCCAGGCCAGCCACCAAATATTCGACCATTGCGGTGAAGATATCTTGCTCTACGACTCTCCTCCAATCTTTGTCCGCAATATATACCAAGGAACGAGCATAAATAGTGTACCATGGTTATATAGGTTAGACTGCCGCTATCGACTATCTAGGCAGTCGACGGAAACGGTGAGATCACGGACACATCCGAGGGTTTTCGGAACCATAATATCATTTTACGTTATCCGTAACCTCGATTTGTCAACTTTTTCGAACCGAAATCTGTGTCCGTGTCGATTATACATCTAGGCATCCGTCAACTTCCGGTACCTTCAGCATACACAAGATGTTCCAAGTCGTATTGGCCTGCAAGCCTTTTTTATGTTGTCTCTCTTCGGACTGTGATTTGTATTTCCAACTTTGATAAAATGAGCTAAATTTTCAAAGTTTGGCTCCAAAAAGACCAAAAAGCAGACAAGTTGATGAAAATGATTTCTATTGTAAATGAGGCCTTCCCTGCTGTCCAATATCATCAATTGAGTTGGGACTCAATGGCTACGGCTTGGCCTACGGGAATAGTAAACGCTGACTATTCTTGTTATCCACAAGTTCAGCCTCAAGAAGTACCATTTCTGGGAAGAGCGAAGCCAGTCATACTAGATTCGCAGGTGCTTGGGTTATCATCATCATGGGATCCGACCAGTCAGTCCGACAGCTGGAAATATTTTGTTCCAAATTCGCAAACCCAGGACCATGATTCTGCAGTTCGCTTAGAGGGGAAATGCCATGAGGTCTCAACGACGCAGATGGTCAAACGCGGAGAAGAATTGCACAACACAGAGATATTCTCACGCGGATGGCCTGACCAGGCTCCCGACACAATTTGTGGCTGGGGCTCCAGCGAACAGCATACCCGGCTAGTTCGGACAAAACTCGCTGAAATACTCAAGGCATATCATGTGAAAACGGTTAACGATGCTGGCTGTGGTGACCTTGCATGGATGAGCATGATAGATCTCGAGGGTATCGACTATATGGGCTACGATATATATGAGCGTGCCAACTGGGCCGAACTACGACAACGCGGCTATCGACTGAACGTTCTTGATATCACAGCAAATGAATCACGCCCGGCTGATCTAGTTATTTGTCGCGATGTTTTTATTCATTTGCCGAACGACATGATTCTTCCCACATTGGAGCGATTCCGCCACTCGGCTTCGTTTCTTCTCACCACAAGCTACACCAATGACCCAATTTTGAGTGAAATGGAATTCTCCAATTTCAAGCGAATGAGCGAGCCAAATCTACGACATAGAAAGCTCGACCTAACTCTACCTCCGTTCAATCTCGGCCACCCGCTTGTTCGTATCCCCGAGGACTCGCCTAACAAATATCTCGGACTCTGGGACATGACTCGCCTACCAACTGGCCCATGAGCGATAACGCCACCTCCTAACTCCTAGCACCTGAGCTAGGATGACCATTGAAGGGCAAGTTTATTTTAAGGAGTTGTTAGGGTGCATGAGTGAAGGTTCAATGGCAAAGGAGTGAGAAGAGTCGAGAGACTATCCAACACTGCACGGGATGACTACCATTACTTTCGTAACTCTCTTCCTGAAACACTCATTTAAAACATATAATCTGGACAGCCAGTAAAGATTCCAGAAGGAATGATGAGGCAGACGAAAAAAAATCCAGAAGAAGCGGCGGATGTAAAAACTATGAGCACTTTCTTTCACCTCCAGTCACATCTCGGTGGTAGTCACAAAAGCTCCCCTAGAAGGCCCAAGATGCATTTATAGCCACTATGTGGTTCCAGCCCGTACTAGTATGAATTATGAGACAATATGACACTTGAAATCCTTCTATTCGAAATGACTTGAAGATGGAGACACTCATACCCAAACCAACTAGCTCCGTACCATGATGTAAGCCAGGAAGTGAAATATTTATTTATCTAGCCAATAATACACAACCTCTGTACGACTGTAGCTAGGCACAGAGAGAGCCAGACCTTACCAAATCTTCTCGCGGCAGCAGATCAATGATGTATTTGTGCATCATCAAAGGTCAACGTATACTTTGCCGTGTGGTCCATGGATGGTAAGGAGTGCCAAGACCCATGTCATCGATGCTGATGGTCTCTTGAAATTGGGAACACGGAGGTGTTGGCTTCTACAATAAAGATCTGGTCTAATAATGCTCAAGAAAATGTTGAGATTATTTATGATTTGCCATCTTATCTTTGTCGCCTCCTATGGTGTTCCATGAACAAAGTAGCAGACGGCAAAAGAGATCTCCATCAGTATCAATTACTTAAACTCTTGCTCTGACGACTAGTCTTGCAGTTTGAATCATGGCATGTTATTTTTTCATTCTATATGTGCTGTTCTCGCTGGCTCTTGGGGAACCGGATTGGCCGTATAAATCATTTCAGACAGGAAATTGGCAGCCCCCCATCTGTCACTCAGCGCGACAGGTGAAACGGACCCCGGATACATGTTTATAGGAGTTCGAAAATCCAACGAGGCTGGCACCGCTCCAACAATCTTTGACAACAATGGCGATATGGTGTGGCAGGGCCCGCACGGGGAGAACCTGAATTTTAAGATGCAAAAGCTGTTCGGCCAGGATGTGATCACATACTGGGATGGACAGCCAGATGTAAGAGTGTTGGGATATGGAGCAACGCATATCCTCGACAGCACATATAAAGAGATCTACACAGTCACTCTGCATGATGACTTTCACACTCCTAGCGGGAAAAGGTTTGACTCCTATATCGATGGCCACGAGCATTACATCACGCCTCAGAATACCATGCTGGTCTCGGCCCTCAATTTCACCCAAACTGATACTAGCCATCTCAGAAGGGGCACGCCCGACATGTGGGTTTTGGACTCTCTGTTCTACGAAATCGACATAAAAACAAACAACATCTTGTTCAAATGGGATGCACTCGAGCATATTCCGATTTCCAAGACCAGTGTTACCGTATTGGGTGGGAAAAAGTTGCATGAAGCCTGGGACGCTTACCATATAAACTCGGTTACAACCGCCAAATATGGATATCTGGTCAACTTTCGACATATCCGCTCTGTTTTCTATATTAACAAGGACGGCTCTGTCCGCTGGCAACTCTCTGTGAGTATATCTAAGCTTCACAAATGTTGAGTATATCCGCTTACTCGGTATTTTAAAGGGTGACAATGATAACCATGGCGACTTCAAAAGTGACAATGTTAGCTTTGCATGGCAACATGATGTCCGTGTTCACGACGAAACCAACGAAAGCCTAGTCCTCAGTCTCTACAACAACGCTGCCATGGACCATGACGACCCAGGCCCATCAACAGGACTAGTCATCCACGTCGATCTCGTCAACAAGAAGGCATGGAGGACCCACGAGCTGACAGATCCAACTGACCATATCGTGAGCGCAACGCAAGGCAGCTTCCAGTTCCTTCCAAACCCAGGAACAGCGCACATGCTGCTGGGCTACGGATCGATACCCAAACTCAAGGAATATGACGGAGACGGCAACGTAGTTCTCCGAGGGCAGTTTGGCAAGGACAAATTTTCGGCTAATGCCTACCGCATATTCAAATCCGCGTGGAGCGCTACTCCACACTGGGATCCTGCTCTCTTTGTTAATCACACAACTTCGCATACAACTGATCTCTACATGAGCTGGAACGGTGCCACGGACTATGACAACTGGGCCATTTTCTCGGTCCCATCTCAGACCTCAACATTGCTAGAAGGCAAGCGCCTGCTGGTGCATAAGAGAACCGGCTTCGAAACTCACGTCCCTCTTGAGAATATCGATGCCCGTTTTATCATTGCTGTTGCAAGAGATGGCGAGAGAATAGTGGGAAAGTCCTCCATCGCGGAACTGGGTCAGGAGATAAATTCTGTTTGTCCTGTTATCGCATAAAAGAGGATTGCAGACTCTTCACAGAAGGAGGGCGAAAAAGAAAATCTGGGGCTGTTGGGTGGAAGAACAAGGGGCTATATAGAACCACGCACGGGGACACATAAGGACAAAGAGCGTTACCCTGAATTGATAAAACCAAATCGAAAGCAGCCTTCATCAAGTCATCCGATATGGTGTAATCCAGGGGGACAGCGGAAAGACCATAGTTGTGCGTGGTGTTTTGGGGGATAATCGTGGTGATTCCGTATAGGCGGTTTTGTAGATCTAATTAGGACTAGTGCCATATATCCAACTGGGTTTAGCGTATGATTGTCCCAATCGTGCTACATGTTTATTATAAGCCCGGCGGCTTTATCATGGGCGATAATTAATTAATTGCCAAATATAGACTTTCACTACGAATTGATTATCACTATTTTGCTCGTAGTGGTTAAGTATCGTACACTCCCCCTCTACCTAGATCTTAATCAAGCTTTCCCCTCCCCTTTAAGCCTACTGTAATCGAAATGCGCCCCCTAAAGCAGGTTAGAGATTAGAATACATTTATCCGCTAGCCGGATCTAAAAGTCACGACCAATAAAGTCTTATCGACGAAGGAGCGGTTAAAGGGAATCCATTTTAACTTTTAGAAGTATTATACCGTTACTTATTTAATCTATATGCTTTAACTAAAGGATTTTTAGATGGGTGTAAGAACTTGATAATAAAGACTATAAATATTAGCCTGAAAATATCACGCTAAGGATCGTTTAAGGGTTTTTTAAGTGGTATTTAGATAAGTATAATATAAACTATAAGTCTAGCTTTATAATAATTATACGATTTTTTAGAATATACTAGATAGATAAAAGGGGCCTTTACCTCCCTTACTAACTTAGAAAGGATATTAGTTCGGTATGATTTCTATAGTATGATCTATAGTCCTTTACTTACTTAAGAAGCTAGCCTAATTAATAGCTATAGACCACAACCTTAATAAGACCGCGAAAGAATAGCCGCCCTTTAGTATTAACGAGGTATTTTTTATCACGTATTATTTAGTGGCCGCTTACGATATAGCCTTTCCTATAGTCTAGGTTTTATTTTAATTAAACACCCTATAGAAAATAATAGTCTCGACTTTAGCCTAACCTAGAACCCTTATACTATCTTCCTATTATAAGGAGGAAAATGATACGCTAAAATAGAAGGATATTAACCTATATATAGTAAAATATCCTAATTATCCTAATACCTAACTTCTTCTTATAAGGGCTAGGTATAGGCTTAATAAGGGAAAGAGAAATTAAGGAGCCCTATAAGTCCTAGTCTTATACTATTAATTATAATTAAGTCTAACTATCACTAGGCCTATATTTATATATACTAAAAGAAACGATAATCTCGGACTATATGTTATTTAGGATATACTTATATATACCTTTCTTAATAATATATTTATAAGCCTATATATTAAATGCCCTTAAGATATTTAGCGCTTTATAAAAGTTCTAGACTATCGCTATAGCACTCCTATTTATTTTAAGGATAGTCTAAAAAATATCCCTATTTTTAGGCGCGCTATAAGAATAAAATACGGAGCTTAGGCCACTAACTATAAGGTCGGCTTTTTATATTTATAGGTATAGGAATATAAAAAGAAGGCTAGTGTAAAGGCTAGATTTATAGATAAGGGATCACTCTATAAATACTATAAAGGCGCCGTTAAAAACTTGAGTATAACGAAGAGAATCTAGAGATCGATAAATTAGATACTAATAAATTTTAGGGAATCTTAATAAGCACTCACGTAATATAATTATAGGTCATCGAAAAAGTGTAACGTTTTCAAATTATATATCTATATTTAATAACACTTAATCAATTTTTATATAAACTCTAACGAGGGATTCTTTATTAAATCTCGTATGCTATAGAAATCTAATATGAGATAAATTAGCGCTATAACACCTAAATACTAAGTAAAAAGAGTCTATCGAAATAGATACCGAACTTTAAGACTTAAAAAAGGCGGTTAAGTTAACTAGAGATGAACTTATATCGGAATTCTATAAATTAAAGAAAGCGGAGGGAGCGTTAGATAGGCGGTTCACTAAAATAAAGCGACTAATAAAAGATCCGGACGAGATAAAAATAATTAGAACGCCGCGCTTAAAAGGTAGCCTAGGAGGAATTCTTCGATAGTATTAGAAACCGGATTATTAAGTAAAACTAGTAAGGTACTCCGGTCACTTTTACTCTAGACGTTAGTTATATTCAGCCGGAAAGAATTGCCCTTACTAAGCTTAAATTTAAGAATAGGGATATCGATACTATCGATAATACGGAATTAATTAAAGACCGTATTCGATCTCTCGAGCTATAACTAAAAATAAATAGCCTTTATATACCTAAGGTATTAAAAAAGCGAATCTTATTTAAAGGTGGACCGAAGAAAGTATCGAGATAAGTAGTGGTCCTAATAGAAAGCTTATCTAGGCTAGAATGTCCTATATATCTAGGGAATATAGGCTTAGATCCTATCGCTAGGCGATATAAGTACTCACGAAAGGACATACTTTAGGTTTATTTTAAAGGTCATTACCTACCGGACCTTTTCGAAAGCCTAGGTCGCTAATATAATATTCCTAAATATTTAAGTGTTTATATATCTCTTCCTAGATATAAGAGCATCTAGCTAGGTATTATAAGATTTATCTTTGATTATATTAATTATATTAACCATTTTATACTATCCTGCCATTCGTTATCTTTTTCGTAGACAGAAATCCGATTTTCGATTCAGGGGTTGCTTCGACGGTGGGTGGTTGAACTTTCAACTTAGTATTAACCGGCGATAGCGAGGTTTATTGATCTTAACAAATATAGATCATATTATTGAACGATTCCGGGCTCATAACTGACAGAAATCTGGCTGTATGACAACGTATGGACAAAATCAGATATATTGGAATCTCTAACTAAAATGACAAAACCCGCGTTTTCAACAATCTGGGCGGACATAGATGACTAACTGTAATATGCACTTTTGTATGGTATGGATGGTACCATGTGTCACATGATATTCAGGGTATTTTACCCTGTTTCCACCATGTATTCAATCTTAGTATTCGACAGTGGGCGATGAATAATGCACTTGAGATCTAGATCAAAATACCTGTGACCCATATGGACCGTAGTCAGAAGACCGAGGACCCTTATGGTCACTAAGCCAGGGTGGCCGCCAGTTGACAGCTCTAAAGCCCACCTAAACTAGGAGCCGTGGACGTACGTCCAATGTGGACCTGCGTCCACGGCTGTCGGTAATTGGCCTTGAGTCAACTGTTCTGGATCACGAGACCTAGAACCAAGGCAGGATGGCCAGGGGGGACGCCAGTTGGCAGCCAGAGGGCTCGCCAGGATCATGGGCCATGGTCGTACGACCAGGCGTTTCGAAAGGAGTCACACGTGTAGAATCCAGCCTTTTTAGCCAATCCTGGGCTGAAATCCGATGGTGTATGCGGGTGCCAAGGAAGTGCGGTTTCGGGCGGATCCAAGTCAACCAATAATGTTATGCCTGGAATAAGCCAAAAGGGTCCGTGTGGTGTCGCGCGCCCAGGGGTGATTCTCACCCGACTCTCACCTCTTCAAACAACCACAAACACCTCGGCGACAACGGAAAGAACTCACAACACGCTACAAAATCAGTCTGAGGATTGTTTCATATCGCTTCTAAGGTTACTATATAATTCCCTTCCATCTCAACTCTAGTATATACGACCACAGGGTGTGGAGAAGAGGGCTTCCCGTTCGCTTAGCCGTACTTAAGCCACATTATGTATGGCAGAGCTTCCTTCTTCAATCACTACTTCTACGCAGCCCAAAACAATACTTCATTTCTAGCTTCTACATCCTCACTGGATTTCCAGTTATAGATTCAACGGTGATGGACACTAGCTTTGATCCATTACGAGTGCGGAAATCTTCAACCGAAAAAGGAGCTGATCCGGCACTTGGGCCAACCATGGTAATTATCGATGCCTCTGCGACTAATGTAATGACTGACTGGGCAAGTGCCCCATGCTACCATATTTTCCCCAATGGCCTATCTGTTTTCAAATGACTTCTCAGAGTCTATCAGGAAGTTCGCATACCCGTTCCCCTCACCATGTGTTAAAAGGCATTGATATCAAAGCCGTCCCACAAAATCCTTCCATACTCAAGTTCGCGGGTAACTTTTCCATCACTATTCCACCACATCAAAGATATGTTGATCATACCCGATGAATCGCCCTTCTTTATTCCAGGAGGAAGGTTGGGCTTAGCTGCTTCAGGAGGATCATGCTTCAATGTAAACCATACAACGTGCTCCATAACCGAAAACGAGCCAGGCTCGGAACTGCCGTAGAGCGAAATGGCCTCAACTGAGAGGTTCGTAAGAAGATCGCTAAATCCACTGTTTTGTTGGAGCCAAGCCTTCTTAGGTGACCTAGCAACACCAAGGGCTATATAAAATTAAAGTATTAGAATGGTAATATTTGAATTAAGAAGGGAGAAGGGAGAAGGGAAATTAGCTCTTACGGATATCGGTCATGTGATAATCATCAGCCATGATACTTTCTAGCCCTTGGGCATCGGCACTGACAAAAGCATTGAAGTACTGATCCAAGCGCGCCAGCAATACCTTATCATCATGGTTTTGGATGCGGGTATTGTTCCATGCGGGCGAGGCACTCGAACTCATGTTGTACGATATGTGATTTCGGCGGTCTATTTATCGCAGTAGTTGTTTTGGGAGGCTTGATTTTAAGGCAAGTCTTGATCCGGAAAATGATAGAGATGGTTTGGGACGATGAATGAAGGGCTCTTGCTCCAAGTATAAATACCCGAAGCTCGCAAGACCGGTGTGAATTTCACATAGTAATGACATCATCTATGACATTCGCTATATAGCAGTTTTTCATCACATTTTTCATCACATTTTTCATCGCATCATGCATTGTGGCGGTTTTCTCCTTACAATGTCTATAACTAGTCTTGTTGCGTGATTTAAGTTCTCTGATTCCAAATCCGGGCCAATTTGGGGTGTTCACTATCTTGTGTGGGGATTGATCATAGACCAAGCGGGATCAACCTAAGTTTGCAGACGCCACGGCACGGGCCTAATGAGTGGGGCCGTCTCCCAGCCAGATCGTTTCTCCCCGTCTCCCAAGGTTACAAATAGCATATACTGTGTATGTAACTATGCATAATGGCACCCTATCACAACAATAGTCCTTATATGCGAAAATAGGTGTCTATTTCCACGGGAAATTATTGGCTTCGATATCATCACCATTATGTCAAAACTCAAACAATTCATCATCAATGCTTATTTCTTATGCAACAAACCTCAGATTCGATGAGCCTAGACTGTAACTGCATGAAGCGCTAAGAAGTAGGAACACTAAACCGCATTGGGTAATTCGCTGTCACCCGAGAGTACGGAGTACACACAGCGAAGTGGACTGATAAGCCCCGATAAATCGAGGTGAGCAATAGTAGCAAGGGTAGGCTTCATCTCAATAGCAAAGTGCCAGGAGCATAGTAGTCCGAAGCAATGGGTAAAGCCAATTATAGCAGGCATGATAGCGAATAGAGGCGGTAGGCCAGAGAAAGACTAAACAAATTGCTGATCCTTCGTCGTTGGAGCTATATCTCTGACACTTTCTCCAGTAAAGAGCTTTTCGGAAAGTTAGATAGAGATATGCCATTACAATTACTAGATCGATGCACTACTTATAAGCCGACCGTTATAGTGCTAACGCTCTGACAAATGTTTGAGTGAATTGGCCTCGTATCAAAATATGTAGTCCATTACTGCAATAGTTGTCAGAATCTGCGGGAACTACTTTCGAGAACTTGAGTGATGAAACATTGCCGAGCCTAGAGGATTATTTCCCCACCACTCTGCCAATTAGTTTTGAAGATCCGCATATGAGCTCTATAGATGATCTCTCTATGGACTTGAGCGATGAAACATGGCCGGGCCTAGAGGATCTTTCTCCACCGCTCTGCCAACTAGCTTTGAAGATCCGGAGATTAGCTCTATAGATGATCTCTTTATGGAGTTCATACGCTTTGGTGACAACTATGTGTAGAGCACTGACCAGGTGATATCGTATCGTTGATACCGACTATTGCAAGAAACGAAGTTGCTTGGCGTCAGACTCTTCGTCATTCCTGGATATTTCTTGCACGGCTAAATGATGCTAGATTGACAGCATATTGGTTGGTTAGAGACTTAAATGTTGAAATTTATCTTTCTTCACGTGATATACTTTCCATAGCAAGCCCTAGGTCCGTGGTCAAGAATGGGAGTGATTAGACTTTGCCTTCTTCATGCAGGAATTACGGTGTAATCCCCGACTTTAACGGAACCACAACTTCATTTATTATAATTTCAATATCTGAAAGCAAACCAACGCTAAAATGACAGCGGGAAATCTTGCGACTATAAGGCTCTGTATCTAGGTCGAGATGCCCTTACAAAAATCATAGAACCTAATATCAAGGTCATCAGCACTTTAGACATACATTCCCTCAACATGACTCCATGTGTATGTTTGTAGCTCACCGGCTCGTCGTTTGAATCGGTCTACCCCTGGTCTCGCTCATTGCTCCAACGAGGACTGGCGCTTTGGCAAATCCTCTTAGGATGTGGTGATCCAAATACACTTCTATCCCAACAGCTCGATCTGGTAAAGGCATCTTTAAAGAAGTCTCAATCCCACCAGAAAGCTAGAAATCAACCGAGAAGTAGGAAATAGATTCTTGGAGCTTCTAATTCAGTCCTATCTCCTATATCTGCAAATAGGATGATAGCAAAAAGGGATGAGGCTGATACTAAGAAGCTCCAGAGGAAGCATGCCAAGCAAGCCAAGGAATTTGAAATTGAACAGCAGGCCCAAAAGGCAAGGGATTTAGCTGAGGCTGAGCATGAAGCATCAGTGGCGGCAAGAGATAGTAATGGTGGTTATTTGTAAATAGTGTGTTGAATGCATTTTTAATTGAAAATCTGGGATCCGGTGAGAATATGGGATCCGGTGGGGCCCACCAACACCGGGTAGGTGGTGGTAAAAGGCATGGCCAGCTGCTCCTTGAATTCGGATTTCGCGTATACGAATATGAGAGCGATGTCTTACCGAGCATGGCCACCTCTTTAATGGACGAGCTGAACATTACTACAAGTCTCTGCGGCATGCGGTTTGTCGTTGGGGGATCGGACGGCATGTCCTCTAGAAGGTCAACTCTAGGAGGCGCTATCATTCTAGGCGAAGAGTATTTTGGTGTTACTGTACTGCATCCTTTCATTGAAAGGCATCAAATCAATGAGTCCGATGATGATGATCAATCCGACTTGAGTGATAGCGACGATAATGCTTCTAGTATGGATATCGATTTCTATCTAGAAGGCATTACTCTAGATGCAGACACAATCTATCTCCTAGAGTCTGAGTCTTAGGGAAGATTTGTGGGTGCCATTCCCTAAGTATTAAGGTCGAGGTATTTCTCGCCGTATATAGATTGGGCTCTCGTGAAACTAGAATCGACCACTAGCCTACTTCTTAATTTTATAACCCTTAATAGTAAGGTTGTCGTTCTATCGAAAGTATCGGTGACCTTCCCTAAGAATCTAGTATAGGCAATAGTGAATTTAGCTACACCGATATAAACTAGAGTTTCCCCTATTATACACGGGCTATTCTTACCTCATTCTAGGCTTTAAGATACCTAGATATTAAATATAAAACTAAGTGAGTGCTAATATAACCTTTCCTATAGGGTTTAAAACTAACGTTTTTTAGTAAGCCCTTAGAGATTCTGGTATATAGGTCGTGGACCCTAAGACTGAATTAATATTCGGTATTATTATCGCTAGATTAGCACTCACTAAAACCTCATTTATTTTACCTATATAAAACGTCTTTAGTGAAATATAGGAGCGTTTCCTAGGTATATAGTTCCCCTTATCCGGTGATCTACACACACTACTTAAGGTAGTTAATCTTAAAATGCCTTAAATTGCCGAGCTAGTAGTGACTAAAAGCACCTTAATAGAGTTGAATCTCGTGGGCTATAAGGGTTAGAGTCCACTATCATTATCGTGTTCTAAAGGCTCTAGTGCTCTTATGGCGTCTTTACTATAAGTAAAAACCGACCTAAACCGCCTATGCTCCCTATCGACTCTACCGTTAAATCTTGCTATATATAGGGGTTTCCTAGAAGTCATACGGATATTACTAGATTTTAGCGTGGACCCTAATTTAAGAGGTGTGTTTTATATGAGGCTATCGCGTAAGCTGGATTAAGGCGCCGACGTCAAGGAGGGTGGGTATTTTAGTAATACACTTCAAGCCGCATCTTTAGGAGGCTATAAAGATATGGTCTAGATACTACTAGATCGTGGTGCCTATATTAACGCCAATGGTGGAAGGTACGGCAACGCACTTCAAGCCGCATCCTCAGGAGGCTATAAAGAGGTGGTCTAGATACTGCTAGATCGAGGTGCCGGTATCAACGCCTAGGGTCGATTAGGTAATAACGCACTTTAAGCCGTATCCTTAGGAGGCTATAAAGAGGTGGTCCAGATGCTGCTAGATTGTGGTGCCGATGTCAATGTCTAGGGTGGGAAGTGTGGCTATGAGCTTTAAGCTATATTAGTTAAGGGATATTAATAGGTTGTCTAGATCCTACTAGATGATCGAGGTGCTACGGATCTATATACGGCGTTATTCCTAGCGATTCGCACTAGGAGTAGGAAGATCACCAGGCTCCTTCTCGAGAAGGGGGCAGACATTTTGCTCTTTAGCCCTCGGTTAAGTGGTTTTTCTAAACTAACTATGAATGTGAGGGCCCTCCTAATGCCTACGGTCGTCACTAGGCCTCTAGGGTCCGTCTTATAGAAATATAACCATTTTGTTAGGGTAAAGACGGTGCTTTTCGAATAGGTGATAGTAGAGAGCTTCTAGTATCACGGACGCCCCTCTTCTCTAAGCGATACTATTAGCGGGCTATTAGTGTTTCCGAATAGGCGCCTATAGACGATGTCGGATATATATTCAAGTTTAAAGGGGATTAGAATGATTTGAGCGATAGAACATTTGACCTGAGAGTCTGGTTGATAAGGATGGGAAGACTTGCTACGGTGAAAAATCTCGATGCTAAGAAAAGTATAATATAGGCTAGATGATATATTAAAGTCTTTCGAGATGGTAATATTGTCCCTATTGAGTGGTTAACACTACTTAGAATAGCTATTATAGAGTATATATAAACTTTAAATGCGACCTGATTATGGTCCCGTGTATATGTATTTTCGTTTATAATACTTATACTTCGAGCGCGATCCAGATAAGTCGCAGATCTGGGACACTCGACGCATTCGTAGACTAATAAACCATATTAACCATGCTCGCGACTAACTGGTATCTTCGATAAATTTTTTTTTTTACTAACGAACTGCACGCCTATATATCGTCTGCGCCTAGTTTTATCACCCCTAGGTTGATTGAGCACTGCTTGCCAGTCGTTCTATATATACGGAGATAAACGCCCTCTTTACTATCCCTAGTCCGTATGACGTAGCAGAATAAACCACATTTTATTAGTTTATCTCATCCTCTATGCCAATCAATCGTTAAGGTAACGAGAATTTCTGCCATAATAAGGCGCCTTTGATCGGGGCTATATGTTACGAGCCAGTTCTTTGAACAGAAAGAGTGCATTCAACGAAAATACTAAGTACAGAGAGAGAGAAGAGAAAGAAAAAGGGGATTGGTTGGCCCAAGGCCTTTTGTGGGGCCTTGGTGCAAAACTTGCAAACACCATCCTCCAAGTGGCTCAACCTGGCAGGCGGTCAGCAACGGCAGAACTACAGTCGTCAACTCTAGATCGTGACACTATATAGATCTCTAAGGTGCGGGCGACCGCGTCCCTAAGATCATACTATAATGATGCTACTATTCCTAGAGAACTATATATCTGCGCTTCATTCTACACCTAGTATCACTATCACTGATTTGAATAGGCTCTACTCGCTAGTCGTTCTATGGTTCGAGACCGAACACGAAACGCGTAAAACCGGACCACACCCTCTTCACCTCTAGTCCGCACGATAGGTTCCTTATCCTTCCACCTCGTCCTCTATACTAATCACTAATAAAACTAATAGGAAATGAGGTTATAAGGGCCTTTAGTGATATAGGCGGGGACGCGTAGATACCTAGAATCGATTACGCGATACACTAATATAAATCGTGGGGAAAGCGTTTGCGTATAGCCTAGGTCGTCGCCTCACCGCTTTATATATCCGAAGGCCGTCCTAGGCCCCGATATAACCGCCATAGAGTATTATAGTCATCGTAAAATTAAATTATCCCTATTTAGTCACTTGACTACGCTAACTAAGTAAGAACCCGCTAGCGCGAATCACGGCTAAGATAGTCTGATCAGTCTATTAAACTAAGTAACCCCATCCGGTCATCTTCTATTCTAGATTGAGGCGAGCGCTATTAGCTAGGGTCGATAAGGCTCTCGCGCGGTGTGTCGGCCGTAAGGCAGATTTATAGTCCCGCTATATAGGGATGATTTTCCTAAAAGAGTATAGGGCGAATGCGCCTATATACGCAGAGGTCAAATATAGGCCGGCCGATTGACATCTAGCGCTATGATCGGGGCTGAGGAGGAAAATAGGGCCGGACGAGGGAGGGTAGCTTAGGTTGTAGTCGCGGGGTCGTAGAAGAGCCGACGAGTCATAGGGGAAAAGGGGGTGGCAGTGCTTAGGAGCTCGGTGATCTAGGCCAATGGCAAAAATGCCTCACCTACGAGGCGTGGGAGAAAGGAAGGCGAAAAAGAAAATCGGAGTTGTTGGATAGAGGCAGGAAGAGCAGGGGACTTATATAGAACCACGCACGGGAACGCAGACGGACGAAGAGCGCTAAACCAAAAGGGTTAACACTAAACCTAAGAGGGTAATTCGCAGTCCCCCTCCGATATGGTGTAGTGGCTAACATCGCCGTCTCTCACACGGCAGCCGGGGGTTCGATTCCCCCTATCGGAGTTTCTTTTTTGTTTCTTCACCATGTTTGATTTTTAATGGGTATCTTATTTTTGTATCTCCGTAAACTTTTCCAAGTAACGAGAATGTGATTGGTCGCTCCTGGTGGAATCCCTGAGTCACCACAACTTCCTAGGCCAAGCCACGATTGCATTCTGAGTCATTGGCATCCCTGCTTTGTTTGGCCTATCACTAGAAGTTACCTAGGTAGACACTAACTCCGTACGTACTACTTTTATGACTGAGTGTGAATCATTCCAAGGTTACATTTCCAGCCGCACAAGGCTGAGGCCCGCAATAGCCAAATGGAGATAGAAAAAAAAAATATGTGTTCGGCCTATGCCATTAAGGTGGTATATAAGTCACTCAAATTTCCAGGTTAGGCAGTGAAAACCAACTCGAAGATCCCGAAATTCTTGAATCATTAAAGACTATGGCTTCGATTAATCCGAGCGAAACAGATGCCAATAAAATTACGGGAAAAGAGGCATCCCCATTCCCATCAGAGTCAACAAGCTCGCCTCAAAAGCGGGATCAGCGAAGTGTTTCGCCTGAATATGATCCTAAGGCTGGTGAAAACAGACTACGCCCGGCTGGAAGTGGGTAGTTGGGTTAAGACATGTATACATCGCCAAGCCTGACAATCAACTTACAGACATTATCAATCGCATTACTTGGGATTCGGCGTTTGAACGCAGCAACTATGTCATTGGATTCGTGGACCGGTTTGAAGGACAATTAGAAGTCACTATGGGCAGTTGGAAGAAGGAGACCACCGACGAGGAATTCATTCCACAGCATCGGGTGTTGTATATCAGACACACCAATGGGGAGATTGTTTGGGATCGAAGGAGACGTATCGACAAGATCTTTTTGAGTGGAAACTCAGCGTTCAGCGAATTGGCCTTTCTTGCCTGAAGTTGGTCCTACCTTCGCACCTTCCGCGAATGTCTTTTGTTTACTTTTTATGTCCCTTCCAACTTTGGAAGGTCCAGTCTTGTCTCTTGTTTCTGTGTCTTCTTATAACATTTCAACTTTCATCACATACTCAAATCCCCCCCCCCCCCCCAAATTGACACATAAAATGGACCCTTCCAAGAAAAAACCGTCTTTGCCTCGCTTGACCACCAACATTCCCCTACTACAGAAACCCGCCAATGCACGCAATACTTTACCAAAAACACTCCCATATGCCAACGCACCCCCGATCATCATGCCTGAGAGGCCGGCGAGGACTTCATCGATGTTCAAGGATGACAACCATGATGAGGAGAACATCGTGCCCGTCACACGTTTTGCGTCAGAGAGCATGCCTATCTATCTTTCCCAGAAAAGTGTGGACGATTCGCCGTTAACAAAGGTGAAGAAGTTGTACTACGAAGACGCATTTACGGCCCGTGGATCGCACAACTCCCCCAAGGACCGCGTCACTCATGAATCTGTTGTTGTCGTTGAGCTCAAGACCAACACAAAGGTTTGTGATGCGCTGACATCTGCTCGGTGACCCCTCTCTGCTAACCTATTAACTAGGTGAAGGATGATGCACCCAAGTTACTGTCAGATTTCGCCCATTTCCTTGCCCAGGTCTACCAGCGTCCGGAGACATCAATGCTAGTTACCATCGACCAGAATGCTGACTTGCTTTTCGGAAATACATCCGGTTCGGCGTACCTGTTGAAGATTACTGCTCTCTCGAGTTTGATCAGACCCCTTACCAACCTCCGTAACACGGGCCTAATCCAATCAACCGTCCAAGAAATGTTTGGCATTGGGCCTGACAAAGGAGTGGTGATCTACACGCCAGCGAGTGAAGACAATCTTGCAACCAATGGGACGACTGCCAGGAGTGAGATCGACCGCCTCGAACGAATTGATTCCGGCAATAACTCCTCGATCTTCAAGTCTATCTCGCGATCCATGAGTCGTCGCATGAAATCGAGCAGCGGCAACAGTGCTCCGATTTCCCTCACTTCAGTGATGAGCCCTGACATCGCAACCCCTACTTCAACTTCTCCCATCGCTGTTGCTTCAGGTCAGGCCCCTCTGCCGAGCCCAAACCAGGCAGATGACAAAAGGCCGATAGAGTCACCAAAGAGGGAAAAAGTCCTGCAGGTCTCATCCAAGGACGAGAAATCCGAACGAACCTTAAAGAAGAGAGAGAGCTTGAAGAGTTTTGTTAACCGGCGTTTGGGCGAATTGGGCGAACTGACCACAAAGAAACCATTCACAGCCACAAAGGGAAAGAAGGATTGACTTCTGTTTGAGAATCGCAAAGTGAAATGGACAATGTATTTGATTGCATTGGGGTCTTTTCTTAACGGGCCTCGACATGTGGCTTCGCTGTATCAAACCATTCATTCTATATGATTACACTACGCATCCTTGACCATAGTGCATAGAATCTTACTCTTAGCACAAGAATCGAGTTAAATGGCCTGTTGCCAATGTAGTATGTATTTTCTTCCTTTTGCTTCCTTCGTTTTTAAGGATTCTGTATGTCCTTCCTTTTTTCAAGTTGTTAGAGATGCGTTGCCTTGCGAACCTCACATGAGACTGTAATTGTTTAGATGATAAAACACCCAAATTTTGCTCATTGATGCTCTCTTATAACATTTCCCCTTATACTGTCCTCGCTTCCCTTAACCCTTCGTAAGGAGCATGAGAAAATTCCAGTTTCTTCGTTTGCTTTCTCCGTCCACAACACAATATCATGTCTGACACAGGTGATAATCAGGCTGCCACGATTGACCGCACTGATAGCGATGAGTCGTTGATCTTGATGACCTCGTCTTTGCCTGTTACCGTTAACTTTGTCCAGGAGACCCCTGGTGACCTGTTCGACGCCCCCAATGGGGCTGCTCTGATCCGTGGGAACCCCTCATTTAGCGACCCTTTATTTTACCTAGAGTCCTCACTAACCTTGTCATTTTAGATGCGTGCAACTGCCAGGGCGTCTGGGGCGCAGGCATTGCCCGTGCATTTCGTGAGCGGGTTAGTCAATCGTTAAATCACTCACTTGGCGCGACAACCTAGAGCTAACAAGACGATGTTTAATAGTATCCTGCCGCCTACAAAATCTACCGCAACCACTGCCTCATTTACCAAGGCCACCCAGTCACCAACATCATCACCGACCTACGCAATGAGGACCCGCAGCCCTCGCTCGTTGTCCACCGTCCCCTCGGAACTGCACTCATTATCCCACCCCAGCAGAGTGACTTCACCCTACACCGCCGGCGCCATTGGATAATTTGTCTCTTTACCTCGGAGAAGTACGGCAGCCGCATGGATTCGGAGGATATGATTGTCAATAGCACTTTTGCTGCCCTACAGGACCTGAGTGGACAGCTACGAGTTCTTTCCCAGCAGGCTTCCGAGACCGGTAATGAGCGACCCCAGAGTCTCTACTCCAGCCGTTTCTGCTCTGGTTTGTTCAACGTTCCCTGGGAACGCATTCGTAAATTGATCAACACAGTTGGTCTGCGTGTCAATGTGTATTACCCATTTGAGGCCAGCAACCGCCGCGCTCGCCCCATTCGCATGGAGCATCCCAGCGAGAGTCACCAGGGCTGAGATAGTCAAACGATTTGCTTCCTCCCCCCGGGGCCATCAGCAAGGGTGTTGGCTCGTGGGTTTTGGCTCGTGGGTTTCTACCTGGTGTGGTGTTGAGGAGCGAGGGTTTAACGCCTCATTCTCATTTTATGATGATAATTGAGGCCAGTAACCATGGAGAGCATGTACGTAACTTTGATACACGAAAAGAAGAAGAAGAAAAAAGGGCTGAAGAAAAGAAACAATCTTGGAGGAGACAAGGCTGTCTGTCGCCAGTAGGAAAGTAGGGCCTCGGCTCATCACCTGACAGCGCGTACTGTAGATCGCGCCCGCGTCCCCCGATATCTCTAATCACCACCCTCACCATTGCCTACTTGTGATTCCTACCATATTACCCATCGCGCACCTTCTGCAGTTATCTAGGATACCAAGATGCCCGGCGAACCTCAACCAGCTCAAAAGCGCCCACGACTCCCCTTCAAACCTCCCAGTCGCACGACCAGCGCGGGGCCATCCAGCTCCGTGCAGAAGGCCAAAGGAAAAGCGAAACAAACCAGCACAAAAGCCTCCACGTCCACAACCGTGCCCAAAACAACAAAAAGCAAATCCAAGACTCAGAGCAAGTCCGCAACCCAGAGCAAATCCACAAGCATTGGGAAACGCCCCAGACCCGATTCTCCAGTAGCCAATGCCAATGCCAATGCCGCCTCCGAATCCGAATCCGAGTCCGACTCCAATGGATCGAGCCGCAGTCGCTCGCGCTCGCTCTCTCAGGAGCCGGACTATATCCTTGCTGAAATAACAACTACAAACCCAGCAGAGGACGTGACGTCTAGCGACCCAAAAATACCTACAAAACTGCTCACACGCCTGTTGCATCAGAATTTCCAGAATGAGAAAACTAAGGTCGCGAAAGATGCCAATAGCGTTGTCGCCAAGTATGTTGATGTCTTTGTGAGGGAAGCCATTGCCCGAGCTGCTTATGAGAGGGCCGAGTCAGATGGAAATATTGGGGGCAGGGGTCTTGGGGACGGGTTCCTTGAGGTATGTCTTCATTCTTTTATCCTCCAATTGGCTATCCTTGGTATTCTGATTGATAATATAGGTTGAAGATCTTGAGAAAATGGCGCCGCAGCTTACGATGGATTTCTAGCCTCTGCGTCTCTCCTACCAAGGGTCATGGCGTTGGGTCAAATCCATCATGTATTAGGGCTTATTATTTATTGTTCATGATACCGCAGCATCAGCAGAACACATGCAACACTTTTAATTCAGACATCTTCAAACGCAAGAGGCCCGCAAGAGTGAAATATCCCTCGGGTTCACATACTCAGGTGGCTTTCCAACGGTATGATCCTCAACAAAAGGTGGCACTGCCTCGAAGCCATTGACATTGTGAAACAGTGCAATATCCCTGTTAACCCTCTTCGATAACCACCCATTCGCCGCATAGGCCGTGTTCTTTTTGCTGAGATGAACAACAGCAACGGGGAGCTTGTTCTGCTCGGGCAGATGGCCGAGCTTGGCGTCGTAGGCTGTGTGACAGATGTCGAAAACGAAGAATACCCGCGTTCGCCACTTTTGAGCTGCCACCAGCTTTGTTGCTGGGCGAACTTCTTGTGGGATGTAGAGATGGCTTGCTTTGAGGAGGCGGATGGCTTTTGGCAGGAGAGCCTCTGGGTTGTTTTGGGCTTTGGATATCTGAGAACTCCGGTGCGAGACGATGACCAGGACTCGGAGGGGGTTTCCCTGGGACATTGTGGGCTGGGAATGTGAGGAGTAGTCCCTTTGGAGGTTTGTCTGGATGTGTTCTTACTGGGTATAGATAAGATAGAAGGTTTGGATAGTCTCTACGACTTTTCAGTAATTTCTAAAGGGTGCACTGCTACATACAAAGATTTCTCATGGTCCTCCAGCAGAGTTTAAATAATTTTGTTTCCCTACAGGTAGGAGACACATGGGGGCGGGCAAAGTCGGTGTCTTACCTAGACTAGATGATAACCTTCCAATGGCCTGACAGTCTGATCGTTCAAATCAGAACATTTCCCAGGGGATGATCATCTGCCACATTGTACAAAACATGCTGACAGCCAAGTGCAAGGGTCTTGCTTCAGCTGGATATCAACGCTGCCGGGTACCTGGTGACTGGGTTGAGAGGTCGGGATGGGACTCGTCTGTCAGTCTGACATTAAATTATGTACAATATAGCAAACCCGCAGTGAGCATCGGAGATGATAAAATAAAAGCCAGAGAGAGAAAAGACAAAGAATCCAAGTATGATTAAACGAGAGCTGGATGTCACTAAGAATATTGTAGTTGATAGTCGACGGAAGGCGGTGGCTAGTGGATTTTCCCCCGCGCGTGTTTTGTTTCTTCAACGCGTCAAGCCCAGCCCCGAGAAGACCAATCTTTTCGCGATGGATGATGCGACGACCTCCTTGCTCACTGAGCACTTCAGTTACACACCATTGGTAAGTCGATCGAGACCGATACGCATTGACTCGTGCTGCACGCGCGACCTGCGACCTGCGACCTGCGACTCAGGACCCACCCCTTGCAACTAGGAATATCGCTGACAGCTCCCTAGTCTCTTATAGATGACATTATCAACTCGATCAACAATTTGATCTACCAAGCGATCTCTAGCTTGGAGTCCGGACTCCTCAATACTCCGCCTGAACGGCTCGGTTTCTCCCATGACAGCAGTGGTCCCAGCATCGCGGAAACAGACGAGGATGGCAATGTGGTCTATCCCGAAGCGAAGCTAGAGATCGAGAATGGATTGCATCAGCTGGAGACGCTGCTAGAAGCCAATGTTGATAAGGCCTTCGACAAATTCGAGATCTATGTGCTGCGCAATATTCTCACAGTGCCCGGGGACTTGCTCTCTTGGGTGCGGTTGAAGCACTACGAGGTATGTGGAGTCGCAGATTTCTAGATCTGAATTTGCTTGTTTTTGTAATAAGGGATATGCTAATGCGCATTGTGGTAGGGTCTCTCTTTCGGATCTTCACCAGACACACCGACTCCAGAAACCATACATGCGCAACGTAAGAAGTTGTTCGAGACGAAGAAATTAAATCGGTCGCTAAAAGAAGAACGCGCTCGAAACGACGCGGTCATCTCACAACTACAAGCTATCCTATCGACAGTTGAAACGGCGAAGGCAGATGGTGTGTCCAAGACGGCCGAAAACACACCAGTGGATTTGTCCTTCTTGACCTCTAGCCCAGCTGCACGCCAGCTCCGTGTTGGCGTCGATGCTGGGCCGAATGCTAAACCCACGCCTCTTACAACCAACACTACTTTCATTCTCTCGCAGCTGCCCGCATTGCAGACGACACTTGAGCAGCTCCGGCCAAAATTGGCAGCCCTGCCCAATGCAACGGTGCCGATGGAAACCAAGTCCAAGAGAGATGAAAGAAAGGAATATATCGAGAGCAGAATTCGACTCCATCTCGAGCGAGCTGGTCAGCTTGCTATGGGCGATGACGGCAATCCAGTGGTCGCAGGTCGCAGAATCGACATCAGAGAGGCCCATGCCCTTGAAAGCGTGGCAAACATGCTTACGCAAGACAAGTCTGTGTAAGAGGATGTGCATGTGAAAATTGTTTTGTACTACGACTCTATTATTGAATATGTACTGGTCGCCTTACTAGGACCAAGTGATGCTCCATGTTTCCTGGGTCTTTCTGAAGGGGACCACGTCAATCTTGTCTGACCGGAGGATCTCCGAGATCTTCTCGCCTTTCCTCTCGATGGTGATGAATTCCCTCTGCTCCTCCGGGAGGCCATAAAAGGCCCGTCCAAACTTGCTCATGAAACCCTCGACAACCTCTGGCGTGATCTCATCCTCCTTGAGGATACCGTTATCGCAGGCCTGCTCAAAGGCATCAATCACAACCTGAGTGGTGTATGGCTGGGTGAAAACGCCGGCAGCGATCTTCTCGCCACCACGCTTGGATGCCGCCGGGTGCGGGGCGCTGTCGGAGCCGAAGAAGAACTTCGGGTTTCCTGAGACAGCAGCACGGAGAAGGGCATCGCGGTCGGCTGGGGTCTTAGCAACGGGCTTGCAGAAGCAGAATGGGTCGCCAGCCCATGAGTCGATGATAATGGATAGGTGATGAGCTGTGATGGTACCAGAAACTGTGGGGCCGCACTTCTTTACAGCCTCCACAGCCGCAGCAGTGGTACAGTGCTCCAAAATGATGCGCAGCTTGGGGAACTTGGAGTGCAGCTCAAAGAGCTTGGGAAGGAAGCGCTCTTCCGCGGACAAGACCGTCACATCGCCTCCAGAGGGACTTTCTCCATGCAGGTTCAGAATCATGTCTTGTCGCTCCATCTCCTCGAAAACGGGGTAGAACTGCGTGTAGTCGACCACGCCCGAAGAGGAATTGGTCGTCACACCGGCCGGGTAACTCTTGACACCAACGATGCCGCGCTTCTTAGCTTCAATGATGGTCTCCGGGGTCACGGTCTCGTGGAGGTACAGCGACATTAGGAAATTGACATTCGGCCCGAGGGCTTGGAGGCGCTTCTGGTAGTCCAGAGCACGGTCGACGGTTGTGATAGGTGGCACAAGGTTGGGCTATCGAGTGTATTAGACATAGCTCAAAAGACAGGATTTGTTCCCCAATAAAGGAATCCCCTTACCATAACGAAAACGGTGTTCACACCTCCCTGTCGAATAGTGGGAGTCACCAACTCCATCATTGGACCATCGCGAAGATGGACTATCTTTGGTCAGCTTGCCTCTATTAATGCCCGGAATTGCTTAGTACCATGAAAGTCGGCCGAGGCGGGGAGCTTTACTCCCTGCAGCTTGGAGAGAGGCATGATGAATTTCAAATCAAAATCAAGCTCCAATTGCAAAGCCTATGATATGTTCAAAGAGAAAGTCGATCTTCACTTTTGCCCCGCCATTTCTGGAAAAGTTCTGCCGACGGCGGTGGCGACCCCAGCTCCAGCCACGGGAAAAGTCGTGCACATTTTGAGCCGTTTTTATACCGCATATACTCTACCTACACACCAACAGGGGGGAATATCTAAACATAAGACTACCAAAAAGTCCTCCAAAAGACCTTCAAAAAGGCATCTAAACTACATCGTTTCCGAAAAGTCCGGAAACAGCTTATATTAAAAATATTTCACTGCAACAATATTAGAGCATAGTAAGCAAAGGGGATTGGAAAGAAACTTCAAAAACGTCAAAAGAAGACTTTTAAAAAAAACAGACAGACAGAAAGACAAATTGAAAGCGTATTAGCCAGACGGAATGTATTAAACTATTCAATCCTGGGCTTTATAGCTACTTAGGGTCGTCGTTTTGGGATTTATTCCGACCTGAACCCAAAACCAACAGTCCACTCACAGAAAGCAGGCTGCTGATGTCTGTGCTTCCTTCTTTTGCCAGTAGAAAATCAGCATTATCAAGATCTCGTAGCAGTTTTTCAATGAATTCGGCACGGCCACTAGCATTGAGAATGTTCCCGATCGCAGCATGTACCGCTAGAAACCCTGGGTTTGGATCTCTGAAGCGGGCGTCATGATTCGTGAGAGTAATAAACGTTTCCCTTGGGTATTTCACAAGGTTAGAATGATTCGGGAATCGAGGCAAAAGGAAAAGAACTAAGAGGCTTGAGGCGATTGGAGGAAAAATGAGAGAAGTAGAAAAGTCGGGCTGTCATACCTAGGTAGTCATGTGACATCTGAGAGAGTCGCATATTGGCCTTGTCACGTCTTTTCGGTAGTCTTTTAGATGCCTTTTTGGAGGTCTTTTTGGAGGTCTTTTTGGAGGTCTTTTGGGTGGTCTTTTGGGTGGTCTTTTGGGTGGTCTTTTGGGTGGTCTTTTGTTTACATCTTACGCCATTCTCGTCGCACGGACATACTTACTATGCACAGTGGCATATCTGGGGTAGTACTCGGGGGGAAATATTGATATACAAAGACCAAGGCCTAGATCCATTTTGGGGATACGAGAATGTCGCGAATAAACAACATTGAAGGCAAGTATGTGGTGTTCCTGAATCATCCTTGCCGCTGGTGGCCCCCCAGGCACAATTCTCGGCGCTTCGCCGTCGCCTATCACAGGTAACAATGGCCACCCACAAGAAAATTAGATTCTCCAAAAGACGAATGAGATCTAGCCTTCAATCACAAAATTCGGTGCAAACCCCGCTCGGACTTTCTCTTTGGGTCTACTAGGCGCTTCGTTGGATGCTTGTCCCCCGATGCGTCTGCCAAGTCTGCACGCTGGCGCCCGCCCAGGCAATTATGCTCCGGGGATGTACAAGTCCCAGTTGCAAGGCCACTGTTTACAATTCTAGACAGTCCTGCGAATTTAACCCAGAGCCCAAGGCGAATCAGCACAGTCGGTTTCCCATCGAGGCGCTCTGCATGGCTTTATGCAGTAATACGGGCTGAATATCGTCTTCAGGATACACCCTCATTCGGTAGTTACTTCTGTGATAGCATAGCGCTCGCTAAACTAGTCCCTGGATCAATCTTGGGACTATGTTTCCACGAATATACATATTCCAGCTGGTATCCGTTAATCATCATTTGAGACAGTCGTTTGAACATAGTAGCTGCCTTTGCTTTTTTTTCTTCTTTTATCATTGCCCCTGAGGGGTTCTTCGTTCTTTGATATCCATTCCCAGGAGTATCCTTGCCGGCAAGGTGTCATTAACAGTTACACACTCTCCTTCGACCCCTCTTTGTCATCTCACGAAATCCAACGACACTCCATCATGACCTCAAAGTCGTCCCTCGCCGGATCAGGCGGTGTTTATTCTTCAGACATGGAGGAATCAAACTTCCTGAAACGCAATCGTGTCCTTCACTTTGCACGACTTGGTCTATCATTATTGATTTTCGGCGTTGCTATTGCCGTCGTCGCATGCGAAGCCCCACCCTTGCGACATTATAGGAACTCTTCCCAGTGGGCGAGTGCCGGTCTCGCACTGTGGCCTTTGAACTTTGATCTCCGTCCAACAACCGCCGCAATTTCGTGCGGCTGTATAATCACCATCTTGAACTTGGTATACATCGCCGTTGCCCTCCTACCATCTGTGAGTCTTACACCCCTTCCACTGCACTATATGACTACTCTTAATACCATCTACTAACTCCCATCTAGCCGCATTCCCGTATCAAGTCACTTAACAACTACGCCTCAGCTTCAGCCGTCGCAGGCTTCTTAACCGCCCTGGTCGGCATCCTATTCATAATCTACCTACCGTCCTCGGGTTACCCAGCAGGGTTCAGCAAGAACGAAACCCTCCACAGCTGGGCCTGTAAGTGGAAGGCTGGGACAAGCAGTACTCAGACACCCCGTCACTTTGATCGTGACTGCATCAATACCCGCGCAGGCTTTGTCTTGCTGTGTGTACTTGTTGGGTTGGAGGTGTTGATGGGACTCGTTGCTGCTGTTGGCACGTGGTTCCAGCGGGACGTTTCTCGTCATCGGGCAGAGCAGTTCCAACTCGAGAAGTTGGAAATTGCTACTAAGCAGGTGTATCGCAATTGATGGGTAAATGACTTCGGGAGGATTTAGGTGCTGTGTAAGCGTGGCGTTGGTTCGTTGATCTATATGTATGAATGTATTGTTACTGTGTTCAATGGAAGGATGTATTCATGGTCATCTGTGCTGGGAGTTGATTTGCTGAGTGATGTGCAACCAAGGTGGAGAACAAATATGTATTTAGTCTGAGTCTCTAGGAGGTTATTTGATATACGTATGCTATCATCATCATTTATATTGTAGAGCAAAGATTCCAAAGTCAATGTCATTCTATAATTTTATTTAAATAGCTTCAATAACCACGTAGACTCACTTGAAACTTGTAATCCCTTCCGGGGCCAATAGTCTCAAATAGCAGCCCCTAGTCCTAAAACCACAAGAGCCATCCAGCTACCAGCATCATTCACAACTGCAGCTCCCTCTGATGGACTCGTTGACTTCTCATTCCCAATAAAGGCTTTGGTCGGTCCGGCAGTAGTAGATGAGCTGCCACTAGTGGTTAGACTGGCATCTGTGTCGGTTGGCTGGGCGGCATTTGACCCGGGAAGAGTCCATGAGGGTGCGACGGTGGTCTCTCCTTGGTCGTATGCATTCGCCGTAGCGCAATCATTTACACTGAGTTGTTTAGCCGCGGACGAATCTGGGTCATCATCGGAGCAGTCTACGTAACAGCTGTCCAATTATGTTAGTACTGCGGGGCTGAAGGTATAGATACTCTATCGAGGAATTTCAAGAGCCAGGCAGGTGGTCTACTCACTTGGCAATATTTGCAGCGCCCGAGCACTTGCAGTCCCAATCACTCGAGGCGCACTTTGCGAGTCCACGCTTCATGATAGCGACGCATGAATCTACAACTCTGTTGATTATGAGAAAAGGATCTTAAACAGTAAATGATGGGTGCTTAGAGGCTTATAAGCTTACTGTTGTGAAGCGCAATTCGAGTTGCCGCTTATGCTTGCGGATGCGGGTGTTGCATCTTGAGCGGCGATGAGGGTAGCCAATGCAGCAAGTAGGAGGGAGAGATGAGTAGTAAAGAAATGCATCTGGATATTGAGAAAACCTATATTGAAGAACACAGGTACTTAAAATGCGAAGAATATTATGCGCCCTGATAGGTATAGATCAGATCTTAAGATTTAAAGTTCAAGTAGATTCACCCGAGACCTTATATTGGGCGTGTTGAAAACTTGGATTTTGAATGTTACATTAATCTCAAAGGCAATGGAACCATTGAGCCCTCTTTCAAGGCCGTGTCTACTCCCGGAACGTTGACAGGAGGGGAGTCTGAAGAAAGCTCCCACGTGGAAAAGTATTCCAGGGTCCACATTCTTAGCCAGGCACCATATATCCTTCACATTTATGCTCCAGAAAGCTACGTGGATTAAAGATAGAGATTGACTTAGTCAACTATCAAGAAAATATTGTTCCTTGCATGTGCCGGGTTACTATAACACCTAGACAGCAAGTTCGGTTGAAGATAAAGATTGAACCCGAAGAGCACAGTTTCGCCCAAAGCGGTATCCTGGTCCAAAAAGGATTGCCAGTTACAGTAGGAGTGGGTAGTGAGGTGCTTCTTCGACATCATGACTTCCTGTGATGTCGCATTCCAAAGATCGGGGTTACATTCCTCGGTCGATACCCCTGCATGCGTTGGCCAATGGTGAATGATTAGAGCCGCATTAGGAATGTTTAAGTCTCCACTGCAATCATTTACGTATCTTACATGGGACCGACTACGTACAAGTTCCTATCTCAATAGCTATTAGCCCTGCAATAGAAGGCCAGCGGTGGGGTGGACGAAGACGTCTGTAGTTCCCCACGTCTCCCTCAACAAGATCTTCCCCATTTCTAAGACCTGGAAATTGTTTCTTGTCTTTAAATAAGCCATGGTATCTGTTAAAAACATAGTCTACCATAGTAGAAATATAACTAGTAGAAATCCAACTATATACATGTATGTACATATCCCCGAGGTCTGTACCTTCCTATATCACGAGGTCGATGTACATCGTACCTGCCATAAGTTACATTTACATGTACATAATGATCGATCCCACACTCACAAATCCCCCGGAAGTAACTTCACTTCTACAATGTCTGAACTTTAAACTGCTAAGCAGTTACCACTCAACTGCACAATGGAACACTTATTTCCCTCACGCACTACCCCAGGTTTCACCGACACATGGTGCCCAGGTGGAGGGCAAAGCTGGGTGCCTTAGGCTGTCTCTAGAGAGACTGTGAGTGAGCATGAAACTACACGGTTCTTGAACAACAGTTAATTGATTGCATGGATAGAACAGCCACGAGTTTATCGTTATGGATACTTACAGATACCACTTAGTCTTCTCTTTTTTTTTCCAATTACTATCGCTGCCATTTTGTGGTCCCAGCTATGGCAGCCGTGGCCGTAGTGGCGACGTTGGCGTACGTACCTATCCCCTGTTGACACGGGCAAATCCAGATGTGTCGCATCTTGCCCTGAAGGGCAAATGTCCAACCACAATGGCCATCAAAGCAAAGGCCTTGTCCAAATTGCCTATGCCATTTTCGCAAGGAGGGAGGCAATTTGAAGACCGAATGTCCGACCATTATGGCCATCCTTTACGGACTCGGAACCAATATACCGAGAAAGCGCACAAGACTGGCAGAGTTGTCGAAATCATCGCATCTACAAGCACTATACTCATGAGGAAAGACGAAAGCTCAGGAGGGCCCTTGTCCTCGTCCTCATACTACTCATCCTTGTCGTCCTCATGGTTGTCTGTCTCCATTAAACTTTATGGCATTAAACCGCCCATCTGTGGCTGGCAGGGGATGTGATGTGTGTCATTCAGCTAATGGGCGGTGGTTGAAGAAAGGGGAACACAGGGCCAAATAGTATGTATTTAAGAAGAGCAAGACAGAGAAATGGAAATACCTAAACTCGAGCCAAGCAGGTGTATACCTCACAAACCGTCATCAAAGACACTTTAAAATCGCCGTTCTCGTTGTATACCCTGGGCTGGTAGTGACCTCAGATTCTGCTGGAGGCATGGCTGCCTTTCCTATTTGCTTTAGATCTTTCTTCCGACGGCTTCGCCACCAACATCCCTCAACACTTTTGGTCAGAATGTACCTAGCCCTGGAGACTGGTAGGAAGTAGATAATCATAGCTGGAATCAGCTGGCCTTGGATAGAGTCAGAAGGCGCCAATATGGCAGTCTTCAATGTATATTACGCCCATCGGGAATTTTGCCTGGCAGGAAATTAGTAGATCACTCATTAGCCACGAGGGCCTAGAGGGAGCTCTAGGTTTGAGCCAGAAAAGACGCCAAACAATACTACATAATGTACATATGTATCTGGAATATAACTTCTCTAACACAGAAAACAAAGCGCAAACGGGAAAGAAGGGTGACAATGACTCTAATGTATGGGCTGTCGTGATGGACAAACACCAACTTCCTTGGAAACTTTCCCTTCTTGCTCCTCTCAAAACACAACTCTCCCTCCTCATCTGACACTGATATGAATGGCCACAGCGAGTAGTCTAGTGCTCTTCTTTCTTTCTTTCTTTCTTCTTTCTTTCTTTCTATTACAAAATGAACGAGCAGCCTGCCCCTCCTGCTAGCCGCGGCACCAGCACCACCCAGCGCCGTCGGAGGGAAGCCTGGCGCTTCAGACGCCGTGTAAGCCCATTGAACACTCCATTGACTATTGGAATTTTTGCAGAGCAATACTGATATCACTCACAGCAAGCTGCTGCCCAAACTGCCGCCGCTCGCGACGCTCGCATCGCCGAGTTGATGGTACGGGCTATCGAGCACCAGGTTAACGTACGCTATGACCCCAAGTTCCTGCTTTACATCCAGCCCGACCCTGTGAAGCTCTATACTGATACTACTTATAGCGAGAGGGTTTCCAACCCTCTGATGCTCGTGACGCCCGTGTTGCTGCGCTCATATTCCAGGCAGTCCAAGCACAAATGGATGTAAGATTTACCCCATTTCCCCATTTTTCACACAACCCAACTTTCTTTCGGGATGGCAGCAGTGGTCATGATGTCTGACGTGCATGACCTATATAGCATGAGTTTGGTGTACGCGATGGCTCAGCTCGTGGGGGTCGAGCCCGGGCCCGGGGCCAGGGCCAAGGCCGAGCCCGTGGTGGTGCGCAGGGTGCCCGTTATGATCGCGGTTGTCGTGGTGGTGGCGGCGGTGGCCGTGACCGCAGGGGCAGTCACGGTGCTCTCCACAGCGTTGGAGCGGGTGGCGCCGGCCAGCAAAACCCTCCCGGCCACCAAGCCCCCAACCAGCAAGTCCCGAACCAACAAATTGCAGGCCAGCAAGTGGCCCCTGAGCCTGCCACAGGTGGTGGACTCCAGTGGTGGACAAGGCCACAGGCTCGTCTGGAGGAAATGGCAGGTAAGAATGGTTTGCTTCTCTCACCCCCTCCAATCCTATCAACATCCAATGCTTTATCAATAGCTTCGACCCTGTTTCCTGGTCAATTGCAATGCCTCCGTTCCTATATTATCATCATCCCTTGATCGATCACGATACTGGAATTATATTAACCGTCATACGTACTATAGACGCTGACGCCCCGTAAGGGCATGCGATTTCGGTGCGGTTCCCCTTTGGGGCTGAATATCAATGATTCGATCAAATTGTTTCTATCTCTCGCCTAAGAAGAACAGCCGTCGGCCGGTCTGCTGTTACTCGGGCTGTTACTGTCTGTTTTGGGGAGGCTTTGTTTCTTCTTTGTTCTTCTATCAAAACATGGAATTGTTATCTCTTTCGCTCATCACGAACCATTCAATCATTTACTCATTTTCTCTGAACTCATTTATATATCCACATAAATTCTCCTACCAATATCCCAAGAATGCCAACAAGCGCCCTCCCAAATGATCTTGGGAAATGCTATCATTGCTGCCCCCGTTGTCAATGCTCTACCATGTTATCATGGCGTCTGGGATGCAGTCCCATGTGTCCCTCAAGGAGCAGCCAGGCTGGGACACTAGTCCTCTCAGCAAGAATCGAGGCCTGAACAATGTCCAGGTCTATGCATTTCGACATTCGGACTCTCAGTACAGTGGAAGGGCTTATGCTTTTTCAGGCCACCACAGAGATTTGCTGTTTGAGATAAATGAGCTCATAGCAAAGAAATTTTTTTTGAGTTGTCTGTGAAAGCTAGAGTTCTCTCCGTATGTTGATTAAGTTGACTGTATGGGCGTAGAAGATGAATGTGATGTGCATCTTTTCATTTTGTTAATGGACATGCCATACATCACCGCGACACCGCTTTCGGCAGAAATTCATCCTTGTACATTGTTGCGCCTTGCCCTTCCTGGATCTCGTCTTGATAAGTGCTGACAAGCAAAAAAAAAACCTTGACAATGACAAACCCTACTCTGCCAGAGAATCAGGATCTTGATGAGGAGGCCTATGACTCCGCTGAGGATGAAGATTTCGAGCTAGACGCGGCACCGGACGACTCCGACTTATCCTCCGATGCCGATGAGGCCGCAGAACCCGCAAAGAAGAAGCGAAAGACAGACACCCAATCTCAGATCCCCAAGGATGCAGAACTCGACTCCGGAGATGAGGCTACAATTAGAAGAGCGAGGGAGAAGAAAGAGAAGAAGACCAAGGGGAAGAAGCCCAAGGGCAAACGCGCGCGCGATAGCGACGAGGACGATGGCGACATTGACATGGACGACGATGAAGGAGGAACCGGGGGATTCGTGCGAACACGCGCAATGAAACAGCATATGTGAGTTATTTGTTCTTATCAATGTTATTTGACTTACTATCGGGTTCTAATACGCGTTTCCCGAGCAGACAGGAAGAACAGCGCAAACCGCTGGCCAGGATCGACGGCGCGACCGTGGACGTGGACGCCCTATGGGAACAGATGAATGCCCCCAAGCCCATACCGGCTTGCAGCCACCCCAGACCCAGCAGATACCCGAATCCGCCCCAGCACCCGAACCAACAAGCGAAACGAAAGCACAGGACCAGGGTGCCAAACATGCCGAACGCATAATAGGCCATGCCGCGCACGCCGACCAGATGATCAAGATCAAGCGCACATACAAGTTTGCCGGAGAATGGATCACTGAGGAAAAGGTCGTGCCCAAACACTCGGCGGAGGCTAAAGCGTTCCTGTCGAGTGGGGAGAATGTAGAATACACCGACGAGGATGCCGCAGCCGCAAACGCAGCTCGTAACCTTCGGCGACCGCTTCGCAAGATCTCGCGATTCGACCCCAACCCGACCGGCACGATTAAGAAGAGCTGGGAGAAGCAACTCGTTACCGATGACAAGGATGCGCGCGGACCCAAAATCAACACTGTGGAGAAGTCAAGACTCGACTGGGCCTCGTACGTCGACTCAGCGGGTATCAAAGACGAGCTGCGTACGCATAGCAAAGCTAAGGAGGGTTATATCGGTCGCATGGATTTCTTGGGTCGTATGGAAGACAAGAGGGAAGACGAACGGCGGGCTGCACGGCTCAAGGGCACATGAAAACAGCCCTTGTGCGCTCTCTACCAAAACTCCTTCTGGTATCAGAAACACTATTCCTCCCGCGCGCTGCAACAAGGATATGGCTCCATACAGAGTTGTGTTTTTGCGGAGCTCTCTGCAAGCCTTGTGAATTCGGCGTGTAGATCTACTTTGAACAACGGCTCACTCGACTCCGATTGAAAGGATGAGCTCTCGACCTACAAGCTTCATCCGCATCACCGATTTCCAACTATACGGTGCGCTTTATTTTCACTGCAGGGCTAGGATACATTTACGAGAATGGCTGACATCCTTGCCTTAAAGCTTCGAGCCTGTACATGACCACATGCTCAACCACCCTGCAGTATAACCACCGGTCTATACCCGTGAAAAGTTATGGTCAATCAGAACGATCATCATCGTATCAGATTAACGAGAATTCGAATCTGCACTATCAACATGTACTATAGCAATAATCCAGAGATACCATTTCAGCGACACATTCAGTGTGCAAATAAGCAAGAACAATCATCACCAAGACATATCAAGCCCCGTTATCAATTTACTTGGGCACATACTTGATGCCAGTTTTGGGGCAGCCAGAAGTAGTGACTAAAAAGACCAAGACGTTAGTAAAGCAACTAAAAAGCAAACGATGAAACTTACGCGTATCAACAGCCTTGTATGTTCCATCAATCGCATTGCCCTTAACATTATAGAAATACCAAACCTGGTTCAACTTGCCACTGGAGCAGCCAAGGTAAACCGACGCGCCATGCAGTGTAGTAAGAGCCTTCTGGATCTCGCTGAGGGTGTAGGTCTTGGATGTACTCGGGGTAATGCCAGCAGCGGCGAGAGCCTGGGACACAGTCAGAAACGAACGTCATAAAGGGCAGAGAGACCATACCTTGTGCGTATCCAAGCTCTTGAACAAATCAACTGTCTTCTGGAAGAAATCACCCACTTCTTCCTGCGCCTTGTAGCCGGAGTAGCAGCTCGGCTCGATGGTATTGATGCAAGTACCGTGCTTGCTCCACTCATGCGACCAGAAGTCCTCGTTGTCGCCGTTGATATCAACCCAGTACTCATCCATATAGTTGACCAGGTCACCGAGGTCCTGGTCCTGCAGAATCGCTGTGATGTTTGAGTAAGCGCGATTCGAGTCGCAGCTTGCCTCGTATGTGCCGTCGCAGTTGTCGGGCCTGAAGGAAGGTGTTAGTTTATGATTCGGGTATTTATAAGGGGTATAGGTCAGGTTGGGATGTTAGTATTACGTACCACAGTCCGTGAATGGTCCATGAGTCCGTGGGACCGGTTGATGGGCTGGTATCCCAGAATTGAGTCTGAAGGAGGGCACCGCCTGGGTAATTGAAGCAGCAGGTCGGCTCTGTGGAGGAGCTCGCGCAGCTGAAAGCGGTGCTGCTGGCGCAGGTTTCGAGGTTGGCGGTTGTGCCAGTGACTAGGCTCATGGCAGCTAGGGCGAGCATGCCCTTTGAGGTTTGGGATTGGAACATTTTTTAAGATTGAATTGAGAAGGAAGTGTTGAGCTGAGTGAAGAATTGTACGAGGATCATCGGATGGTTTTATGCTTCAGCCCAGAGACCATACTCGACATAAACATCGTCAGGCACATAGCCAATGTAGCACATGCACCGATAAGAAGACGCTGATTTGTTCTCGGATGTCGCCGCTACACCTATCGTCTCGGAGAAGAAATTCATATAAAGTACAGTACTCCGTAGCTGCTAGTCGAAGTAGGCGACGATCACCGAGCGGGGCAGTCGCGTTATTGACTTCCCTCCAATGACAAGACAGAAATGCACAACGCACTCCAGCGCTAAATCAGAGTCCGACGGTTTTCGTCTGAAGAAGACTGATGAAACGCCTTCTGAGGTTGCATTGACCGGGCTATTACTCCGGATCTCCGACTGTTGACCCAAGTTGATTCAAGTTGATTCGGCCCCGCGAGATTAAACCCGCTGATCGCCCAGCCCTGACGAACCAGAGTGCTTAGCCCTGGATCTGGACTGTTTTATCTGAAAGCTGGTGCTGCTTCGCTTAGAAGACAATGGCTGCTGTGGGTATCTTCATAGATGGGATTACTTTGTACTGCTACTGGGTAGAATATGAGTTTCCCGTCTACGCCATCTCTGCAGGCTGACAGGGCGTTCTCCACATAAGGAACCCGTGTTGAATTGCTTGGATGTAATGGAATTGACCGAAGAAATATAGAAACTACAGTAACAAAGGGTCCTGTTCCTCATCATTGGCTCGCGGAGACGGACCAAGTCGAATGTGCCAAACGGCGGTAACAGCAACAACGAAAAAGAGAGAGGCTTGCAAGAACGGGAGTCCAATCCAGGCAGTTCCAAGATGCATGCCTAGCCGGAAGAGGTTGGCAAATAGTGGACCGGAAACGAGTGTCCCTACGCCCTGTGCAATGGCAATTGCTGAATACAAGGTGCCAGCATGGTCGAGCTGTACGAGTGAAGTAGCCAGACTGCGTGTGGTGATCATGAATGCCGAACCGATTGACAAGATGACCTGACCACCGATCAAGATAGCGGGTGTTGGAGCTATAGCGATAATGGCGAAACCAATGATTGAAAGCACGCCGCTGCCTTTGCTCAGGAAATGGTCGCTACGCTTCCCGCGGAGGTTGAGGTATTTAGCGGCCAAAAAGGCCAGGAATGGCATTATGACCAAATATGTCACAAGAGAAAATATCCCGCGCAGCGAAATCAAGAGACTGGCCTATAGCATGGTTAGCTTTTGATTCGAATGAGGGGATTGACACATACGCGACTAATACTCCAGTCAAACTTCTTTGACACATATTGCAGAAGCAGGTTTGTGCATTGTCGACTCATCACTGTGACAAACATCACAAATACCATTAGACAGATATTGGAATCGGCCCAGATGAAGCGTGTCGACTGTGCGAACTCGCGAACTTGTCGAGTGAGCTCCTGCAAGACTGTCTGCTTCCTCCGAGGCTGGGATTGCTCGCTTTCGCTGTCCTGTTCTGGGCTTTCTCGGCTGACTTGCTTTCCCTTTGCGTTTCTGAGAGTCTCGGGCAGGAAAAAGGATGGAATACTTCCCACAACAATGATGCATATTGATAGCATAAAGGGAAACATTGGACCGAAGGTCATCAGATAGGCACTTAGTGGTGTGGCCAGAATCTCTGCGATTTGGATGCAAGATTGTAAACGGAAGAGCGCAGTTGCTCTGCATATATGTTAGATTGATTCCAGCGAAAGATCGAGCCATAACCGTACCTCTCATCTTCGGAGAAGACATCAGCCACTATGACCATGGCAATAGCCGTGAGGACTTGGTCACCGCCGCCGATGATTTTGAACGCAGCTGACATCCAGACCATCCGTAGGGGAATGACGCTTGACCATAGGCCTAATATGAAGGGATCAGTGAAATATCGACCAGATAGTTTAATGACTAACTTACAAACTATCCTGACCCAGATCTCCCCGAGGAGAATACCCAGCATGCTAAGAAACAAGAGAGGCTTCCGCCCCCAGCGATCTGAGAGCACGCCATATGGTAGCGAGAGGATAAGACCTGTATTTCCAAAGTATCAGCATCCTAATATCAGTATATCGCAGAGGACGCATACCAGGCACCACATCAAATGTATTTTGGTACCCAATCACGAGCGCCAATTCTCCCTGTACCGCCTCTGATTTACACGGATTGGACTCTGGTGGAGTGAGAGTCCCATTGCCCGCCCCGTGTAGAGTGGCCTGGTAGTTTCGACAGATAATATCCTCATACACTGCCAGTTGCGGCGCGGTGGACATGAAGAATCCGAAATCGGCCGATAGCAAGAATATAGCACACACGATGCTGACCAGCAGTTTCTTTGGGTGCTGGGCTGGTGGTTTGGTCGTGTGTGAGCCCAAAAGTGGCTCTGTCTCGCCTGTCATTGTGAATGGTGTTCTTAAAAAGGTGCAGACCCCTAGAAGTCAAGAAAGGGCGTCCCTAGACATCAAGTGGAATGTCGAGAAGGCAGATATATTTTTTTTTGTGACGCCATCCCCTTTAAATTGCTGCTTATGCGTTGTCGGAGTCCAATGACAGACGACCGTTAGATAGTTGGCGTTGGCATCCCGCTCCTTCGTAACGGGGTACACTACTTCCCCCTCTTTTTTTGTCTTTCTTTGTCCTCGATACTTGTTTTTTTTGGGGGGATATTTATCTTGACATTAACTTAGTATTTTTCAGAATTCATGCCAAAGTCCATTCATTTGGCGCATGAAATTCCAACATACTTTGCCTCCATGACTTCGCGTCATCTTGAAACTCGGAGCTCGGAGTTCGGGGCTCGATCTGACATGTCTCAAAAGTCCCAAAGGAAGATAACCTCGACGTTTTTAGTGACATCGCATAACGCTTAAATCAAAAACCGATGGCGTTAAATGAGACAGCGCAGTGCCCCTGAATTCATATAAACAAGACTCGCTCTAGGGATTCAGGGACCCCTCTGTGAAACCAAACTCAACCAGCATGAACGCTTCCGGGATGACCAAGAGAAACGTGGTCTTGGGTAGTGCAGTCATGTAGTTGTGCGATCTGTGTCTTCGATCTTGACGCAGTCCAAACAGGCATCTTCCCAACAGGAACGCAACCAACCCCACCTTCATGCTGGTCTTTCCCATCGGTCTGGCCCCAAAGCATGGTCCAGTCGGTCCTTCAACCTTCGAACACACCGATAGTCGAAGTTTGCGAACCAGCACCCCCGGGTCCACCATAAAGCAGGAAGATGTTTGACCGTACCTAAGGCCTCGATGGTATGCAGTGATATCTCAGAACGAAAATGCTGACCGCATTTTCTTGAGGACTTAACCACGCAAGCCTGCAAGTTCCCGTCCGCGGGTCTCGCCTTTGTCTTCTGTATGCGCCCGAAGCTGCACCTTGAGGTTTCATATCTGACCGCCACCAACACTGCATGATTGTGGAGATGTTGAAAGTCCCGAGACCGGGGGATTTTCTCGGAGGATTACGCGAAGGTTTTCCTTCTTTCCTTTTTTTTGGTCTGCGACTATCCGTTGCACGACACGAGCGGGAGTCGGGTGGCGCCCACGTCGTGAAGTGCGACACATTCGGTTCTAGGCTTGCATATGTCGGAGATGAGATTGTCATTTGTCCCGGTGACTTGTCGAGATCATTGGCTCTTGGGTTCCTCGTGCTTCGCTGTCTGTTCGGGGATTTGTAATACCTGTTCGTCCTAGCTGGTTATCTTTTGTTATCGCGGCTTGAATTTGGGCAATGTATGTACTTATTCAAATGATTCGGGCTTGGACTAAGCGGGCAGCTGCTTGCTTGCAGCATGGTGGATAGCGTGTGGAGTCGTATTGAGCCCAGTAGTCATCGTCGTCGTCGTTATCCATTGGAACTTAGCCATCTGATGTTAGGTACGTGATTCTCGTGTGGTCTTGGGAAGCCGAGGCTTCGACTGCTGGACTGCTATTCTCGCTGTAAGTCGCGGTATTGATGCAGGAATCTTGGTCTTGCATATCATTTGAAAATCAGTTCAAGGACAGTATCTTCCTGGGCAGTACGTTAGTATCCGCCTGATATCTAAGGACTGAGTAGTGCTCTACGGCTCCTCCTATAGGAATAATTAAGATTACTTGCAGTTCTCCAATTTGATGTTTGACCAGCATTTATTCCATTCCAGAGAAGCTTAAACAATCGTTCAGATAGCTAGAATGCCAAAGAGATACCGATTGTTTTAGGGTCGTGGACGTCCGCTACTCAACTTGTAGACGGTGAACTGTTCGAACTGGAGCTAGCAGTGGTAGGTGAAGATATGATGGTACTGCTGTGTTGACAAGGAAGAAAGGAGAGGAGAAGATGAGAGGAGGAGGAAGAGGGAGGAAAAGAAAAAGGGAGGAGCTGCATGAGAAGAGGAAGTGGAATGATATGGGCCATTTGTAACCCAGTCGACCTTATTTCGAGAGGACGCATTTGTGCCCATCTCACTCCAGGCTCTGAAAGACAACTTAAGATTAGCATGAAACCCTACCAATCTTTTAGGTGGACATACGGTGTGGACTATATGCTCGCGCTTCGATCTTGGGATTCGAAATTTGAGTCTGGAGGCTATTGGCCAGATAACTGGTCTCTTTATTGCCTGTACTGTATGCTTTTGTCATCCGTGGGAGACATCAGATCAACAGGCACCGGGTACGAATTCCTGGCGGACGGAGGAGGGGGAGCAATGGCAGAGTGGGCGTCCATGGCCACCGACGGAGACACCATATCGAGAGACACTGGCTTGGAGTTTCCTGGGGACGGAGGAGGAGGAGGAATGACGGACTCGGCGTCCGTGACCGTAGTGATCCTGACGAAATCTGTGAGGTTCCTCTGTCCTCTCTTTGATGAGAGTTCAGCGTTCTTCGTTCCCAAATTCGTCAAAAGTATTGGCGTGATGGAAGGTTGGACCAGCCAGGATGGATGTATACGATTGGTGATTGTGGTTGGGGGAAAGGGAAGGAAAAGTGTGACGAGGAAGGTGAGGCCGGTGGTCATAGTCATATGACAGCAGTTCATCTCATCATGCTCACTATTCCAACCTTCCCTCCGTTCATATTTTATTTCGATAATAAATTTTAGATTGATCTATTCTTCATTCAAAGTCCAAGTTGCTAGAGTGTGATCCGTGTTGAGCCCGATGCTACGAAGTATAACACACTATCAGCGTGGACGCAAATCTCTAGACGAGAATAAGTGCATACTCCGGACAGCGAATGAATTATAAGAACATACATCGCTCACACAGTTCAATATATAAAGTAATCGAATATTTTGTTCTGGTTTGATAATGATAAGAGACATCCATCTGTGCTTGGGAATCTAGAAGACGATGTACTCATGTCTACATCTTCTATGCCTTCTAGTCACCACATATATATCCACACACAACCACGTAGAATAGAAATTTAGAGAGTATATCGAAGCAGATAGGCCATTGCATATTATAAATTTATATAGCTACGGATGTAGAATACATATTCTTGTTCAAGTGTGATCATTTTCGGCCAAGCTGGCTTCGCTGGTAGAATCCTGCTCGATAAATGCCATAGTAACCGCACACCATATACACTCCCGCTACAAGATAACAAAGTCCCTCAAGGCCGGACTCATCCGAGAAATACTGGTAGAGCCCATATCAAGCTCATATACGACAGTCTTCTTCTTGGATCACCACGAAGGTGGGTGTTCTGCGTTGGGTCTTTTGGTGTTTACAATTTTAACTCTTGTCTGTTATTTTTACCCCCAAGAAGATGGAAGAGGATTAGAAAACGATACCTACAAAGACATCAGAAAAGACAGTTAGATATGCCGTTGAGAAGAAAGTCAAGACGCCATACCGAAGGTTGGCTCAAGGGCTGCTTTGCTTGATTTCATCTACGTAGCACCCCAAAGCCCATGAATAGCTCCTTTGAAGGACAGAGTGTTATGAAAATTGTTGTGATGGTCCCAAAAGACTATCGTACCCAGTAAGCACAACAATATTCCTCTTTGACCAACCAATAGAGACCAAAATGATGACCATAGAGTTCAGCGCTATCTGCTTCCCAACCGAACTTCGTATTTCTGCCTAGAAAACCTACACAGAGAGCTTACGACCAAGCCCTCTCTCATCTGATCACAGATCGGCCGTGCCCAACCCAAGGCCGCACAGATCATGTAGAAACCGAACCAAGTCAAGAATGAATGACATACAACAACCCAGTCTGGTTAACTCGCGTCACAGGAGTTCATCCCAAGCACACGCCGCGATCCTAGCAAACCTAACCTAACACGACACCGCGAAACCAAGATACAGTAAGAATAGTACTCATGACGACCGCAAGTCAGACACTAGAGTCGCGGCCCTGGAGCCAATATGTAGGAAAAATGAAACCAGCATCTAATAACAGCATGTAGCTCTCCCAAGTAGGCCAGACAAGCACCAACCAGGCGCAAGGGCCCCAATAATATGATATCATCGGATTCCCACCAGCGATCATCCACAATCACACCAATCAGGGGGTGCCATCGCCGACCGCGCAGGTTAGACATGGTTCGTGCTCTGCAGGGTTCCTGCAAAGCACCGATGTCTGACATTCTCCAGAGAGTTCGATGTGCAGGGTCGATCCGGTTCTTATTGGAGGCTCAAACCTGGCTTTTCTTTTTCGGGCGCATGCTCATCCTACCTCAGGTACATCTGTAGCTACTTTGGTCCTAGTATGGACTAGGTTACATAAGATTGTGGCAGCGGGCATGCATGTATGGGCCGTTGGAGTGAATAGAGCAGGTCAGTGTGCTTGCACTGGTATGTGATACAGGCGGGATTATTGCAACGCTGCATCTCTGCGACACTGTAAGGTTTTCTTATTGTTTTCTTATTGTTTTCTGATTCACAATTCAAGTAATAGGAACCAAATACATTGGGTTTTTAGTTTCAGATGCGAGTCGCGAACTATGGTATTAAGTATTGTAGTGGTATGTGTGATCCTTCATCGCGACTCACATCACGACTCACATCGCGTTCCTGGGAGTAGACAAGTATACAGGTACGATGTCCACAGGCACACGAGGATCCAACCTGGGGAATCCCTGAAGGGCAACTAAGCTGAATAGGGGAGAACAGGTCCACCAACCATAAGGAAGTATACCTCAACAGGGCAGACCTAGAGCTCTCCTAGGGCGTTGGTACATAGGCTTTTGCCACTATGAATTTGGTTCCTGGAAACCGGGAATAAAACCATGCAAGGCAATGCAATGCAAGTCAACGTGGAGTATTCATTCGAGGAAAATCGAATTAAAAAAGCAAATCAATTTTTCCTTGAATGCCTTTGTGAGCGAACGAGAAGCCGTTATGTGAAGAGAAAAAAGGAAGCCAACAAGCAAGGGGGAACAACGGGGGTAAACGGGAGGGAAGCCATTGCCAGGCCAGAGCACACCGAGAGACCACCGAGAACACCAACCAGGTGCCATTTTTGGAGTTGTGCATAATCCCGTCTGTGCCTATGATATCTTGTGTACTATTGATCACTTTTGCAGCCGCCATCTCTGATGCTTGATTCCTATAGGCCGCTCAACTTCGTCCCTGCATCATCTGGCCCAAATTCCGAATGTTCTACTCCGTATGAGATAAATCATTGTCTGCAGTTTATTCAATTCTATAATGCTTGTCTCACTCCCCGGGAGCTCATATAATATGCTAGGAAATCTATACCAAATTAAAAATAATCTATCGGGTGACACCGACAAAATGATCAGCTCTCGGATTCTGCTTCTATTTCTACTCAAACGGCCGATCGCTGGAGTTTTTTTTTTATCGAGAGAGACTAAAAAAAGACACAGCTAGTCATTTAAATTCAGTCCTGGTATGGTCCTGGATCGTACGAGTAGTCAAGCGCTTTGGCTTCGAGAGCTGATAACCTTTATTGGAAAATGTATATCGAACTTAAGTTGAAGTATTGGTATGAGATCATAAACTAAAACCAGAACTCGCAGTGAAAGCCGAACAGTCAACGCCGAGTAATGGACATTCGCGGTTGCGTCAGTGGCACTCAACGAACCTGCAGCACTTGCAGCCCCCCAGACACCGGCTTACAGGACCGGGAGGAGCGCTGTGCATACCGAAGAATGTCAATGTCAATCATCGGTTAGTGGTTAGACACAATAATAGGTAGTATAATATACAGGCAAGTATGTCGGGCCACGGTCTAGTGGTAGATTGCATGGACTGCCACTTATTTACGAATGTGGTAAAATTTACCATAATATATGATAGGATAGGCAAAAGTGCTGTCATGGCATTGAGAGGGAGGCTTGCATGCCATGTCTTGTTGATCACCTGGGTTATCTGGGCTAAATTCTAAGTTCCGAGTTCTTTGGTCTTCGAAGAACCGGGGGGAATCTGGGCAGAGGACAAAGTTGATAGCTCTATTTGTGTTTTTTTCCGAGTACCTGGTAGCTTATAGTGAGAAACCGTGCTAATGCAGCCATATTCCTGAGCCCAGATAAGGTTTGCTAATTCGGGATTTGCACTGTGTGTGTTGACTGGTCTATATTTTTTGATTTGATTTGATTTAGTTGAGGTATAACATAGTTTCGAGTATCTTACCTTAAGGCTAGTACCCAACGCAATAATCTACGATGGTACGTAATCTTGTAGTATGTGATTATACCGGAAGAGGACAACTACTTTGTAAAGATATTGTCTGTTTCAGTCGCCACAGCTGGCACATATCTGAAACCAAGCAATGCGATCAACAGGGGATTAAACATCGCAGAGAGCCTCAATGAGTCACAGCCATCCCAGGCATCCACGAGGCCCCATCAACAACACAGAATCCGAAAATCCCGCAGTCAGCAGCGGTGGCGAGATGTTCATTGTAGATCTCTGTACATCCCGTAGACACAGATAGGGGAGGCATGTACGAAATCTCAGACGCCTGACGATCACCCCAGATAAGCCACACTCCATAACGCCACCAGAGATCACAGTGGCGCGGCCGGGTAGGCCAAGGCGGCCGTGCAGACTGAGGTATGACTGGATGCGACGAAACCAAAGCCACTATCGAAACCTTCCAACGTCGATGATCACGGCATTTGGGATGGAGTGGGTGGGGGTGTTCGGGATTCGGTCGCCCTTGCGGCACTCAGGTCTGGGCATTAAGGAAATTGATCAGCAAGAAGCTCAGACTACCAAGTGCTCTGATTCTATTCTCTCCATTTATAGATATCAAATACCCCAAAGTCTATATTTCATATAAATCCGGTTATAACTTTGAAGGGTTACATCCATAGACCCCGGGAAGTATATAACCTGGGGTTGGGAATCGGGGAAACTTAAACAAAAACCTAGAAGTCAGAGAATCCATGGAACAGCCCCCCTTAGCTTGGGTCTTGGCGGGGTTCGTTCACTTCCAGGTTTCGGGATTTCAAAGTACAATAGTCTTGAACAACTGCAGGAATAAATGCATCTTATCAATAGAGCTTGAAGAAGCGTGTGAAACCGGGTTTCGAGCTCATGGGAGATAGCTATGCAGGTATATCGATAAAGCGTGAAGGATTTAGGAAATAGTTAAGATGCAAGAAATAGAAGGAATTGAAGTGGGGGCTCGGGGACTAGATCTGACAGTAGACACAGAGCAATATAGCCCTGGAGGAACACAGATCGACAAGCGAAAACGATCGACAAAAAAGAGGGGCCGAGAGAAAGACTAAAGGACCAGTACGGACCGAAGAGCAATTCCACTACTCGGTCCAGTTCGAACCTAATCTTACCGCCAAAAGGAGTTTAGTATCCATGTCATTTCTCAGTGAAAAGGCGAAATCGCTTAGCCTTATGACCCCAGTCAAACGCTCCATGGGTTTTAACGCTACTGGATAAAGCCCTGTTTCATCTCGATCCACTGGGCCCATGCAAGTGCAATGTGATACACAGGCAAACAGTGAAATAAGAGAATTATTATTAATATATGGAGAACCGGTGATTTCGCACACCTGCAGCGGAGACAAACATTCGAGGC